CGCGAACCGGAGCGAACCCCTTCCGCCGGCGGTACGCCAGCTATTCGTCGATGAGGGGATACAGCTGTGCCCGACAAAGAACCTCTCCGGGAGATCAAGCGCATTGGCGAACAAACGAGACGGTAGTGCCACCAGCAAGGGGAAGGGCTGCAACAGTGCTCGTCGAACTTCGAACAAGGTTTCTTCTCCTACTTCCTGGCTTCGCTTGCAAGGGCGCTGTCCCGGACGCCGTCGGCTGAAGGACAAGCGAAGAGAGGAGCAGGCCCGCAAGAACGCCGAGGACGACGCTGAGCGGCTGAAACGGAAGCGAGTCCTGAGTCGAGCGTGCAGGAGGTCGGCAGCCGTCGTCGGGCTGGAAGCCGCCCTCTCCGCTAGGGAAGCCGAGCGGGAGTGTTCCGGTTTGGACGACCCCCCGGTTGTCATCGTAGAACTGGAGTTTGTACGCCAAAAGTGGTGGGCGTTGCTCCCCTTCTGGGCCGATACTTGCCCGAAGGAAGCTGTTGGTAAGCTCGCCGAGCAGCAGCCGAGGGTGGTCATGGAGGGGGTGGCGCACGAGCTTGAAGAGTTCTTCAGGGATGAGATAGACCGTGCGGGTAAATGCATGACTAGCGTGGATCGGGACCAAGTGGCGGAACAAGGGGCCTTAGCTGGGAGAGATGTTGGGCCGGGTAAAAACAATCGCCGAGATGTACCGAAGGTGGTGCTCCGAGTTGATGCGGGGTGAGTTTTAACCTTGCTTGAGCCTGTTGGCTGAACGATCCATGGCCAGGCTACTTGTTTAGACCAACTTGTGCGTGATTGTCCTCTAGGTCAGGTCCATTTGAAACTAGACTCGATAGGTATCCCGATGGCTGGAAGTGGCGGCGACTTTTTCAAGCTTTGACCAGGCAAGTGTCGGTTCAGCTCCGGAAGGCAAGAACCGAACACCCACCATTGCTTCCCAAGCGTTTGGTAAGAGGATTGTTGCTTACGTTTTAGTCATGTTGGCATGGAGATTTGTCTTGTGAGAAGCTGAGAGACCAACGACCGGGGGTGTCTTCGATGTTGAGGAAGAAGTTAATAACCGTGATACCGAGGTGGTTGGTCCGGGCAACGCACTCTTCCAAATCCCTCATCTCCATAAATTTTCAGCACCCAGTAGTTTCAAAAATTGTAGTCAGAGTCTCCGTCGTCTAACGAAAGGCTTTCAATCGATACCTTTTCTAACCCCCCAAGATCGGCGCCACCAACGACCCTCCCTCTCCGTGTACTTTCAACGCCGATGGATATTGAGTCGTTATTGTCGCCGAGAACCCCTTCACCATCGCAGTCCTTCTCCTGCAATGCACTGGGTATGGAACGATCCAAGGCTTCTTCCATTTCTGCTTCTTCCAACATGACATCTAGCTCCGCGGTGGTGTAAAAGAGTTCCGCAAGTTCGTGCTGCTCGAAGCTGGCCCGAACCTCGTGCACGCGCCACAGAGCCTCGTCCGAGAAGCGCACGTTTTTTCTGCAGCTATCCTCTGGCTCTTCGTCGTCAAATACGAAATTGTAGTCTTGGTCGTCCTCGTCTTCTATAGTAGCGGTATCGGGGGAAGATTCTCGCTTCTCAACTGTTGGTAGGCCCGGGCTTTTGGACTCGGTCCTACCTGCTGGAACAGCCATGGCCTCCTCCGCCACACAAGCAATGCTCGGCTCACCCCTGGTTGCACTGTAGCCGTCCGTCCTTTCGTGCCCCTTGTCGCTGTCCCGTAGCCCCCCTAAAGCTACATCCTTCGGGAGGATCTCCGGGACGCTAGCCTTCGCTTCGTCCGGCCCCGCCTCCATCGATTCTCTTTCCGCTGCCAGTCGGTCGACGTCGGTGGAGACATCTGACCTCTCAGCCCCAACGAAGAAGTGTCGGTCGCTACATGAGCTCTCAGTTGGTGACATGTCCACATCTCCGTCTTCCTCTTGCTCTATGGTGTTGGCTCCGTCGCCGTCGTCACGAGCCGGCGTTGCCTCACACCCCGACTCTTCCTCAGGGAAAGACTTAAGGGAAACTGGAGTTAACGTGTGTTCGTCGTCCATAAAACTCACTCCTTGCTGTCGCGCATTCGTGCACTTCCGCACAAGAGCGACGCCAGGAGGGGAAGAAGCAGGAGAACTGGTCGAAAAAGTGTCTGTCGTCCCTGCGGGCGACTGGTTTCCTGCATGACCTTGAACATCCACAACGACAGGAGGGGAACATGGGGTACCATGCAGTAGCAGTGGAGGTTGTGGTGGTACCGGGTGAAGCGGCGATAACACCAACAAGATCAGCCCAGGGGGCTACTACTGGATGATGACCTCGGGAGAAGGAACGAGGAGGCTCTGGTTCTTTCTATGGAGGAGGCACTTCCGTGCCCTTTTCTCCACATGCTGTGCTCGTCGCACTGCTGTTCACTTGTATCCCTTCCCTCTCGATGTCGACCACGTGCAGTCAATACAGACCAACTTCGCTAACTCTCTAGGGGATAAGGGTTCACACCCACTAATACAGGCGGGAAGTCATCTTGATTCCCTTCACCATCCCTGCGTTGTCCTTCTCCAGCGGCCAAACAAGTACGTCTGTGATCACCTTTTCTGCCATCAGATCCGATGGTAGCCGTCGTACTCTGGCGTTGAAGATCACCGATGTTGTCGACTTCGGAGGCCGTTCGAGCGTACCTCTCAACGCACTTGTTTATCCCCTCGCCATGCTGTGGCGGGGCGGCCGCGGAGCTATCCGAGTCGATCACAAACATCGGCATCACGGTCCGAGCAAAACGCGCGGGATGTGGGCAATACCCTTGCAAGCGTGATCTCGTCGGGGCACGATCTCCGTCTTTTTCGGCACCGCAGGAGCAGCAACACGTAAGGACTTGCGTTTGCTCGTGATCTTGAACCCCCTCGCAGCATTTTTCAAAATGCTCTCCATCTGTGTTTCTGCCACCGGTCTTACTCGTTGCCTTGAATAGTGAAATACGGTGTGGGCTTGCCTCTAAGGAAGGGCTTCCCATTCGTCCTACCCCCCCGTCTGCCCTGGCCAACTTCGTGCTGCCGGCTACAGGAGACGTACCAATGGCGGAATGCATTGCTCTAGGCAATCTTTCGTTGCACAGTCGCATCTTCTCTTGAAGAATGTGCACGACGCCATCATCGGAAAAAGCAGCGGCCACCACCTGCAATACGCGGATGCATCAGGGGGTTTGAAAAAGTCGAGGAAACGTTTCGTTCAGGCGTACTAATGGCGGGTACCCGGTACCGACACACACAAAAATGTGCTTCCCTGCTATTAGACCATTCTTCTCTCGACCCATGGCAGAAACTTGCTGTTCTGTGAACACCAGGGGTCTGGTTGTCGCTCTTCTCTCGAAAATGGCAGAAGCGTGCTGATCTGTGATCACCGGGCGTCTGGTAGTTCCCTCAATACGTTTTTTCCGAGGTACGTCATGGTTTTGTGGAACAAAGACAATCATTTAGCGAGGCAAAAACAAGGTGCACTCGCTCGTGGATCATGCCACACAAGCACAGGCACTGATTTCGCCTTTCCGGAAAGGGGCACGTCGAAATGGTGTATCACGGCATCCTTGTGGACGCGGAGAGGGACACTGCGGCGGGAGAGAAATCTTGGTGATAAGTATAATTTCAGATGTTAGCACGGGGAGGTCGCCCCCTATCTAAAAGACCGGCCTTCGCAACGTGCTGGGTGCTGAGCAAGGAGTCAACGAGGAGGCACGGGCTTTGATCTAAATAGCGTGTACCAGCAGCACGCATGTCGGGAAAAGCATCAGTTTTGTATGGTGAGTACCCGGTACACGTCGGTGAAGATTGGCGGGATGTTGAAGTTGCTGGATGGGTGAAGAGATAGACGAAGGGTGCACACAACCTTACGCTGCATATTACTCCGTATTATTTTTGGTACTCTTTGCACCATCACAAGGGAGCGCGACAGAAGGTCCGCGAGCAGCCTCACAAAGAACAATCACCATGCCCGCCACATACAAACACGGGCACTGTGATAGGTGCGCCGTTGCGGTAGACCGCCGTTGCGGTAGACCGCAACTACATGGTCATTGGTCAGTCATCAGGTGCTGTATCCGACGGTCAAGGGTATGCAGGTAAATACTGTAGTATCGTACGAAATCTTAGTCATTGATGGGGTCATCTTCTTATCTGTTTTCCCTTGGTGGCCAAGATTGGGTGAGCGTACAGTTCCCTCACTCCCTCGGAAACTCTTGTGCTGCACACACGCTGCGGCTATACTGTATAGCGATTTTCCTTATAAGTATGTCGCCTAGCCGGACACTCCGCCTGACCAAGGATCCGCCTGGTCTTGGCAGCCCCATCGCTACCGGCAGCAAGCAATTTCATTCGCTCGCTGCTGTACACGGAATCCACGCGCCGTGCGCTGTAACTCCTGCTGTCTAGCCCCGGTCAACAGGAGGAGGACAAGGTCACACAGGAGCTTTTTCTATTTTTCACTCGCCTAAGCACAGATGAGCAGATACTGAATATACTGTAGATATTCTACCGGGTCCCAGTACACCCGGTATATCGGTATATCACACCTGTCGCACTGCCTCTGGCCAGGTTTCGTCTCCGTGCTTACACCGTTCGCGTGCTCCTCGAAGAAGAACGTCGATCACGCCCCGATCGCTGGACAGTACTCGGATAAAACTATCCCAATCGTTTTTCGAGGCAGGCATGCCGCACATACTGCTGCACGTGTCGTTGCGAAGCCTCGATCGTGGTCGACGCCGTGGTTGCCTCTCGCCACACACCGCCTGATGAGGATGGCGGGTCGTGTGCATGCGGAGAGAACCAACGCAGGCGTTTCAAAAACCTAAAAATGGGCTTGTTCCGATAGCAAACCAACCCCAACCCACGGATAATTCCCAGTTGCGCGTCCCCACTCCCTTGTTGCCCTCTTGCTGCTTGCTTGCTTGCCGCCCACTTCCGCTTGCTGTCTCACGCACGTGAGTTGACACTCGTTGGGAACACCACCACTGAACAGCACAATGGCTTCCCCTCCCACCGGCGAAGAGCTGGCGGTGATGATCGAAGATAAGGGGAACGAAATCCGACAGCTGAAATTCGCCAAGACTTCGAAGGACGATTTGAAGCCGCACATCGACGAGTTGCTGGCTCTCAAGACCAAGTTCCAGAGCACAACGGGTGCCCCGTACGTCGCTCCCGGTCAGGAGAAGAAGACCAAGCCAGCTCCAGCGGCAACCCCGGCAGCGCCGGTCGACCCCAACAAGAAGTCGAAGAAGCAGCTGCAGCGAGAGAAGAAGGAGGCGGAGAAGGCCATCGCCAAGGCGAAGGCCAAGGAGGAGCGGGAGAGGAAGCAGGCCGAGGCAGCAGCAAGCGGCGGCGGATCCGCCCACGAGAGGTACTGCTTTGTAGAGAGTGGTCTGCGTGAGTTTGCAAACAGCAGTGGGGGTGGTGGGTACCGCTGGTGTTCTCGTGGCTGTTTCCGTCTGAAACTCGCGTATTGGCCCGACAGCATGTGGTAGACACTCCGGATGCGACGTGTGTCCGCGCCTTTTCTCCAGTTGCGCCAGTCATTGTTCTTGGTTCTTGGGGCCACAGGGAACAGGGAACGGTTCTCGGAGTATCTTTACTTGCAAGTGCCCCCAGTCAGAAACACAGGCGCCTCGGCCACAGAGAGCCGTTCTCAGCATACAATGTAAGGAACCGACGCGGGTGCTTCTCCTGCCAAGTGCCCCCAAGTAGTCAGAAACACAGCCACAGCGTTTCCGTGGTTTATATTCAGGCCGCTGTGAGAGGCGGGACAACTGATACTGACAGCATGCTGCTGTTCCACTCTGGACTGGGATATATAGAAGCCCCGTACGTGAAACCCGCAATAGAAGCCCGGTACAGCAGCATACATATATCCGACTTCCGCGAGGGCCAATCGGTTGGGAACTCTGCCATAGTAATGAGGGTAAGTCTTTTAGGAGTGACGGAGACGAAGGAAAGGGAAAGGGAAGAAAGGAGGACGAAGACGACGATGGAGGAGGAAAACATGGAAGAGTGGAAGAGAGCAAAGGGTTTGAGCCAGATGACCTTCCCCAGAACAAAAACCGCAGGGCTAGGGAAGAAATGGCAAGAGATTGTTGTCAAAATGATGATCAGAATAATGGTAGCGAAAACAAGGAGGATAATGGTGAACATACTCCTAAACGAACTATTATATATAGAGAGTACAAGGTAATAGCCTTGGTAGACCCGTCCAATTTTCTTCTGTTGCTGCCATTTCTGTCTTTAATCCGAAGGATAGTTTAGCCTCCCCCATGCTGCCCCCTCACGGGGTCCCAGTTCATGGCAGATAGAAGTGTTTTGCGTTTTCAACCGCACTAAGACTGACGTATTTTCATTGTTCAGCCGGTTAGCGCGGTCGGTGCTAATAATAAATACATACACAGGCGTTTGGGACGCTCCATCTACTTCCGCGCGAAAATGTGTTCACATGGTGTTTCGGGGTTGAAGGGAAAAAATATACCACGTGGTATACACCTGCGACTCTGCTGAAGTCGCCCTGACGTAGGACGCCGTTGTTGCTCCCTTTGAGAAGCTCCGCAGTCACACCGCCTCTCTGCATCGTTTAGATTATTTTCTTTGGTGTCTCGGCAGCACTTTGAGCACCAGACATGCTCCCTCACACTTTGAGAAGGCCTCGATGGGGCACTTTGCTTTCGCAAGCGTTGACTACTGCTGCTTCGGCGATGTGGTCAGAGACGGGACTGTCGATTTTCAAGATTCCCGAGTTCAAGTGTTTCCAGCGAGACTGAAAGGATGAAAACGACAAAAACGTTTCATTGGATTGGTTTAACAGCACAAGTCATGCCACCAAGTGTCCGAACGGGGCTTACATTCCGGTCCAGATAGTAGCATTTCAGCCCCGCTTTTCTCAGACGATCGGCTCACAATTAGCCCACGGCAGAAGCCGAAAGCCGCTCGACCCGGCTCGCTTGCAACAGGGCAGGCCTTTGGCAAACGTCGCCATGCTTAAGATAAGCCGTCCTGGACATCGTTCTTTGGAGCGATATTTACTACTCCTTCGTTCCCGGCGTACCGTCTCACGCTGTGTCATACGGTACGGTACACATCGAACAGCCGAAACCACGACACAGCAGCGGGGCCGCTTGGCCGGCCTCCTCCGCCGTTCTGTACCACACCACACTGCCACGAAGTAGTTTTCGGTCTTCACAACTTAAAGAAGAAAACAAATGGCACAATGCTGATTTCTGCCCAGGACCCCATCCTCCGCACCACTTCCAGGCAATGAACAGGAGCGGTCGCCAGCATATCAACAAATGACGCCATGATACGCACGAAAAGAGAAGGTTCTCACCACTTCACGAGAACAGAAAATGCAACGTCAAACTCCATACTGATGAGAAGAAAATAATGGCACACCCAGCAAATCTCAGCTGAAATCGTCTGCAGGCCTGCGAGATGCGCCCTGCTTTTGTGAGATCGCTTCGTTTGTTGCCTCAGTTGTCCTCATGGGTTTTTCCTCCGACGCAAATTCTCGGTCGAATGCGTGTGTGTTTGGTTTGGCAGCACACCCGAGGGGCAGGAGTGGAGGTACGGCGACCTACCCATGGTCCAGTCGTCGGAGATGACGGGCAAGACGTTCTGTCCCGTGGGAGACCTCACATCCGCCAAGGCCGGCGAAGAGATCTGGCTGAGGGCCAGGGTTCACACCTCCCGGTGGGTGCTATGCGGAGCAGGGATAGTTCCGTTCGTCGTCACAGCACAATGAAAATCGTTCTCGTCGCAGTTTCGCCACCGCAGATGCAGAGGTATCGGGTAGTCGGGGGGTGACTTACAGTCGAGATGGTGCCTTGCGTTCCTTCCCAGTGGAGCATGTTGCCTCTCAACCTCCCTTTTGCCACTACCGGCCACCACCACCCCAAACACCCGACACTTGCGCAGGTCCATCAAGAAGGGCGTCTTCCTGGTTCTCCGGCAGGCTCTGTACACTGTCCAGGCCACCGTCTTCGTGGGCGGAAACGTGGGCAGGCCCATGGTCCAGTACGCGGAGGACGTCTCGAAGGAGTCGGTCATCGACGTGAGGGGCACGCTCGTCGTCACCCCGTCCCCGGTGTCCGGGTGCACGCAGAAGGAGGTGGAGCTCAAGATTGAGGAGGTAAAAGAAGGCCTGTTTGTGTTCCCCGCATTTCTTTCTGGGTTGCCCCTCCCTCCCCGCCGATCTACGCAGCGGAGTGCATCTAACCCGACGTTGCTCGTGGTTGGTGGGCGCCTGCACCTGACGTAGAATCCCTGTTTCACGTGCACTTAGCCATCCGTGCTTGTCGTTCCTGCATAGCTCACAATTTCACAACTTCGGCATCGTGGGACGCGTCGCGTGCTATCGCCTTCATCCTATTATCCGTCGCTATTTTTTTTCGCGGTGCGGGACAAGGCGGTGTTGTTCGTGTGCACGGCTGAATCGTACCGTGCATGATTGGGGTCGTGAGCACGGACGAACGTAGGGCCTCTCGTGTGGGTCGTACATCGTGCAATGATAACGTCACCGTACACCAGGGGCCCAGCCAGAGAGGTCGGGTAACACCAACTTCAAAGTGCAGGCGAAGCAGGCCGGCGCATCTCCTCACCGGGGTGGCGGGCTCACGATCTGGTTGTACACGGATCATACAACTCGTGTGTTGTTCGTTTGCGTTTTTGGTTTGGTGTTTGTGTGGTTTCAACTGTTTTCTTCGCAGTTAGCCCTCCCTTCTTGCTCGCCCTAATTTTCGCGCGCTTCTTGTTTGCTGTCCTTGGCCGTTTCGCATTCCAGATCCACGTCGTGAGCGCCGCGGACACGTTCATGCCGGTGATCGTGGCGGACGCGATGCGGCCGGACCGCACGCCCGAGGAGGAGGAGAAGCAGGAGAAGGAAGGAAAGGTGAGAGTTTGGCCCCCCTTTTCCGCAGTCGGGTTCTTGGTCTCGGTTTTGCCGTGCACACAGATGTTGTACTCTCTACTGCTCCAGTCACCCTTGTGTGCGTGCCGTTGGTTTCCGGTTTCCTCTCGGAAGTCAAGTGGCCTCAGGTCACCGGGCCGTGTTTTTGTCGCTGCCGGCGATCGCGCGTACCTTTTTCCTGCGACCGCTTTTCTTCCCGCTCGGCTGTGGAGCGGTTGTACGTTCAGTATCGTCCATTATCGGAAGGGGGGGTAGTCGCTCCCGACCCGTGCGTGTCGCGCTGTTTCAGCCACCATGCCTGTTGGGGACGGTGCGGCTCTCACGTCTTCCCGCAGCAACGAACATTCATCCACTCCATCGCTACCATCTCTTGGTCTTTTGATAGTGTGTCGAGTCAATCCCCGCCTCCCGTGCCCTTCGGTCCTCTCCCTGCCCCCCCCCCCGTGTGTTCTACTGTACGTCCCTGACGTTTTCCCGTGCACTCAATTGGGTGAAGCGTTACATACCACGCCCCCTAGATGAAGATTCCGTGTCCGACTGTATACGTTTGCGCGCCCCCCCTCCAACACCCTATCCTACATCACACGTGCCTTGGTGGGTTACCCTGTATCACGTCATTGTGTGGCTTGAGCCGCCACCTTTCCTCGAAATCTTGCGCACAGAAGCTGATTGTTATTTTCGGAATGCTCTTGTCACGTCACATGGCGACCTCCCGACAGGCCCCCACGGTAGCGGCCGACACCCGCCTCGACTACCGTTGGATAGACCTCAGGACCCCGGCGAACCAGGCGATCTTCAAGATTCAGTCGGCGGTGTGCCAGTACTTCAGGGCCAACCTGGCCTCCAAGGTTTGTTTTTATTTATTTCGTCTCGGCGGCCTTGTTAGCGATTTTTTGTTTTGGTGTGTCGTTGTCGTTGTTGTTGTTGGTGATGTTGGTAGTCCCTGCTGTGGCTGTGGTGTTGCACGGGTGATCGTGGTACAGGTGTCGGTGTTGTTGAGAGCTCGGTTGGGGGGTGACGGACACGCCAGCCACCATGTGTGTGTGTTCGTGTGGATGCGTAGATACGAGGTGACGCCGAGAGATGGGGGTTTTGCTTCCGTACATGTAACGCCATAGGGAGCTCTTAGAGAGATTCGTTGATTGGTGCCGTGTTGCTGCGTGTCGCCTGTCTGTTGGCGTCCACTCCCCGCTGTGCTACGCTGCTGCGCAACAACAAAAGCCCCCATTATTGCTGCTACTGCTGTTGTGTTCTAATCAGGGTTTTGTAGAAATCCACAGCCCCAAGCTGCTGGCGGGAGCGTCGGAGGGGGGCTCGGAAGTGTTCACCACCAACTACTTCGGCACGGAAGCGTGCCTCGCGCAGAGCCCGCAGCTGTACAAGCAGATGGCGGCCGCGTGCGGAGGGTTCGGGCGCGTGATGGAGGTGGGTCGGGCCCAAGTGTTGTCCCGCATTGGTTGAGCGTTGTCGTTGTTTTCTCGGCTGGGCAATATGAAACCGTTTTCGCGTCAAGTGTGCGAAGGTTTGAACGACCACAAGGTCTGGATGCGATTTTTTGTTTTGCCATGTAGCGGAGGGTTTGGACATGCGGCAAACATGGGTTCTGTATTTCCGTGTGTCCCCTGTTTTTTTTTCTTCAGGTTCGTCAAATGTGTTGATCTGATGTGTTGCGTTTGTCGTCAAGGCGTCTCGAACTGTTGTTCGCGAGGCATGCGGTCCATCAAGTGTGTGATGACGTGAAGCACGAAGACCAAGAGTTTTTCTAGCACAGATTGAACGGACAGATTCAGAACACATCGGTTTGCATGTCTTGATTATTAGAATCGACCGCGCTAGCCAGCTGACCAATGAAATGACGTGAGTCTCAGTGCGGTTGAAAACACAAAACACTTCTAAATGCCATTAACTGGGACCCCGTGAGGGGACGGCACGGGGGAGACTATTGCATATTCTCCGGATTAAAAACAGAAACGGTTGCAACAGAAGAAAACTGCACGTGTCTACGAAAGTGTGTGTGTGTTTGTCCTACCTTTCTGACGCCTGTCTATTCCGCACGAATTGCAACGGAACCATGTTCATGTTTGCACTCCTCCGAGCACGGCAGTACCTAGTAGAATCTGGTTTGGCCGTGTCGATTTTTCCGTCCGTTTGGGGTGTCCTCGGTGGCCTTGTATTTTCCCCGGTCAAAGAAGGGTGAACACATCCAAACACCGCTTGCCTTTCCCCCGATGGACGTACGTGAGTGAGCACTACTAATCTCAGTATCGTTTCGCGTCGATTCCGTGTTTCCCAAACGTTTTTCTGGGGTCGTGGGCGGCAGGTGGGACCAGTGTTCAGGGCGGAGAAGTCTAGGACTCACCGACACCTTTGCGAGTTCACGGGGCTGGACTTCGAGATGGTCATCAAGGAACACTACTTCGAGGTGCGAGAGGTGGCGGCGCACCGCAGAGAAACTGCTGTGTTTTCTTTTTGTATGCGTTTGTCTGCTTGGCACCATGCGGCGACCTCAATGTTCTTGGCTCGGGGGACTTGGTGTTGGCATAGCTCGTTTGGCGTGCGACCGGTGGCTACGGTATTGGTGCGGTATGGTGCTACCTCATTCCCCGATGGTACCGGCAGTTGGTTCCGCATGTGTCCAACTATTGCTTTGGTGCTTTGGTGCAAATAGCGCATGAACCCTTGGAATTGCCTTGTAAGGCAGTGTCGATATTCCCGTCAGAACGTCTGCGACAGCAGGTGTTGTGTTGGAGCGCGACAGCGACGTGAGCACGACGATATTCCCGTGTGTGCTGTAATAATGCGACTGCACGAACTATCTCGCAAGGTCTTGAAGGGACAGCCGCGCTCTTGATTCGGCGACTTTCACGCAGAGCCTGGTGGAAATGTCGAAACGTCGTAGAGCGGCGTGACATGAGTACGTCGCGTGTCCTTTGCTTTCAAGCAAAAAATACGGAAAAGGCCGCATCGAGCCGGGCCGGGCTCGTGTGCCCAAGTTCGTTTGGGTTTTCTCAGCATAGGGACTGCCTGCAAAACATCGTCGACTCGCCATGACTGTCGTGAACAACCGTTAACCTGCACGATTCGAGGTCCCCGGTTTAGCTCTGTGCGTGCAGGTGGCAGGGGCGGCCGTCCTGCTTCACTCCCCGCCCTCCTCCCACCTCCACCTCCTTCTCCCCCAGAGCAACCCCCGCCATCCGCTTAGATCGTTCTCACACCCCATTATTTCTCCCCCGGACAACGCCCCGCTCAAATGTCGGTCCAAACATCCCCGCATCGTCTCTCCCAGGTCCTTGAAGTCTTCTCGGACCTGTTCATAAACATCTTCGACGAGGTTAACCGCAACTGCAAGGAGGAGCTGGAGGCAGTGAGGACGCAGCACCCCTTCGAGGACCTGCGGTACGCGCGCCCCACGCTGAGACTGACGTTCCAGGAGGGCATCCAGCTCTTGATAGACGCGGGATACGATGGTGAGTTGTGTCGCGCTCTCAAGCTGCTGCTGCTGCTGTACTGTTGATGCCCGTACACACCGCCCGAGACATACCGAAGACAATCGTGATATTGGAATGCGGTTGCTGGTTTTTGAGATTGTTGCTTTGGCGATAGCGATTCGAGTGGAATCGTCTCGTGATGTGGGTGCCGCTATTTGCAATCGTGTGTGAGAAATACGCATGAGTCGAAAACGAGAGCAGATGTTCGCATATGCTTTTTTTATCTCTCTCGCCCCAGTCACCAATACTCAATGCTCTGTCACTGTTTGCCTTATTACGCTTGCTTCTTTAGCAATCTTTATGCCTGACACCGTTGAGCCATGTGCCCCGTTCGCCCCCACCTCCCGCCCGCGGTGCGGTTCGTGTTTTTCCGGGACGGATTGACGGGACAGCCGACCCCTTGGGTGACCTCTCGACGGAGCACGAAAAGAAGCTGGGCGACCTTGTAGCGGAGAAGTATGGCACCGACTTCTTCATGATGGACAAGTACCCTCTTGACGTGCGGCCCTTCTACACCATGCCGTGCCCGTCCAACCCCAAGCACAGCAACAGCTTCGACATCTTCATTCGGGGAGAGGTGAAGACTCGGTGGTGTCGTGTGATGGATGGTGGTGTGGCTAGTGATGATAGCTGGGTTATGCATGTGCTCGTCTTGTGTTCGAGCGGTGTTTATTTCTTGTGTTGGAGCTTGAGTGCCGTCGCGTCGCTTGCCACTTGATCATATACATGGTCAATCGCGCTTATCAGCATTTTCCCGCCGGTGGACTGTGTGTTGGGGTTGTGTCGATCTACAGCAGCGCCCCTTGCTTGGTGGAGGAGTTAGTGGAGCCGCACCTTCCATGGACGAGCAGGGCGCCCGTTGTGCCTCCCCGACGGCTTCGTTACGATGATGACCTTGCTGCGCTTCGAAGTACTTCTGCTGTTTGCCGTGAACAAGGGGCTTGTGGCCCCCCGGGGTCCTAGACCGACTACAACCCGCTTGAGCCGAGTCTTATCTCATCCCTTCACAACGTTCGAAAGAACAACGGAATCCGTCTTGGCTTGTCTGATAACAACCCCCCCCCCGCGACCCTTTCCCAGGAAATCGTGTCCGGCGCTCAGCGTATCCACGACTTGGAGTTCCTGAAGGAACGAGCCAGGGAACACGACATCCCCCTCGACTCGATTATGTCGTACCTGGACGCGTTTAAGCACGGCGCCGAGCCGCACGGTGAGGAACAGCAGTCTCAGAGCCGCATGTTGCCCGCGTGAAATGTCCCCCGTTCGTAAGGGGTCCTGGTGGTGCGAAGCTGAAGAAGTCTGGTTGGGTTTGGTGTTTTGGAGTGGAAAAATTGCGTTCCTGGACAGGAGAGACTGGCCGTTGGTCGCGACTGTTGAACTAATTTTAGCGCCAAGCACCCTCTAAATCGCGTTCATGCGCGCCTTGGTACATGCTTCCACAGGCGGCGGGGGCATCGGATTGGAGCGCGTGGTGATGCTGTTCTTGGGGCTGAAGAACATCAGAAAAACGTCCATGTTCCCTCGGGACCCGAAGCGATGCGCCCCCTAAGGGACCAGAGGGCGGCCTGCTATTCCCACCAAACTTGCTTGCCTACCTTGTAGGCTGCCCGCCAACCTCTGGCGGTGGGGTTCGCGTCCGAGTCAGCCGCAAAGGCGCTACATGGCGTTGTGCTCGTGTGATAGTACTCGACCTTTCCCTGCGCACGGTAGAGAACGGTCAGCAGCGTCGTGTCGATGCGCTTGTTTTCGATGTGAAGCGCCGTGGGGCGGGTAGGAACGATGTGGTGGGCCCTGTATCCCCTCCCAGACTTGCCCAGTTTTTTTTTTTCGTTTTTTTGCGGTGGGGGCGGTCTTGGGTTGGTCTACGGTAGCAGAGGTGGAAACCGTGATTGGCGGTTCCGCTTCCCTTTGGTGTGGGCCCATTGGTATTGCCCCTGTGGACTATTTTTGTCAACCCGACAATCTTGCAAAGCACATGGATGGTATCTCAATGATTGGAAAATCGTTGGGGAGAAGTTCGACGTTTGTTTGTCGTCCGTTGCGGTTTTTCCCTCGGACTACCCGTCTGTTGCCGATGCGAGAACGCGATCGAACGTTATGTTGTTGGTATGCTTATTCGAAGACCAATGCTCCAGCCTTGAGGCTGAGATTTTGCGTTGATCTTCCAGGAACGAAAGTGGATGCTGTTGAGACATGCAAATAGTTTCCGAGATGCATTTTGTTTGAGCAAAACTGAGGTTATTTCTTCTCGGCATTGTGCTCCTAGGGTGAAACTGTTGAACGTTGGCATCATGTTGGTTGGAAGCTAAGATACCGATGTCGTTGTGATGTTGTGGTTGGCTTTGTTGATGTTTTCGAATTTTGTTTTTCAGGCGATCGATGGAGTACTCACTCCAACAAGAGTTGCCGGAAAATGTGTTGAGTGCAACCGCACGTACCACTCAGCATTCGTTGGGAACTTCGTCCTCTACATACATGGTACCTCCGGCTCACGTTGCAGCTCAATGGCCTTAGTCCCGCTCCTGGTGGAGTCCACCATGTTTCTCAAGAGAGAGCAGTTTACGAGGTCGGCCCTGCAACGGTTGGCTTATTTCCCCCCCTTTTTTCACGGGACGTGTATGTTGTTGCAACATCACGATTTCAGAAAAAAAAAAGTACCGCGCTGATCTGGGGCGCTTGGTTGTATGTACAAAACACGCCTACATGTCTACAGCAGCAATAGTAGCTGTGTGCTTCCATGTGTCAGCGCCAAGGAATTGGCACCACACCGATGATCCGTCGGAGAGATCGCACCGGGTGCAATAAATGAAGCAAGTATTTCAAAAGACAATCGCACTCGGTGCCATCTCTCCGCCGCATACGGTACGACTCTCCTCCTGTATGGGAGGGAAACCACATTCTTACTGCCCCCATCGATAGTCGAAACTTGGCGAGTATAATTTACACAGGATGGCGCATTCGCGCGAATAAGAGCGAGGAAGAATGTGACGTTTGTTTTCCTTCCATTTCTTCCGGAAGTTTGTTAGCTTGGAAGAGAAGGGCAGCCCACCCGACACGGTAGCTGTCCCCCTCTTCCAGAAAATACGAAAATACACGCGAGCTGGACCTCTTTCTAGACGGGGACCAAGAAAAACAAATGACGTTTCATTTTTTCGCGGAACAGAAACGCCGCCGCCGCGCGCCGCGCCTCTCTTTTTTCCGCCGCGTTTTTTCTTTTTTGGTCCACGTCCTTCCACCCGCTTCCACCCGCTGCGCACAATTTTTCCACACAAAGCATACAGGCACGCCAACAGGAGCAACTGCTGCAAACTTCTCGAGCCATGTCTACCAAAGCAGGAGCCAAGATCTTCAAGACCAAGTGCTCGCAGTGCCACACTGTTGAGAAGGTACGTCACCCCACGCACGCAACCTTCCTTTTTGTCTGGCCCTCTCCCTTCTGGAACGCTTTTTGTGGGTCTGCGCTGTTTTTTCTTGGCGGAGTCTTTTTGGGTCGAGGAAAGTCTAGGCGTGCTTGGCCATGCGTACTCGGCGGCGCTGTAGAGGTGCACCTGTGCCTGCCCCTCAGAGAGTAGAGCGGTCGGTGTCCACTTGTGCACGCAAAGAGAGAGGCGCTGCTGCCGTGTACCGGTTGGAAACATAAGTGTGATCGGTTCGCAAAGTGTGTGTTTTTTGGGGCCCTGTTTGGTCCGTGGTGGCTGATGACGCACAGACTTAAGGAACAGACTTGTCACTCACTAGCGTGTAAGTTCCGCCTTCTCTCGGCTAAATGCGAGAAATGTCGTCTGTGCATGCAACAGGAAGCATTAGCTCTTGCCCACTCCTGCAAAGAGACGCACCGAGTTGCAACAGGGAGGAGCGAGAGCGAGAGAGAGAGAGCGTACGATGACGTTATCGTTCTTTCGTGTAGAGAGCCGCCCGCCGAGCAGTGTACGGTCTAGGACCGCTAAAATTGCAACGTATGCGGACCCATTCGATTCGTCATCAATCTCCATCCTGCACGCTCTTCCTGCGTTCCTCTCGCATCATGTAGTAAGAGCAGGCGAAAGACATACACACACCAACCTCTTGCAATTGCTTCTCCCGCCCCCCCCTGTTTGCTCGCCTCGCTGCAGGACGCCGGCCACAAGCAGGGCCCCAACCTGAACGGCTTGTTCGGGCGCACGGCGGGCACCGTGGACGGCTACTCGTACTCCACCGCCAACAAGACGTCTGGCGTGCTCTGGGACGAGAGCTCCCTGTTCGACTACTTGCTCGCGCCGAAGAAGTACATCAAGGGGACCAAGATGGTGTTCGCGGGCATCAAGAAGCCGGCAGAGCGAAAGGAGCTCATTGCGTACCTGAAGGAGGCAACGGCACCGTGATGATGGTATTTGTTTTTTGCTCTGCTGTCGTGTGTATGTGTCGTGGTGTCGTGGACCTTTTTCTACAAGTCGTAGAACGATGATGATGTGGTAGGCTTTTTGGAACGAAAAAATTGTGTCGTTTTGGGGGGTCCCAGGTAATAGTGGGGAAGGGGGTGGTAGTCAACAGAATGGGCAGGGGTGCGTGGAGGCCAGCAGCAAGAGAGGCTGGTGTAGATGGGGGTAGCTGGAGTAATCAGCTGGGCGGGCGGGAGGAGGGGGTGAACTCCGCCGTTGGCTGTACATTACGGCCAGACGAGACCTCTCTCTCATCGAAAATCACAATCAGTTACATATGGTAACATAAAAGAGAGACCACCCAAGAATACACAGCGGTCGGGCACGTAAAACAGGGTCTAGAGACAGGAGCAGGGGGGCGGAGGTCGCAGCAGGAGTTGGATAAGTCGGAGTGCGTGCGGCAGCTGTTTTTTTTCGCGATTGTTGTTCTCGTGGCGGCTGGCAGTTGACGACAGGCAGCAGTTGCATAAAAGTTTTGCTTCAAATGAGAGCCTACAAATTTTCCGTCTCTCGGAATCGTGTGGATTCGTGTGCGCTCGTTACGCAGTGCTTGTATTTTCTTGCCCTGCCGTCGTCACACACCACCTCTTGCCAAGAGCTTTTGTTGTTCAATTTTGACTAGAATGGGGAGGGGAACCTGGTGTACGTTGTACTGTAGGACACAGGAGAAACCCAACGTTTCCATTGTGTAGGCGAGCAAGAGCGTCCTCTTTCGGTAGCGAGCAGCACGTTGCTGCCAAGTAATTGGGCGCCGGACGGATCCCCCCCCCCCCCCTCTCCACCTGCCATACACCCCTTTGATCCCTCCGAGTTGCGTGCCGGAGATGTGTAATCGTAGTACATTTTTAGCGCTTTTTTTTATTCGCGTAGGAACCCGAATTTCCCGTGTCCAAGCAGCAGCCGAGAGCGGAAGGCGCGACATTGGGGCGTGGGTGCAGAATGATGCTTACGAACTACATGTGCTGTCTTTTTGAGTGTCGCTGATCTCTGTGTCGGAGTTGGCAGCAGGATGTCTGGTCGGGTGGTTGTTTCCAGCTTTTGTTTGTCACGTGTCGATGGCTCGTGCGTCATCGGCAACCTTTGAGGTCCGGTGGTTTTGCCTGAGGTGCAGAGTCTTCACATATCACTCCAGGTTGCTGCTGCTTAGTCGCGATGGCGATGTGTTGTTTTGAGAGGGAGAGGGGAGAATGCTTAAAAGAAAAGCGAACGAAATTACGTGACGATTTTTTGGCGTTGTGCCCAATCGCTGCTGTTGCTGTGTGTGACGGTGGCAAGGCTGCTCCATATTGCTCTTAATCATCCGAGCCGTATCCGCAGCAGCGCTGTCCGCGTTGTGCACACAATTTGTCCACGTGCTAACTCGTACGCCCGCGGAACACTGTTCCCGTTCAGCAACACTTTGCATTTTGCATGACGTGCTTGCGCTCGGCGTTCTTTGCTCTTCTTGTGGATATGACGAAGCCGCCTCTACTTGCCATTTGTGGCAGGCTAACGGTCTTCCAGTATGACAGGTGTATCAATCTTCTGTACCGCTACAACTTCCTCGGTTTGAAATCATTCGAACGTGCACGTTGGTGCGTTCTTGGCAATGCACTCATTTTCCATGATTAAACCTTAACCACAGGTGGCCCAAAACTGTAGACGGCATGTTATTTTGCTGGCCCCGCCGCCTCTATCTACCAAAGTGTCATTTATTCTCCTTTTTCTCTTCAATTTTTTGTCAACACCGTCGTTTCGGAGCGTCTGACTGCTCCGTGGTCTTGCCTCCTCACAACCAACTGCAGAGCTCCGATCAGGGGTCATAAAGAAGAAATCTTGTGGCGCGCTTGACGTCGACGTTTTTACGCGAGAGCGCTTCAGCCGTCCTTTGCTGAAGTTTACTCAAGAACAAGCACGCTACGGCCCCGTCAAGCTACGAAAGATCGGACACGCCTTTCGCCGACAGTCGAACTCCCGACGCTCTTCAACGTTTTCCTGCAACCTAGGCCACCGGGGCGATCAAACCGCCCATATTGGGCGACAACGAGAAACAAACGCCGTTGGTGCTGCATGTTTGGAACCCCTCCGTCACGACTGGAGCGCATCTACATTGAGAGAGCTCAAGAGAGCTCAAACGGTGAGGCAGCTGCTCAACCTCAACAACTAAAACTGATCGCTCACTCATGTAATAGCACGTCTCCGGCTCACAACAACATGCCAAAGAACTCGGTCACCACTTCCGGACCCGCTTCACAAAAGCTAACCGGATTTAAGAAACAACTACGTCTTCCCGTGCCTCCCCCAGCGGAAGGTTGCCACCAACACACACCAGTCCCAGAGCAAAAAAAACACAAGGATTCAGTGACACAAGGGGACAAGAAAAGGACCAAAAAAGAAACACGAACCAAAAAAAATCATGACGCCTCGGGACCCATGACGTTGGGGTCGAGCGCCGAGTACAACCCCATCTGTGCGATCTCCTGGCGCGTTTTCCCCTCCGCCAGCAGAGCGTTGATGTGAATCTTCTCCTGCTCGATAAGCTGTGCTTCCCGAGTGATCTGTAAGGAGGCCGGGGGTGCGTGGGGCTTTGCGTTATAAGGCGCTACTGCTGTGTAGCGTCCATTGGTCACGCGGCGGAAAAGACCAACGTGACGCGGAGGGTTGCACTGCTGAACATTTTTTGTGAAGGATGCGTTGCCGAGAAGGGGCAAGGCGTTTTACGAAAACCCCGGTTAAAACACCGTACGTAGCCCGCCGAAAAAATACAAGAGCAAAATCGACTACAACAGCACGGGTATAGACCGGCCAGCGGCTTGACTGATACATACTCATCATTCTTCTGCGCCAAAGACTCTACCCCAAAACATCAAAGGAGCGTCACACCGAGGCAAAACCCAACACGCCCCCAAGAAGTGTGGCAGGGCGGACAACATAAGCGAGTCGGCAGCAAAACTTGGGCGGACAAAAAAACAAGACACGCCGACGCACCCACAACAGAAACACACGCCTGCCTGCGCCTCGTACGAACGCCTAAGGGCATGAGTGTTATTTTTCGTGCGTTTTGTTTTACGTGAGAGCAGCATTCCTGTCTTGCAAGCCTAACATGGCAATCAAAAATAACAAAGAGCAAACACACCCCAAAACCAATGTTCTCTTGAGAAAGAGGACGGTGGCACCTGCAAGGTCGATATGTTGCTTTGGCCCCACGGCAAAAGAAAGCAGAAAGACGCGAAAAAACTGGTCCAAGGAAAGGAACGTTTCAAGCTTTTCCCGTTACAACTCACCGAACCGTAGGTGTTAATAGAGCCAGGCGAACTATCAACGCAGCCCACCACAGGGTCCTGCGAGACCTGCGCCTCCTCTATGTGATCCCACGCCGTGAAAGGCCTCTCTTTCTTGTAATCCGTGTCATCGATATTGTACAAGTGCTCCAGCGCCTCCACATCTGTGTGCACTCGTACTACATATGAGCTCGGCGCAAATCACCGGCTCCACGGACATAGCTATGGCTATATCAACGATCTAGCCAAAGCTATGTCTGTGGGACCTGTTATTTATACCGAGCTCATAGTACCAGTGTCACGATTTCGCGAAAGCTATGTCCGTGGGGCCGATGATTGGCGCCGAGCTCATGGTACGAGTGCATAAAAATGTGGTGATGCTGGAGCACTTGTACAATATCGATGACACAGATTACAAGAGAGGCCTTTCAAGGTGATCCTTGTGGGCATCATAGAGGAGGCACAGGTCTCGCAGGACCCTATGGTTGGCTGCACCCGTGAAATTCGACGCAGTGGATTTCCCGCTTCGAAGACATGGAATCAGGAGCATTCCGACAACAATTCGGCATTCAAAAACGTGCCGACGAAACGTGAAACTTGAAGACAGGGTAATAAAAAAAAAGTCAAGCAACCCCAAAAAGGTGGCCGATACTGCCGAAAACACAAACCCAGGTCGTGCCCAATGCCACTTGCAGCACTTCCGCAAATAACGATGATGATGATCAGCAGCAGCAGCCTGAACGGCGAGTGCTGACATATTCGCAGGGCCACCACAAGCGTGGCTTTTCATAGACACCAGATGCGGCAGCGGCAGCAGAGGTGCCTGCTGGCGCGGGGCTAGACGGCGTCGGGAGACTGGTCTGCATGCATGGGGTCCGAATCAAGACTCTACTGCTGCACTGCGACAACCCCCCCAGCCAACCACGTGTATCTGTGCAAATGGCGAGGTGGCGGCGACCTGGTGTACCGCGAGAAACAAAATTCGGGATCACAGGACAGGAAATGCCGTGTCCGGAAAGCAGGTCACGCTACGGAACACCAAGCTTCATGCATGCAGAACACACACATCGTATGCATACCCGATTGCTGAACATTGATACCTGTGATAAAACCATGCCCAACTGCTGTTGATCGGAAACATTTTTGTCGAGTCTCGATGGTCAACTTTGGTTCATGATTCTCACAGGGCGGGGCGGGTTACTGTGCTCGACTTATTTGCGATCGCGAATGTGAACCATCGCATTCAGCAACACGGCAACCTACTTGTAGCCCACCAGGTGAACGAACCGCCACTGGCGTCCACGGTTCACGGACCACGGCAGCAGCTATAGCAGATCTTTTTTCAGAGTTCGGCTCTAGGCCTCTTCTTGGGGGTAAGTAAATAGTTAGCCTGTGATCACGAAGGTGTGTCGACGTCAAATGGCCAAGTGGATGTCGGACGGTACTGCAGAGATCGGAACGGCTTGAGCGCGAAGACAACAACAACAACAAGTCACATTCCCGAGAACCTATCCTCGACTCAAAACATACATGAATACGTACGTACCTCGAAGACTAAAGGCACAAGAGTAACGACGGCTGTTGTCAGAAGCACCCAGCCCGTTCGCCCCGTCTTTTTCGCCGCCCACTGTGCCCACCCGAACCCCGCCACTCCCAGTGATCTCCCGGTTACCACCAGCGTCTGTCGTACGCCAGACAACATCCGCATCATAAAGAGCAACAGCAACGGGAAGAAAAATCGTCTAAAAATCCGGCCATAGGGGTGTGGCATGCTGTGATGGGGAGGTTGGTTGCAGGGGTTGGTGCGGGGAGAGAGAGAGCGCAAGGTAACAACGTGGGAGGGGCTTCAAAATGCTACCGAACTCAGTCCAGGAGTGCTCCACACAAGCGCATGAAATCGGAGCGGGCGCAGGGGGTCGCCCGCAAACATCCCATCGGCGTGCGCACTGCATGGAGGCCCTGCCAACTAGAGTTGGGAGCCCGAAACTTGTCGATGCTGGCTCAATCAAACCACTAAACATGGATCAGGAGTCAGCACTCATCGTATGCATATGCTCCGAAAGAACCAGAGTATATTTGCTGCAGTAGTCATTCCTCTCGACCACGAGAGGGCCGCGGCGCGGGTTTGGATTCGGTATACATGCTAGCACAGCAGTACGTATGACGTGCTATACGTTTATGCAAACGTAGGTGTAAGCAAGATGTGACAATATGCATACACAGAATCGCGCTGTTGCTGCTAGTAGCAAGCACGGCCGCGTGCAATACTTCACTTTCACCTCTTTCGGAGAGGCGTCCGGCGGTACCAAGTTCCAGTCCACAACTGGTTAGCTTCGCATCTCTTCCAAAACCAGCAACTACTTTGATGCCGCATAGGAGACCAGATTGCTGAACGCTGTATCTGATGCGCACACCATTTTTCACTCACCCACCCCCTACGCCATGGGTGGGTGAGTAATTTTTTTATGCAAAACTTGCCTGTTGAGCTAACGAAAGCATACGAGCACACAGCAACATCTTCTTTTTCCGGCACTGACTCTCTCCGCCCCAGAGAAACGTACCTGCAGCACCCCCGGCCCGTTGTCCCGCTTCTCGTCGTTGAAAGTTAGCTTCTTTGCCATGATGCAAGCAGCTGGTTCAGCTGGCGTACGTTATCGGCGATGGTCGTCGAAAGCTCCTGCACCCTTGCTCCTGGTATCCCAGCCCTGCTGCTGGCTTGTTCCTCGCGCACCTATAGAGAGCGTCTATGTCCTGCTTGCGGTGGACTGTAGTCTAGGGCTCTGACGGCTCCACTGCGTGCGTATTTCCAAGTCGACTTCAGCGAATTTCGGTAGTAGATTCCAGCGAAAAACGGGAAGAGGTGCGTCGGGCGTGTCACAAGGAAGTTCGTGAGCCACAGGACACAGAGAGCTGTGGTAAGAGAGGTGGTGTGCCGCAGACACCGACACACAGGCTTTGGGGGCAACGCAAAATCTGTACAAGAGAGGTTCGCCTCAGGTACGTTCAGTATGGGTATCTGTGATACGACGTAGTCCCCCCAGATTTAAAATTTGAACCGCCGCTCCGCTCTCTTGCTCTCTTTTGCTCTCGTCGTCTCTCTCACGTAGCACCCTTCTCTCGCCATCGTTTGCCCTCGCTCTCGCACGGGCGGGACACCATGGCCGACAACGCACCGCCTTCCCAGAACGTCGACGAAGGGGGAGAGATTGTCCTCAACAGATTCTACGATTTCTTGGCCAAGTTCACCTCCTCGGCAGAGGGCACCACCGACGGCACCGATGGCGTGCAGCTGTACCGAGACTACCTGGCGCAGATCGCGGCCATGGTGGAGAATGAGAAGAACACGGTGTACGTCGACGTGCAGCACGTGTTCGCGGTGAGAGAAAGAGCGGCACGGGCGTGCAGAGCGCTGCACTACGTTTGACTCGTCGGTCGACACAACGGGGCCGTTGTTTCGCGCTTTTTCAAAATTCGGGGGGGGGGTGGGGGTGGGGGGAGCGCTCGCACACCAGGCGACACGACACACCACTTTGTTGTATGCCGTTGCTGTTGCTGTTGCAGTCATGTAGGCTTACTTGCCCTTCCCATCGACTTCATTCTGCTGCTACACAGCTTTGTGAGAAACACGAAACGTCGTTGTCCGTCCTGTGGTTTGACAGCACACGCTCGATATCTCCAACACCCGCTGACTACTATGTACAGTCTGTCAGAGCAACATGCGGCGTAACTTTGTCGTGTGCTGTGTGCTGCTGTGCTGCTGCCGTCGCTGTGCATCTGGTGGATCCATCACGCGGTGGGGAAACACACAGGCGCAGGCTCGCTCCAACCCCTCCTTAATGCGACCGCCCCCTTTTTTCTTTTTTCCAGTGTTCGCGGGTGTTCCGTGTGCTCCACTCGGTATCTCGTTCTGCAGATCATGATTCGTTGATATATCCGCTCTTCTTGCTCTCCTGATACTGACTGCTTTAGCCTCGCCGAAAGCTTACAATTCTTAGAGCTGATGATAAACCATCCACTACCTGTCGTGTGACCGCCGTGCATGCGTGCAGTACGATCAAGAGCTCGGAGAGGCTATCGAGCTGGAGTATCTCCGGTTCATGCCCTTCATGAACAAGGCGCTCGCCCGCTTGGTGCAGGAGGAGTATCCTAACTACGCCAACGACGCCGATGATCAGGTGAAAGGGTGCTGACTGAACCAAACTGCTGCTGTGCGTCTGCCTCAAAACGATTTTGTAGCAAAAAAAAAAAAAAAACAGCCGTCCAACATTGAGACGCCAACTCTCATGCTATTGTTTTCACACCACTAGGACGCGCCGAAGGAGTTCTACGTGAGTTTCTTCAACCTGCCGCTGGTGGAGCGGGTCCGGCAGCTGAAGACCAACCGCATCGGCCGCCTCGTGAGCGTGAGCGGCACCGTGACTCGCTCGACGGACGTGCGGCCGGAGCTGCTGCGGGGCACCTTCACCTGCCGGAAATGTGGCCTGGTGAGAGAGGCGGGCGGGCACTCGCTTTTCGTCTGTCGGTTGTGTGTGCGACGTCAGGCGTGAGTCGTAAACCCCGCCGCTGTGTGTGGCGTGCATGTGTGCTTGATCCGAATTTGGATGCACCTACCTATCGTGATGCTTGCCGTGTTTTTCGCTGGTCTATGGTAGTCGGAAGCCGTCTAGAAGGAGGAGGAACGCCGACTGTCTTTCGTCTCATGCACTCAAATCGACCGGGTGTGTGGGATACTCTGTTTATTCCCGGTGTTTTTGATTCGGTGTTGTTGGTAGAAGTGCCGCCCCCCTTGGCCTTTGTACTCGTTGTTCGGGGATGGCGGGGTCTTCTGCAAAAGTTCGTCGCTGCTGTGAAGGCTTGAAGGCATCCCTTCGAACGGGGCTGTTGTCTTCGAACCAGCACAAGATACATTCTTTGTCTTGTATTTTGCGATTTTTTCGACTCATAAATGCCGTTTCATGTTTCGTGTGGTACGGTTTTGGACAGGTGTCGCCGGATGTGGAGCAGCAGTACCAGTACACGGAGCCCACCAAGTGCATCAACCCGGCGTGCCAGAACACGAGGGACTGGGAGCTAGACATGCAGGCGAGTGCGCGCACGCTCGCTTCCCACCACGGGCTATTGCTTGGGGTGGCGGGGAATTTGCGGTGATGTTTTCCGCGTGGCAACCTTCGTGCTTGTGTTGCTACAGCTACCGAGGAGTTTCGTCGCGATGTTTCCCGCTCCTGGTGTTGCCAGGATTGGGTACGCGCGCACGTGTTGCGTGTAGTATCCCTCGCAACACGAGGGATGTTTGGATGGGGTTCGCCTCTGGCTGGACGAACCCCCGCCTCATGGTCCCGGCTTGTAGCGTCGTCTCATCTCTCTCTCTGGGCTAGGGTGGTGCCGCTTTGTCATGTTTGTCCCCGCCAACGTCGCCTGGCTCCTCTCTACTCGACGTCTGTTTTTTTTGCGTCCTCTAGTGTGGAGAGGAAAGGCATGTGTCCCGTTGACTTGAAGCCCCCCCTTCGCTGACTACGGTAAGCATTTAGACTTCCCCGAAGCGCCCTCCGCGCATCTCGTGGCCGTCTAGCCCTCACTCCGTTTGGGTCATCATCTGTTCCGTTTATTGCGCGCGCGGGCAAGTAGAGGAGCGTGTTCGTGGACTGGCAGCGGTTGAGAGTGCAAGAGAACGCAGACGAGATTCCTCCGGGGAGCATGCCGCGGTCGCTCGACGTCGTGCTTCGGGGGGAGGCGGTCGAGAAGGCCAAGGCCGGAGACAAGGTGCGGTACCACCGGAAGCACGTACAGCACTACCACCACCACCAGAAGCAACAACAACAACAATGAGAGAGCGATCGAATTGAGACATCTGTTCGAAAGCGACCGAAACGAGACACCTGTTTCAGTTCTTCTTGTTCGGGCGAAAGACAGAGGCCTGCTTCGTAACGGCAACAGCGGCGGCGGCGGTGGCGGCGGCAGCAGTTAGTGCGGCCGAAAGGAAACCAAGCTTGGGCCGCGAGCAGGGCCGACGAAGGACAGCAAAAGTATATAGCAACAGTATACGGCAACAGCAACCGGTGGCAACGAGGATTTGTTTTCTGCTTCGTACATTGGTCAACGAACCACAAGAAGCAGTTGATACGAAGAAGCAGCCGCGGAAGTCGTGGACACGACCACAAAAGAAACAGCCCCCCATTCGCAACACCCCCCCAACATATGACACGAAAAGTTTGCTGCCCCTCGCATCCCACGCAGACCGTGTTCACCGGCACGCTGATAGTCGTGCCCGACTCCAGCGCCCTGGCTAGGGTAGGGGAGGCCACCGTGGGGGCGAAGCCGCCCGGCCGCAGGGGCGCGGAGGGGCCGGACGCGGGCGTGACCGGCCTCAAGAAGTTGGGCGTCAAGGAGCTCACCTACAGGTCCGGGAACAAAAACACGCAAAACACGTTTGGTGGGGTTGGGTTTTGGCAGGCCCTGTCCGCTGGCGGTGAATACGCTGAGTGGGTGGCGGCCTCTTTGAGGTTGCAGGCTTGCTCTTGGTTTTGTCTGGCTGTGGTTGAAAAATGTCGATGTTGCGCAGCCACGTGTTTGGTGGTTGAAAAATGTCGATGTTTGGGAGGTAACTCGCTTCCACGGTTTTTCGTTCCACGGTATTGTTCCTCGGATTGTTTTTGCTCATCAAATCCACGCGGAGATACGTTTTTGGTCGAATGCGAGTATTTCTGTAGTGTTACGGGCATTCCGGACAAGTACCTAAGCGGTTGAGGCTTCGCCACCCGGAAACTATCTATTTATCAGGATTCCCCACAGAGACAACATACGATGATGTTTAGAGCCTCAGAGTTGGGGGCTGGTGGTATGTGCGTGTCGCTTCATGGAGTGCAGCTTAGTCCCGCCCAAGCTACCATGCATACTGGAACAATATTTGTTTCTTCGAGCCAATTCTTGTTTGCTGTTGTTCTGGGCGCCCCCAGCGCAGACTGCAGAGGTTAGACGCGGCCCAAGTCTCGTGTTGTTTATTTTGTGGCGGTGCTGCTGCTGTGGCATCCCCACCCAACAACTATCCCTCGCGTGAGTCAGGGGGAACATATAGCCTCATCCCCATCCGTCCCGCAAAATTGCGTGGTGCAGGGACGTGTCCCTTCGGGGCACAACCATCCGTGACTGTCGCCGGAACCTCTGCCAGCAGCGAGCTCTGCTACCAACGGCTCTTGAGGTACACCTGCTCCTCCGTAGTACCCCCACCCCCTCCCCTCCACCAAAAGCAAAATCGCTTGCTATTCCCCCCCCCCTCCCCCCTCGTTCCGTACTGTTGGACGATCTCCGGATTGAATTTGTCATGCAGGACGGCGTTCCTCGCTAGCTCGGTCCTCCCGGCGGAGCAGGTGTCCGGCGGCTACAACATCCGCGACGACAGCGATGAGGTATACTCCGCAAGCACGCATACCATTGTCCCCCCTCCCCCCCCCCTCCTTGCCCCAACCACGTTCTCTTCGTGCATCCATGCACGCTCTCCTCCTTCACCGCTTCAGAAATAGTACGCTTGGTTGACTTGGACGCGGGGTGTGTCTTCTAGAAGGATGTGGTTCCGCTTTTTGGCTACTGCTGTTGTGTCAAGGCGGGACGGGAAGGGACAAAGGGCACCTGCAGCGTTGACTAGCCAGCTAGTGGCGCGCCTCTCTTGGTCTTGCCGCGCCGTCGTGGTCGTGGTTGTGCTAGACGCAGACAACCGCCCCTGCGACATGTGGAGGTGTTTGTTACGTCGAGATACCCCACCATCGACACTTCTTGCTTATACAATGGGACGGATCCGCGTTGCCAGCGTTCGATTTTCTCTGATGAAAGAAACTGGCGTTACCGGTTCCGGGGGGCGGGGGCACAGCTCGCCGTGGGAACCACGAGGGCGAACAGGCCCACACACGCAACACCGAGTGAGAGGCAGCGGGGCAAGGCACTCGAAGCGCAAGGCTCGCTCGTACAAATGAGGATGCAACGGCGCCTGCCTCGTTTGTGTACTTTTAACTTGCTTGCGGTCGTTCCGCTCTCTTTTTTTTGAGTGCGCGTGTTTTGTGTCCAATATGTGCGTGCCGCGTTGCTGTCCAGGCGGGGGCAGGGGCCGACGGGGCGGAAGAGCTGACCGAGGAGGAAGGGAGGGAGATTCTCGAGATGAAGAACAGCAGTAACATCTACGCCGACATGGTCAACAGTGTCGCGCCGACGGTCTTCGGTCACTCGGAGGTAGTGCAAATGCGGTTGCATGCGGCTTGTACTCGTCTTCGGGTGCGGGTTGATGATTGTGTTTTTGTTTTTTTCCGGTGCTGAAAGACGGCGTGTGGGTTGCGGGCGTTACGCCCGACGCAGTACGGTCGGTGGCTGTGTGTATGTGTGCGCGTGTTTGGTGTACGAAAAAGCGTCCACAGGCAGAAGAAGAATGCGCACGAAGAGAGTCACTGCGACGTTGCCGCGTTCCATGCGGCAAGGCACTGAAGTGATCTATTAATAGCTAGCTCTGCACCCACGTGATGACGATTATTTTTCTTGTCGAATCTGCCTCTGGAAAGCGGAAGGATAATAAACAATAAAAACGAGCGTAACCGCTTCTCAGTGGTAGCATTTTCACGCCACGCCGCCCCGTCAGGTTAAGCGCGGTGTCCTGCTGATGCTCCTGGGCGGGGTGCACAAGCAGACGGCGGAGGGAATCAAGCTGCGCGGGGACATAAACGTTTGCATCGTGGGCGATCCCTCTACCGCCAAGAGCCAGTTCTTGAAGTACGTGCACGGCTTCCTGCCCCGCGCCATCTTCACCTCCGGCAAGGTATGTATGTCACATTTTTTTTGTTGTTGCGTTTCGCCCCAGGTGGACTGGTTGTCTCGGACTGATTTGCCTCGGTGTCGATGCTTTCGTCGAGAATGTGACGCTTGTGGTTCGTGGGATCGTACGCTGGTCCTACCGTGTACCAGGTTGTATCTTGGGTTGCCTCCCTCCGCGCCATGTTTTCACCTACAGAAGAGAAGAGAGAGTGTGTGTATATGTGTGTGTTCTCTTTTAGATTTGTTGCGTCCTCCACCCGACCACCGGTATATGAACTACGCGTTCTCTTCTGCTGTGTGTTTGCGGAATTGTCGCTTCCAGAGAGAGACACACACACACAGAGATAGAGAGAGAGAGAGAGAGAGAGAGAGAGAGAGAGAGAGAGAGAGAGAGAGAGAGAGAGAGAGAGAGAGAAGGGGGGGGGGGGGCTCACCTTAGCCAATGGCCTAACACCCCGCTCATCGGCTCACCCCTCCTCTTCCTCCCTTTGCCCACCCGCACTTTGCCTGCCGGCACATACGTACGTCCATGGGTGCGACACGGTGGCGCACACGAACCGAAAAACACACGAAAAGGCTTCGAGCGCGGCGGGTCTGACAGCGTCCGTCATGAAGGACCACGAGACGGGCGAGTTCTGCATCGAAGCGGGAGCTCTCATGCTCGCCGATAACGGCATCTGCTGCATCGACGAGTTCGACAAGATGGACATCGGGGACCAGGTATGTTATCATCTTCTCCCACCTACCCTACCCTACTCGCATGCATTTCATCGCACCGCCTTTGACAAAGGTAGACGCGACATGGTCAGCAACTCCACCGGCTGAGCGGTGCCTTGTGCGGGATGGCCCCGGCAAGGCCCTCGTTACGGCATCACCGCCTCTGCTGCTGCTGCTGCCGCCGCCGCTGCTGCTGTGTGGTTACATCAAGCTTCAACACGGGTGTGCTAACGAAGGGGGGTGTCGTATCTGTCACAACCCCACGGTTCACATTTTGAGAGCTTAATACGAGGCCAACATTACCCCCGCCCCGCGCGCGCGCGCGCGCCGCGTGCTCGCGCCCACAGGTGGCCATCCACGAGGCGATGGAGCAGCAGACGATCTCCATCACCAAGGCCGGCATCCAGGCCACCCTCAACGCCCGGACGTCCATCCTCGCCGCGGCCAACCCCCTGTACGGTCGCTACGACCGCTCCAAGACCCTCAAGGCGAACGTGCAGATCAGCGCGCCCATCATGAGCCGCTTCGACCTGTTCTTCGTTGTGCTGGACGAGTGCGACGAGACCGCGGACTTCAACATCGCGCAGCACATCATCCGCGTCCACCAGAACAAGGCGGAGGTACAATATGGGTTGCGTGTGCGAACGTGGAAGGAAAACATCTCTCGTGTCTTGTCCTTTTTCTAATCTCACGACTCTGTGTTTGTTGGTACGGTCTGCGAAGGAATAAGGTTCACGTCGTGCCGTGTTGCGTGTTGGGCACGCATGCGACTCTTTTTTTCCCGGGTCGTGATTTTCTATCCTTCCCGTTCAAGCCAAGTCCGCTGTACCTGCTCGATCACTGCAGCCGTGTTTTCGGTGCAGTCAGCGAATTATCTGCCCCTATTGTGACGCAGCTTTCTTGCTTGTCTCCCTCAATGTACTGATCTCTGCTTTTCGTGGCCTCCTGGTTGGAGCCGAGCACAACGTGCGAGACCCCCCCCCTCCCCCCCCCGGGAAGCTTGCTCTATCCCCTTCCCGCTCTCCTATTTGTTTTACAGTCCCTGTTGCAGAGGAATACCATTTGGTTCCCGAGCGGCACCCTGTTCTATTTCAATCCCCTTCGAAGGCATGCAGCTAACCCGAGCATGTGTGCACGCGACTACGACCGTCCTCCTCGTGCGTCCAACTCTCTGCGAACACACGCAAGCGCAGGCCCTGGACCCTCCATTCACGGCGATGCAAATGCAGCGCTACATCCGCTTCGCTCGGAGGCTCAACCCGGCCATCACCCCGGAGGGGCGGAAGACGATGGTGGAGTGCTACCGGGCCCTTAGGGAGAACGACTGTGTCGGCCGCAACAAGGTATGTGTGTGTGGTTTCTTGGTTAGCATCGACCGCCCTAGCCGGCTGACCAATTTGGCTGACCAATGAAAAGATTCAGTTTTGTAGAGGAATTAAAAACACGAACACTTTTCAAATAATGGGTTCTACCGACAGGGGGAATCAGGAGTTTGCTGACAGTGTCCTGTGTGTAAGGGATTCTTCACAGAAAAAGAAGCGATCTTGCGCCGCTTTGTGTGTCTTGTTGCTGATGTCCGTGACGAGGAAGAATCTTGCGCATTAGTTAGTTGCAGGAGGAATGCTTGCATCTTGGGGGTTTCTACTGGGGAGATTTGCGTCTTGTCAAACTCGTGGGTATGTACCATATGCTTCTCTTGCCTGGAAGATACCACCTCTTCTCTCGTGCAAAGCCTATCATGCCTCGTGGACTGGTAATAAACACACCCACGAGGAGGCGTTGCTTAACCTTAACCTTTACCCACCCACTCCCGTGCCCCCATCCCCTGTGGGCCTTTCGGAACTCCGCGGAATCAATCTCATGGACCCGCACGTCGGTTTCCCTCCTCCATCCCGACCGACCACACGGTTGTTGTCTCTGGCCGTCCGCCGGCATTACCACAAACGGAAACCAAAGACGGCTTACCGTATCACAGTGAGGCAGCTGGAGTCCATGATCCGCCTCAGCGAGGCGCTGGCGAGGCTACACCTGGACGACCAGGTGCGCCCCTCCCCCTCCACACACTCGCAGTACTTTATATTTGGCGAAACGCTTGACTCAGCGGTTTGCTCAAGGTAGTCGTTCCGGGTTCTTGATTTCGATCTTGTTGGCGTCACAGCCGCAAAAAGAAAGCAGTGAATGCAGGGTTGAACCGAATAGATTGTGGCGTGTAACAACGCGCGCCCCGCTCGCTTGCTGAATGAACGACAATTTTGAAGAATGCCCAATGGACCTCTTGGGACGAAATTATTCTTGTTTCTGCCGCCAAGTCGAAATCCAAGTTTTTAGGTACCGTAACGGTATGTGTGTGTGTGTGTGTGTGAACGACCAGGTGCGACCCCGCTACGTGAAAGAAGCGTTCCGCTTACTCCGAAAGTCCATCATCCACGTGGAGGCGGAGGACATCGTTCTCGAGGAGAGCGAAGACGAGGAGGGTTTGGAGGAAGGAGACGAAGGGGTAGGGGCACCACGGGGAGATGGCGATGAGGAGGACGGCCCCGGCGGGGGTGGCGGCGGCAACGGAGGGAGCGGAGATGACGATGGCGGGGACGATGACGACGGGGGCGGCGGCGGCGGCGGCGGTAGCGGCGGCGGAAAGGTCTCGAGAAGGAGCGGGAAGCGGAGGCGTGGCCGAACAGGAGGGGAGAAGGAAGGCGACGGCGAGGATGGTGGTGGTGACGGCGGCGGGGGCGGGGGCGACGACGACGACGACGACGACGACAAAGACGCCGACGCTGACGGGGTGGTGGACGAGGACGGCGGCTCTAAGCGGGCTAACAAGAAGGCCAAGAAGAAGAAGAAGAAGAAGCAGAAGAAGCAAAAACAGCAGATCACCTTCGAGCAGTACCAGGTGTGGATTCACACGCGCACGCACGAGGGTCTTAGGTACTTGTTTGGTGCAAGTGTATGTGGATGCACGCCCGCTCCGTTTCGTCGATTGACCAACTCACCGAAGGTCCGGAGATCTCACCCACGTTCATCGACCTTGTGTCTCTGGCTGTCTCGCCTTCCACGGTAGTCTTTCCCAACCGCCCACGTACACTGACTAAACACTAAATACCACCCGCGGGACGATACTTCGGATTGTCTCGCGTGTTGGCGCGGCGCCCAGACGATTACCACGACGCTGGCGACGTACCTGCGGCAGAGGGAGGACCGGGCCAAGGAAGGGGAGGGGGGTGAGTGAGGTGCAGTGCACTGACACGAGGGGACAAACGCTGCATGTGTATCCCACGGGCGTACGAAGCGTGTGTGTAGGTCGCCTGTTTCTCTTGATTGATGCTCTCCTCCTCCTGTTGCTGTGGCGGAGTCCCTTCATGGTGCTTTGTTGTTACCAGGCCACCGCCGCCAGAACCAGAAAGCGCTTGTAGCAGGAGCGCGAGGAACCTTACGACGCTTTTTCCCGTATAGGGGTATGCTGCTGTATTTACCGTTTTATTTTTTCGGGCATTTTCATGTTGTATCTCAACTTTTGTTGGGGGGCGGCGTGTGTGTGTGGCAGGTGGGCTGCCTTGGGGGGAGGTTGTGTCGTGGTACTGCCACCAGCACCAGCAGGAGCTCACCTCGGAGGAAGACTTGTCAAATATGCAGAAGCTCGTCAATCAGGTGTGTGCGCGGTGTGTCTTGCGTGGTGCGAGGGCAATACCGGAGTAGAGGCAAGGAACGTTGGGATCGCAGGAACTCTTTTGGTTGTCGTACGGTTGCAGCATGTCGTCCCTCCGCGAGACATGTACAAACCAAAAATCGGATACATTGCTCGAGAAAAATAGGGGAAATAATGTGGGGCTAGGTAGCATGCGGTTCCGCAGGGACGCCGGTTTTGTCAGCGAGAGTATTTCAAGAAGGGCCTGACAAATTGATATGCTCTCCAGTTGTATTGATGCGTACAGACAGCGCCATTTTGAGAAAATGAGGAAATGAGACGAGGCCAGCGCTTGACTGCACGGATGTTGTTTCTTTGCCCGTATCGAGCAAAAGCGTTTTGGTACTTACGACCCCGCGGAGATTTCGCAGAACCGGACGCGGCCACGTGTGCCTTTCGGTTCTTTTCACAGCGGCGTGTCTACCATGGACGCCCCCCCCACCACGCGTGCCAACGCGTGATGCCTCTGTCTGTGTGTTACCACCCCCAACCACTTTCTTGGGCTAGTCTTGTACACGACAAACGTCTTTTTGCCGCGCACGAGATGAGAAATAAATAACCCATCTACGTCGTGTTTTCTCTCCGATGTATTTCTCCCACCCCCAAACCGTTCGCGGTCGCATTGATTCCCAGGTGATCAAGCGCCTCCTGACAAAGGACGGCCTTCTCATCTACGACGGGGAGCCAGACGACGACGCCCCGGACGAGGAGAAGCGCATCGCTGTACACCCCAACTACGCCACCGGCTAACTGCTGTTGGGACACGCGCGCTCGCGCGCGCGCGCCCGGGGCTTCACTCGCATGTTTAATATTAATATTTACTCCCCAAGCGGCAATGGCGGGAAACAGCGCAGCCGGATTGATCTAATCTAACTTTCGATCGCTTCCTCCTTGGGAATCGTACTCCAGTAGGGCACGTTTTTGCGACGAGGGCGGGGTGGCTTTGGTGCATGGCCCCTCAGTAACGCCGAAGTATTTGCCGGTCTTCGGAGGGCGTTGTGCGTGGTACGGACAAGTATCTCGACGAAAAGAGGCTGCAAAACCCGACTTGTTACGAGAGAGGTTCGCTGCATCTATCTCTATTGTCTTGTGTCTATAGTGCTATTCTTCCATTGTGGACTAATACCCGTCAGGCATGTCTGTGCGCGTTCTCTGGCGGACCTATTGAAAGTAGTGCATTTGCTGGGACGCGTAGATAGGACCGGGCGCCCTCGTGCGATTTGGCGAACAGATGAGTTAAGCCCGGCCGAATGTAGATTTAGTGCCGGAGAAAAGTGTAGAGTGTGTACCTGGCAATACTGCCGAAAAGTAATTCTTGCGAAGTGCGACAGTGGTGCACACCCGCACGCTCGTTTGGATAGTTTGCGTTGTTCGAAAACTTGCACGCATGCATGTAGATCGGTGCAGGGCATGGTGTAGAACACAAAGAAGTTCCTTTAGAAGAGGTCCGCCTGGAACGATGTGGTTGGGGGCACGGACTGACCACAAACGATGCCGGCACCACGAATGTTTCACTCTCACAATCTAGAATCGTATAGCAGACAAGCACCAAGCTAAAAACGCCGCATGCAAGGCATTTTCTGTCCGAGGGTCCGAGCCGTCTTCGTAGCTGCTCTTGTACGCACAGGACTTGAACCAACAAACAAGCAAAGCGGTCCATCTAGCATTTGAGGCCGGTGTTGTGTCCACGTCCAAGACCCATTTTTTGGCTGTGATCGACTATGCCGGGCTGCGTGCGGGTATATACCGATGAGGGTGTCTGCTACTGAACTCCCAACAAACACGCACGGCGCTCTCCGCACGTGTTGGCTTGGAACAACTTCCGTCATTCCCACTGCCCCCTTTTGTCGCTCGGTCCGGGAGGCGTGCGTGCCGCTCGACGCCGTTGAAAAAAAGTTTCTGGCACATCGACGGCGCCAGCCTAATGGAAATGCACAGTGATCGTTTCCACTTGGCAGGGAGGGAGCCTTGTACTCTTCGCGGGACCTCGCGTGTGTGCGCTTTCTCAAATTGGATCGAACGCGCGCGACGTTACCAGCTGACCAACGAAAGGCTTCGGAGTCAGCCAGGCACGTAACGCCACCACATTTTCTAGGCCGCGGGCTCCCCTGACGGGAGTGTTCGTGCGTGGGATTGTCGGGGAGGAACGAGACTGTGCGTGGGCAGTGAACAAGAAGCAGTAGTGCACTCGACTAGCCAGCCTGAGCACCTGCTCGCCTGCTTGTACGTAGATCAGTGCCACAGGTCTGTAGACACAACATGTATGCCTTGACGCCTCGCTCGAGTTGAGCACGCCGGCACCATTGGAGATGTTTACCTTGAGATTTGTTACTAAAAACTAGAGGCTTGTAAATTTGGTGGCCACGCGGTACGAACAAAAACAAAACAAAAGAGATACCTACTAACTTGTTCGGTCGGAGAGAACACCGAGCTACGCCTGCCTGCCGCTGTGACCACTGCTTAGCATCCCGACATGCACAATTCAACAACACAAAAAAACAAAGACTACCATCAAGCACCGTCTCTCTACCTTTCTCCCTCTCCGCACACACTCTCATGCACCGAATGGCAAAGAAGGAGGTCACGCGTCTTCCCCCTACGGTCGATACCCCCCCCCTCGCCCCTCCTCTTTAAGAATACAAGCGCGAGTGCTGGTGCTTTCTGACGATGGCGAGGATATTTTCGAGGTCTTCCTCTGTTAGCCTAGCGCCCAGGCTGGGGATAAGCGCTAGCACCTGTGCGTGTGCGTGTGAACCAAGAGAAAAAAGGGCGCGGGGTTGAAGACAAGAGGGTGTTGTCACGTAGCAAAAAAACGCCCACGCTTTGCTTGCGGCATGCTCTCTCGCCAACCGTAGAGGGAGGAGGTTATCCTTGGTGTGGCATCAGGGGACTCTCTTATACTTCGGCAGCGTGTGTGGCAACCAATTGGCGACGGCCGCGGCCGCCACCCTGAATAAAAATTACCCATGAGGCTAGTTCTGGCGATGATAAGCGGAGTAGCGACCAACCGCAAAAAACACTACGAACAAAACACCCTCCCGCACCGAATGAGGTCGAAGGGAAGATGAGCATCAAAATGGACACAACGCCGCCAACTTGTACACCACTCACCTCTTCCACCTCGCTGTCCGCCTGCATAAGGTTGGCCACCTGCATGATCTCGAACTGATGCAACCTGATAGACTCGCCTTCGTGGAACGTCTCGAACTGCTGGAGGGCCCTACAGTGGCGCACGGGGTGCACGCGCAAGTATTAGCACCAGGGAGGTGGTGCCAGTCTAGACAATCAAGAAGACAGCAGGATGTCGTGGTTGTGTTGTTGATGTCAAGTACCGCATCTATGAGCACCGCCTTGCCCAAAATGGAACGTTTCTCCTTCTAAGGCCACGAGGCGTACATCGAGCGTTCAGTCGATCTGTCTGCCACTCACTCTCGCAACTCCGACGTGGCGGTCATCTTGACGGAGCCCCCCAGCCCCCCGAAGCGCTTCACATAGGACATGGTCTTGGAGAACGCCCTGCGGTCGCGATGAAGAGCGTGAACCCGGGAGAGGGAAACACAAAGGTTGGTGGGACAGCGCAGATCGATGATAAACTCGAACAACGCAGCAGTAGTGGCGTCATTTGAGCGTTCATCTTGGCGCGAACGCCATGTACGCGTGGAACCAAAGCAAGGCCGCGGCGGTCCTCCACCGAACGCACCCTTGAAGCGTAACGGGACCGGTGGTTAGTAGCTAAAGGGGTTTGGTCGTGTGGAGGGGACAAATATGAACAATGCGGGCACACACATGCCGGCCCGTAACGTACGGAAACACTGCGGGTTGGCGAATTACGAGCTACATCTGCCGTGTGCGCCGGCTACAACAGTAGAGGTTGAAAATCGTGCGTTCGAGACGCGGAGAGAGGAGCTGCCGACGCGGAAGGCGAAGGAGATATGGCGGACCATAAGTGCAACCAAGCAACGGCAGAGAGCTGAGCGAACTGTATCTCGATTTGTTCCATACGCCAAGAAGATACAACAACAGCAAACACGCACCGCAAGGCCGATCGCTTGGGACTACACAGCAGTGCGTACTTGTATAAACTTCGACTGCTAGACTAGGACGAAAACAAAATAAAACCCAAAAAAAGCGAAAAAAGGACACCATTCGGCGCTCCGAATCGCGCCTGCACATGGGGGATGTTTCCGTGACACACATATGTCATGCATACAACCACCTAACCCGCGCCCCCCTCTTCTCACTTTGTGATGTAGTTTTTTACACCCAAAATAACACCCCCAGCCCCCTGACTCGCGGTAACTCTGCTGTCCATGTAGTTGACTTACGGTGTGACGTTGATGTCCTTCTCTTCGTAGTTGATCCTCTGCTTTTCGAGCACCACCGACACCTCCGCGTTCGACAAGCACGACATGTCGTCTTTGGCATGCTCCGGGCCGAATTGGAGAAGGTTAGCGTTCTCTTCGTCGTCCACCCCCTCCATCCTGCACACACTGCGCGCTGCAGGCCTTGCACAATTCCTGTTGTGTGGTGTACCGGAGCGGCGTAACTCCGTGGTCATTTCGGAGTGTACTATTTCTTAGAAAATAGAAAATACTACATTGTAGTAGAAAATATGCATACATACAATCAGAGAACGACTACCCATTCGAGATATAACACAGCAGTCGAAGGAGACATTTTGAAGTCTTGACAGTGAGTGGGAACCATTGCTGCTGTACTACTGTACAGTGTGGTACAACTGGATGTGAGTCTAGTCACACTGCTGTCTACACAGCAGCTGTAAGTCTCCTAAGCGAATTTGAATATGATTCTTCAGCTGCAAAGGATGAACACACGCTTACACTCCTGTCCAGAACACACACTGGGACGCACCTGAGAGGTTAATCCTTTCGCCCGCTACACCGATCTAGCTGTTGGCCACTGCTGGCTGGTGCGACGAGCGTGGAGTGACCTCACCCTTGTTGACGACCCTGACCTGCAGCCGAGAGGGGGGGCTATCGGCACAGGTTCCAGGAAACGGCGGGCCCCCTCTCGCTCGGGAGGTTGTAGTTGCACCGCACAGCCCGTTGCCCCGCGCTCGCTGCCCCTTTCCCCCGGCTTGTTGCTCCTGCACATGCCGGATTCCGGAGGCGGAGAATCTGCCTCATCAAATCAGCCGTGCCGGCCGCTGGTAACGATTGCTGTTGTCGCCCCAACGGCAGTCAATCCAGCACCCACGGCAGTGCAACAACTCTGAACAAGATCCCTTTTCCCGATGTCTCCTTACCAGCAGCAACCACCAGCATCGGCGAAGACACCTGTAACGGCGCCTCCACCTGCCCAGCAGCAGCCCGTCGGGTCAGAGCTCTGGAAGCGCGACATTGAAGGCCCCTTTCGGCGGCTTGACCCGAACCCGGACGCCTTCGAGCTGGCCCGCCTTGCCCTATGCGCCATCACCATTGTCCCCTTGCGCGTGGTGCTCATCGCGGTGTTCCTTTCGAGCTATTATGTCCTCGCCCTGTCCTTCATGACGGTCGCTCCCGATAGGCCCTGGGCACATGCGATCAGCATCTTCTGCGTTCGATGGGCGTCGCGTTTCCTGCTGCTGCTCCTCGGCTACTGGACCGTGGACGTCAAAGGGATGGAGGAGAACGCGGGGCGACGGGGGGAGCCGCGAGTGTTCGTGTCGAACCACATCAGCTTCATCGAAGTGCTCGTCTTCTTGCATCAGCTCGGGCCGTCTTTCGTCATGAAACGAACGTGAGATTCACAGCAGAAGCTTGTGGTGCAGCTTAGGCAGTGTGTGTGTGTGTTGGGTGCGCTTTTATCCCGCCTATTGTGGGCAGCAAAAACCAGTCTTCACCTTGCGGTGTATGTTCGACGCACCAGACCACAATAATGGACGTTCCGCCACCCCTGAAGCACCAGTACGTCGGCTCACGTCCCCGCCGGGTTCTCGTCCTTTGAAAGAAGTTCTTTCCAGTCCAGCAGACCGCTCTGTTGTATGCGTAAGATCCTGCCAAAGTTGCAAAGATGTAACACCAAGTAACCGGTGGCAGCCCTCAACTCCACTCTGTCATGGCCTTCCATTTTTAAGCTTGAAAGGGCTGACGGTGCCCTGTTGCATACAGATGCTGCAATATTTGAAATTTGAATTGGTAACCGAATGCAATCGATGGGAACGGGCGCGCTAACTCGCCGTTGGCTGTTGGAAATTTCGCATTTTTTATTTAGGATTTATTTGCAGGTAGGCTGCGTGCTTGCCGCAGCGCTTGGGCGGATGGAACACGGAATAGTTAACTATTCGTGGTTAGGGTCCCTGGATGTTGCTTTATTCAGCCTGCAAAGCGTTCTCTGACTGCTGTCCACGATACAGAAAATGGCACCACATACATAATGGAACCAGTGTTTTTTTCCTCTGAGTAACCAACACAACATTTGTTTTTTTATTTCATCATTGTGACCTAACGAATCCATCTCTATCGAAGAAAACCCCCTTACCACGCACAGAAAATTCGGCGTTCTTGCGAAATTTCTGAAAGGTAAGAAAAAGGGCGAACGACGCCTGCTGATTGGATGGTGCAGACAGTTCCATCCCTGGGTGCAAGTGCAAAGCTGCCTTCCCACTTGAGCCGTCTCTTGTCTATAATCCCTATCAATTGTCCCCTCGATATCGAGGGGACATTTGATAGGGTTCATAGACAGCAACTGGCGGGAGCGTGGTAAACGGGGCACGAAAAGGAGGTTTTCAAGATATTTCTCTAGAGGGAAAGCGAGACCTTCTAACTCAAGCCCTAGGTTGCTCGGTGCCTCTTTTCAACGGTGGTCTAGGTACTTCTTCCGCGCTTGCCCCTAGTAGCGCTTTCCACCCACGGGTTGACAGACGCGGCGCAACTTCGCTGTTGAACCCGCGGCGTAATCGCCCCGCGATTCGACCTGTTCATTACCCTCATACTCCTCCACTCTACAAAGCATCCATACTAGACTAGAGTCGTCCCTGCGTACCCTGGCACCCCCCTGGTCGAGTAGTGCAAAGGAGGAGACAATCATGCCATTCTTCGCGAGGTAAAGCAGGTGAAGAACATGGGGACAAAAAGTGTCCCCAAAAGGCGATCCAGCCCTTAAGGGGTTCGAAGTTCCTATCTCTTCAAACTCACTAACTCTCAACTTCGTAACTACAGAAGTAGACACCACGTTCAGAAATGGTAAAGTAACGTGTTTCGTAGTCCACCCTACCTTACAAGTCTAGGAATCGCCGCTCGCGATAGAATTGCCTTTGGCTCTCTGCTGCTGTGGGCTCGATCGTTGTCTGTAGTACAACAACAATACAGTACACAGCATTGGTGGGGCACTGCTGCTGTGCGGCAGAATTTCTGTCGGACATCCACGTGTTTGTCTGGAGGGATTAGCAAGTCACGATCACGACGGAATTCTTTTTCTGGAGGATTAGCAAGTCACGATCACGACGGAGTGAGGAATCTAGCGATCGGCAGGTTTTATAAGGGGACAGAAAGCTAGTGTATCGTATGTACAGCATGTTGTTTTGTTCTTCCGCTATCGTGGCGTTTTACTGATATCATTTCGACCAGGGAATAGTTTTTTTTGTGCCGGTGCACACAGGCAGACCTTGCGCGTAGGTTCGCACGACGCCGAACAACCCTTATTCCCGCTTCAGATTGCCCCACCGCTCAAGAAGCTGGGATTGGTGCATTCGGGCATTTCAGAACACGACCCCGTTGTGCTTGATCTATGCATAATAGATACTCAGGTGTGCCGTCAAGTCTCGTACGCCAAAACGGATACTGTCGCTGTTGGGTTACCCCTTAGAGGAAGTATTGTAAGAAATGAGTCTCGGGCCAAAGAAGAGGGTGCAATGGTCGCCCCGGTGGTCTAGTTGGTATCCTCGAAACCTTCTATAGGTCAGGTCAGGGTTCGAATCCCGGCGTAAGCGAGCTTTTCTTGCGAAGTGAGTTTTTCTCTCGCGTCCGCTCCTGGCCTAGTGGATAGCGCTAGTTCGTGTGTACACAGAGGGAAGAGAGTGCTGAACTCTTCTCGCATTAAAAATCCAAGTCAACGTACTGCAGGAGGGGAGGGTAGAGAGGGGTCCTTCTGTGTGACCACTGGTTGGAGTAAACGGCACTAGTTCTGTGAGCGCTGATTTGAAGTGAACACAAAACAAAAAAAAGATGGTGGGGGCGCAACGTGTATTGCAGTTCCTGGTAGCGTTCCCTCTCTCAAGGTTTCGATGCATGCCATGTGCTGCCCAAGGATGTGCAGGGTATTTCGACCAATTCCCATTTCCCCCCAAAACTGTTGTTTTTGATGCACGCAGTTTTCCATTGCCACGAACAAGAACATCAGGGGTCTGAATGGCACCCACGGCCTGAATGAATCCAGTGTAGCCTATCGCACTTGTAACCAACCCCGGTGCCCTCCACTGTGCCCCCCCCCGCTCCCCCTTCCCTGCGGTCGCCCTTGTCCCTCACTCCCCCGCTGTACCGATCTCTCGTGCAAATACAGCTGCCTGCGAGTCCCCCTCATCGGAGGCATCGCCGCCCGAATCGTGGACTGTGTCCCGGTGGACAACAAGGGCGGGAAGGCGGGCGGGAGCGGTTCGCAAGCGATCGCCACTCGCCTTTTGCGCATGTTCGGCGAGGAGGCGCTGGCGAATGGGGGCATCTTCGCCACAGCCGCCTCGCAGCAGCAGGAGCCGGCGCCGGAAGGGGAAGCGCTGTCATCCAACGCGGACGGCGCCGCGAAGTCGAAGCCAACAGTAGCCGAGGGGAACTGGGCGAGAGGGTGGAGGGGCAATCCCCTGCTCCTGTTCCCGGAGGGCACCACCTCCAACGGCAGCTGCCTGCTGCGCTTCAAGACGGGTGTGTTCGCGGGCGGCGTGCCCGTTCACCCGGTGACGGTCAAGTACGAGGCCCGCCGATTCTCCCCGGCTTTCGAAAGGTATGCACAGCAATAGCGGGTGGGCGGCAACCCCGTTGACGTATCGGCCGCGATGAATTCATGAAAGAGCGGTCTGGAATGTTTTTTCACGCGCACGCTGTTATGGAAAGATGGAACTGACACGAGTATCGTCAGGCTCAGGTAGGGTCCTTCGCCAGGCCGCGAACTGCCTCAAGGTTCATGCGTCGGACTGCTCAACCGGGCTGCAGCACGTGCGTGAGAATTGTAAAATCCGTTGTATTCATTGTCGAAACTTGTCGCGAAGGCAGGAAGACTCGCCTTCCCCAATGTTCATTCTGTGGCCCGCCGCGCCCCCCACGGGGTGATCACTTTCGTCATCACCGCCCTCCTCACAGCCAGTGGCAACGGATATTAGAAACAGAGGACCTCTGATCACACGTGGACAAGAAGAGGACGCGTGCCGTCGTTTTGCTTTTCATCTCGAGAAATGTTGCGGGACCGTAGCTCGAAGCACTGCGGCAATCAGTTGGTCCTGCAAGTCTGTCACCACCTGCAAGCGTTTTTCTGCGGTCCGAGGACTGAACGCAGCCACTCGCCGCACGGCTGCAGGCTAACCGTATCGGCATAGAACCCTTACCTGAAGCCCCCCCGCCCCTTTGTTTTGCAACTCTCCACGCGCGTGTTCTTGCAGCATCTACTTCCCCGTGCACGCCTTCCGCTCGCTCGCGGAACCGGCGCACCACGTTACCGTGGAGTACCTTCCCCGCTTCGTTCCCACCCCGGAGCAGAGGGCCGACCGGACGCTGTACGCCAAGGCCGTGCAACGGGTCTTCTGCGAGGCCATGGACCTGCCGGCCGTGGAGGCCGGTTACGCGGAGAAGACGCTGTACCACACCTACCTGCGGAAGCAGTTCCAGGGGCACCCGTGGGGCCGCCTGGCGCTCCTGCTCCCGGCCCCCGACCGCCACAAGGCCAAGCTCCTGGGAAGCAGGGCTGGATGCCGGGCGGGGGAAGGCGGCGACCGGGGGCCTTCGGCCGAGGGCACGGGTGGTGGTGGTGGTGGCGATGTTGGGCATGAAGCGGCATGTTCTGCGGCGGTAGGCCCGGACGATAGCAGTATAGGGGATGGCGTCGGCGGACAGAGCTCAATACGAAGACGCACGGGGAAGGCTTGAGATGGCTGCGCATGTATAATAGTTTTTTTCAGAAGTTATAGTACCGTAAACTTTTTTTGCGGTCGTGCCGTACCGTATGGGGTTTAGCATGGGGTTTAGCCGTGACTTGGTAGAGGTAGAGCGGGGGTTTTCCACCGTCTTGGTGGATAAGGTTTGATAGACTCGTTTTCTCAGCTGGTTGTGGGAACAAAGCACAGCGTGCGATGAAAGTTTCGATCTTGATGTAGGTTTGCGGCAAGCGGTCGCACACTGCGACGTGTTACTTTGTACCTCGTGTTTGACCAATCGTGGGAAACGTTTCTTTGCAGAGTTGAAGCTTGGCACTCGGCCCTTTCATTCTGTCACAAGCCTGTGTGGATGTCAACTTTGTGAAGAACCTGGCTTAGTAACTTGGTCCTTTGCGTCGCTCGACGTGGCCTACTTGACCCTTTTACCTTGGTCCTGTTGTTTATCGCTCTCTCCTGCTTGCATTTTTTCGCTGCAGAGAGGTAGGATCGAAATGTTGGTGAAAACTGCGGTGATGAAGAATTACGATTGGCGTGCTGTTTTCGTCGAGTGTTGATAGCTCGAGCTGACGAGCATGAGTGGAGGAGATTTGCAGAATCTCGCAACAATAGCTCGAGTCGTCCGCGTTGCCCAGCGAGGAATGGTCTTGTACCTCAAGGTGATATGCCGTGTGCTTTCTTAGTGGGTTGTCATGTTTTTTAGTGAGTTTTCAATGGCACGTCCGATATGTATGTGTGTACACACAAGTTTTGCTTCCTGTAGCGGCGTCGTGAGCAATCATTGCGAGCGTCCGGTTCGAACGTGTGGAGCTAAAAATTGTGACCGTGTACATTTGCTCCTTTGTTTTAGGTGGTGTTGGCGCTGGTCTCGATCAGGTGTGACGTCGTGAGAGAGATACAATAGGATAGTATTGCCGTGACATGTTCAGTTCGAGGTTAACTACATTTTTTTTTTCAACCCCATAGACTAGTCCTTGGCCACTGCTGTCGTGGCGGTTCGCACGGTCAGAGCGCCGCTAACTGAACGACCGACTCGTGCTAAAGGCATGGCCGCTGAGGCGGGAGAGATTTCTTCCATTAATCACTCGCTCAGTTTCAGTCTCACCGTCTTGAGGCGCGGCTACTTTGCGAGCGGGTGGAACAACAAGGTCTCCTTGCATACGGAAGAAACGGTGATCGAGTGTGGCGATAAACAGGATCACAGTAGTGGTATACGAACCCCAACATTCTATTCTTGCTGATCGTTCTTGTGATGACCGAACGCGTCCGGTGTACCATGTTAGCGGTACCGAGCAAACTGACACGTCGGAATTTATTTTTTTATTTGCGGCCAACACTTCAAGACGTGTACTACAGCAGAGTATACGAAAAAATCTATATCAACATTGATAGATGTGTGATGTAGGTTATCTGCAGGAAGACAAAGGAACCCGGGTGAAGGGCTCGGGTTCCCCGCATCATCACTCTGTAGTCCGGACTGTCGTTCAAAGTATGGGGGTACATCTTGTCTGTGCGTTGGGGGTGGATTTGATGACTTGATTGTACACGTCGGAAAAAAGTTGGAACGTCGGATTGGTTCATCTTACGGAACCCCCACTATCCCCCACCTCTCCCGGCTCTCCACAACGGCCGTGCGTCTCCCGCAGCAGGGGTGAGTCATCTCGTCCCGCCTCCACAAATATCCCCACCATGGCTAGAGCAGCGCGCTTCGCAATATTCTGCTGTGCGTTGACATCATGCCGGGCGTTCCATACCCCTGTCACCACGACATCCGGACGCATGTCGGTGAGGCGAGAATCTTCTAGAGCTCAGCAAGAGTGCTACCGCAGCGGCCGAAGGCCTCGCTCCAGCTTGAGCATGAAGAAGGAGGCAACAGCTGAGGGGGTGACTGATGCTCCTGTCGTGGAGGAAGGCTCGGCCACTGCTACTGCTGCGAGCAAGGCGGACGGGACGCCGGAGAAGAAGATGATGAGTAAACAGGACCTCTACGAGAAACAACCCAAGCCGGTGCGACTGCTATGTACTCGCCCCCACATGTTGAGTGTACGACTGCTGTATGTTATGTAAGACTGCTGCTGTATCATACCAACAGGTGTTTGCTGCAGACACACATGATCGGTTACGTCCATTGCGGCTTGCCGCACACAGTTCTTGCAATGGGAGATTAAGCTGTGCTTGTGAGATGTGGTGGGTCAGTGGATCATTGTGACCGCTGTACTGCGGGTGGCTTGGTGCGCAATCCTCGCGAGTCAAGTGTCAGCGAGCCGAGATCGATCTAGTCTCGGCATTGTCAGCAGCAGCAGTATCTACCTGCGCCCCGATCACACAACGCGTTTACAGACGGCGGTTGCTATTCTGTCGCTATTTCACATCGTTCGGATGTATTGGACATGTTGAGCGAGCATACGATCATTATTGAACAAATCAGTAAATTGCCATGGTGGGTGATCCACAAGTACCACAGCAGCTCCTGCGATATTCGAAGGCAACTTCAATCTGTTCGTCCTGCAAGGCCTCCTTGTCCAACGCATGTAACAATACATACCTTGGACTTGTCGGAGCAAACAAGCTGTGTTTCGCCAAGACGATGTGGGCAATCCTGGTAGAGACTACGATACTTCAGCAGGTCTCCTCCGTGTGTGGTGCAAGAAAAGTTGCCGATGAGACCGCGCATACTTGCTTCATAGATGATCCGAGTCTTACCGCAATGCAAAGTGGACGGGGTACGGTACTATGTGGCCATGGGATGTCATGGCGTTGCCCCCGGAATGGCTCGTGTGCGAGAGAGATGCGAAGAGGATAATACACAACAGAGTTTTTCCTTGGAACGAGCCCGCCGAGTTACAGATACCCTACTCAACACACGTCTACACAAGCTACAGCAGTACCCCGCTTCCGATCACCCTAACGAAATACTGTAGAAACGCTCATGGAGGGCTGCGGCCACGCCAGGCTCCACGCCGTCCCCTGCAAGTCCCCTGTTTTCCCGGGCCTCCGCGATAGTGTTTTTGGCTTAAATACTTCTTCGAAGTATGTATCTTTTTCTCACAGGTTGAACTTTATATCCCGGGCGGTACCCACGCACACTGCCGTGCACTCCATATTCTCCCCTCTCCCGCGTAGGCCCTAGGAGACACAAACCTCTACATCGTTTTAGAAAAATCATTCGAGCTTGAGCAACCCCCTCGTTATAAACTGCCGCATATCAGTTTAGGCCTTGTAGCGCGAGATTGAGGTGCTTGAATATTTACGATTTGAGCACAATCTCTGCAGAGATTTTTGGCGACGAAGCGCACAATTTTTGCTTCAGTTGCCGACAGCTACACACGCGCACGCCACAAGCAACGACAGTGCTCGAAAGGGCCAGAGCCCACCGATGTGGTATGTGAGTGGCGTCGCATGCCTTGACAGCAGCAGCAGGCAACCAGCAACGTTTGTAGAGATGTTTTTTGTGAACTGTATGTAGATGTATGCAGCAGGCCGAATTTGACCAAACTGCCGAATATTCTGGGTACTTCGATGCGTCACCGCCGCTCTCCGTATGTGTATCCCCCATCGACAAACGGATTGAACGCGAATCAAGCTGGTTCACAGGGTTCCCTCCTACACCCAATATATGTGCTATTTGTAGAGGGTTTAGATTTGGCGCAGTTTTATTTTTTATTTTTCGATCCACAACCCAAAACGTTGATTTTTACGCCCCCCTACACATGTATGGTGCTTTAATGCAAATCCCGTACTCTTCATTCCAGTTGCTTTTTTTGTTGTTTCCGACACCCTCCTGTGCATACAACGCTTTTTTTTTTTGTGAGGAACCTGGCGTAGCCTTAACGAGCAAAGACCACTGCCCACAGACCAAACCCGCGCTCGTTTCTGTCTACCCTCTGCCGAAGTTGCAGTTTAACATGTATGGGAGCACGACACTCTGTAGACGAACTTTCAACGTTTTTGTGGTCATTTGAAGGCCCACTGTCCCCAGTTTTTCGCTATTCCGGAGAGCGCTGCCACGGAAAAACGCGACAGATGATAGTGGAAGAAGATCGATGAATGAATTGCAGTACTGCCCTTGAACAATTGCTGCGAGATACCTACAAAGTGCTCGTAAGAGAGTTTTTTCTTGTACTTGCGTTTTAAGAGACAACCGGATAGAGTATGCTAGAGCGATTTCTGCTTGTCCAACCCTCTCTTGCATCATAGCCGTAACTGCACCCTGTTCATGTGTACCGCACGGAGATTGGCGAACACCCCACTGACAGGTGTACCGTCAACGTTTCGAGTACAGAGCCCCGGCGGACGTCCCCATCGTACCAGGAGCATTTTCGCCCCGTAGCCGAGGGGTTATTTCGTAGGAAAGGACAGCGCGATCAATGAGAGTCTGCCGCAGTACATGAAACGACTGAGTCGTTGTTTCAGATCCGAACCAGGATTTACCCTCCAAGTCACCGACGGGTGAACCCAGCACGAAAAATGTACGCCCTTGTATCAACAATGCAACAGGGCGCAGTTGTTAACCGGCCTTCTTTCGCCACCTTGCTTGCCGCAACCAGCAAAAGAAGAGGACACTGACCCCGCAGGAGCAACAGTACCTGGACAAGATGGCGAGCGCGCCGATCATATACAAGCGCAATCCGGAGCAAGAGTTCTACCCGTCAGTCGGGTGAGTGCTTTTCTTTGTCTATGGCATTCGGTGGAGAAAACGTATGGAGACTTTTGTGCGGCGTCCTGGATATTTATATTGAGTTATTACAACGTGGTGTGCTACATACCCGGACTACGTAGATGGCTGTGCCCAACAGAGGGATAGCCTCCATGGGCGAAGTGTGGGAAGTGCAGTTGTTTGCACAATCGCGTATCCGCTACGAGCAACCAAAAGACAGGCTAGCTGTTCGACCATCGATTGTCAGTGGGAAGGGGAGTGTTTTGTTTTGGCCCGGATGATGGCCTCCCACAGTCCCACCGTCCATGGCGCAAATACCGTAATCTTGAGTCCTGTGCAACCCACTGGTCTGCCCGGTAACACTAGAAAAGTTAGCCCGGTCATCCGCTCCGATGAAACACCACCGCCGTTCTCGTTATTCGGAGTGTCAGTCTCGGCCCTTGGGGAGTTTTCCCAGTCCCTCAATCGCCAACCTCTCCAGTGCCTCACATGAATCGGGTTCTCTCTATGCTCTATTACGGTTTCCTGCATTCATTCTCCCTAACCCCCCCGGAATACAAGGTATGAGAGCTCTTACCCGACCCTGGAAGAGTCTCTCAAGGAAGGTTACACCGGCGACAGCATCGCCGTTGGCGAAGACGGCAAGGAGGAGGTCCTGATGCGCGTCGTCGTGGTCGGGGGGAGGGAGGCGGAGGGGGAGTTCTTGAAGAATTTGGCGGAGAAGGGGCGCGGAAAGCTGGTAGACGGGCTCTACGCGCTATGGGACCCAAGGTGTGTGTCAGAAAATGAATCAAGTTGTAGCAGGTGCGAACGGCGCCCCGAGCTGTGTCGCATGTGTGTCGCGCGAGTATTGGACCTGTCAGGGTGAATTATGTTAGCGGTTCCCTGACGGAGGAAGTTGGTGTTTGTCTTTCGTCGACAATGCTTCGAGCACGGCAGCCGTTCCTTATGCCACCTCCTTCGAGTTTGGAGGCGTTTGTACGCTCATGGACCCGTTTGTCATCACTTTTATGCCCGTGTGCGCGCAATCTTCAGGGAGGGCCCGGTGCCCGAAACAATCGCAAACATCGATCTCATCAACGTTCACGAGCTCGGCTTCGCCAAAAACCAGGATCCGAAGGAGGTTGCAAAACACGCCTACTTCTTGGCGGCGAACATGCTGGTGGCCGTCAGCAAGCACGTGAGACGATGGAGGGTGTGTTTTTTGAATTCACAGGCTGCAAGCAATCTTAACCGACGATCAAGCGCTAAGAAATACTCTCGAGAGGGCAGTCAATGCAATCCAACCGGAAAGAATTGTAACCAGGGCGCACCTGCTACGCGGAACCAGTCCAAGGATGATGTACAGATTCAATTGTGAAGATAAGATCTCTTGCAGACTGACATGCTGTGCAAATAATTCGTCCAAACTTGTTCCACACGTCCAAGCGTGGTAAGCCTGCGCTCTGTATGGACCTCACACAACTCCCTGTTCCTCCTCTTGGTCGTCCGCAGCCATTGTACGGAGATGACTTCGTCCCTCAGCTGAAGAAGGCCGCGCTAGACAACGGCGTGACCTTCGTGGGTCCTGACCTCGCAGCTGAGGTTGCCAGAGGCGACATGGAATCGTTCACCAAGTTGGTTGAGGCCACCAGAAAAGCTTTGGAGGAGGATTAGCTTTTCTTTTCGGGGACCGACTTTGTTGGATCGAGACAGATGTACACGCAAACGTTTTGATGCAGCCGAACACCCAACTTCTCTTGCCACGCAATGGCGGGTCGCCAGGTCGGCAGAAGTGATTGAGGTTGTAGTGGTCGTGAGTAGTGAGCTGCGTTGCTTGATCAAGTAGTGAAACCATTTCCCCGAAAATGCAGGATAGGGTCGGATATTTGATAGATAGAGGGGCGCTGTCATCGCAACCACATTGCTTTCAATACCGGAAATATGTCGCCGTCACTGAACTGAAATAGAACTGTTGGGATAGGAATAGGGTTACCCAACTTGTCTGAAGCCCGCTCCCCTTTTCTGTTCCCGCGTGCCGCCAGTAGAGCGAGTGACAATGTGAGAAAAAGAATCGCGTGCGTCCGTCAAAGTACACCGCGGAAGCAATTACCGGTAAACGTGTCAGATGCAGGGCCCGCCATGATGCCCACGATGAAAGCGGACAACTACATACTGCAACACTTATGAAGGACAGGGAAACTGTCACTAGATGCTCAAAACACATTGCTCATATTCTTGGGCTCGTGGCCACGGGTGTGGATGACGTTGATCGGTTCAAGCGAAAAGTGAAAGCAGTTTTTTTTTACGCCAAGGAAGAATCAATCCGAAGATTTTGAAAGTTGGGCAGACTCCCCCCCACGCCTGCGCTACTGCGTGCCGATGTACACGGCAGGAAATTTATGTCGGCTGTGTGCCAATCGGGGTGGTGGACACACCACCAAGCCATTTCAAGCGAAACACGCCGGCGCGCTTCCGAAAGACCTGCCTGGTCTCATGTGCCTGTTATTGCCGTTTAGGGACGGCCATTTGCGTCTGCGGCAGCAGCAGGAGGCTTAAATAGACAGGCCTATCCACTTATTCTAGACCGCAAGTCAGCCGGTTGTTATGATCATTTTGCGTAGATGTTGCGCCGATGAAGAGAGTGGCGGTTCCATGCACATCAATACAACACTCACTGTGGTTACTCGACTTGCTGGAAGAGGTGCCGTCTTGGACCAGCAAAAAATCTATCGAGACAATTTTGGACCACTGAGTGTTCACAGCGCTGGAGAACACTCCGAAGCCATGAGCGGACGACAAAAAAAGAGAACCCCATGGCTCGTGCCCACTGCACCCGTACAATCCGTACAACTGATCCGTCCACAATTCTTTTGTGAATGCGACATAACATAACGGTAACACTATTTGATATTGGCACTGCCTGCCAGACAGCGCAACTACCGCTGTAGATCGGAACTGGTAGAATCGGCAGGAGGTTCGCTCGCATGGCTCCTTCTCCTTTTTGCGAGCCCCATGAAGGCACGGTCGGTCGAAAGTTGGCCAGCTCCCAGCGAGCCCTCTTTTCCTTCGCCATCGTCGATGTCAGCCGTCGAAGCGGCAGTCAGCTCCTGTTTGATGTCAGGGCTCAATTGAGCGTCTCTGGAACTCTTCTTCTTCGAGACCAAGCCCACCTTCTCGTCTGCGTGTGTCGCGCAAAATTCGGAATGCTTGAGTCCATTCTCTCGGTATTGCGGTTCCTTGGTGCAACCCTGAGCGCGGCAGATTGTTAGCTTCGTCTTGCGCAAGTAGGTCCTCGTCATTCCGACTGTAGCGTGTACCGCACAAAAGGTGGGTTTCTTGTCTTCGGCCAAACCGTAGGACGCCCGCGTCATGCAGCCGGCTAGCCTGCATCGCTTGTTCTTGTTGGTGACGTCTTTCATGTTGGGTAAGGCATGCTGCGCGCAGAATTGTCCCTTCTCGTTATCACTCGTAGCGAACGACGCTCGCTTCGTGCAGTCTTGATGACGGCATCTTTTGTTCTTGCTGACGACATCGATCATACCGGGCTTGCGGTGAGGCGCGCAAAACTTCGCACCTTTCCCGACTTCACCGTACGAAGGCTGCTTCGTGCATCCTTGTTGCTTGCAGGTCGTGATATTGTTGCGGAAGCTCACCATGCCGTCCGTAGCGTGGGAAAGGCAGCGCTCCGCCGTTATACCCCCGGCCATGCCGTACGAAGGTCGTTTCCAACAACCTGGGTAGTCGCACAACTTGCTGACGCAGTTGACCATGTCGTCTTCCGCGTGGGCCCTACAGAATTCAGGCCTTTTAGACCCAGCGACGCCCAACGTTGGTTTTTTCATGCAACCATCGTGCAGGCATCGCTTCGCTGATCCGCCCATCCTTGTTGGTGTTGGGTTTGTAGCAGCACGATGCGGGGGGTGTTAGGGGGTGCTACTTGTTGGCAGGCGCAATAAAATCAGGTACACGCTGATTGAGATAGCTGAAGACTCCGAATCGATAACCGTAGATGATGCCGTCTGGTAACTATTTACATGCTATGTTGTAGAGGAGAGGACGTCGTTCGTATTCGAGACTCGGAATGCCTCATGACTATGCATACCAGTAATTCCTGTTTTCCATACGATTTGACACCTTCACTACTGTAGATTGCGCTGAACATTCGGAATTTTTTCGCACACCGCTTATGGTGGTGCTTGAATCCCGTCGCTCCGGACACTCAACAAACGCAAGTACACGTTTGACAGCCTGGCCAAACAGCTTTCGCAGGCTGACTGGTCAAAATGTGTAATGTTACACCATTAGACCAGCCCGGCTGACTGGTCAAATGGTTTAACTCTGTCGAATAAAATATATGTCGGCGGGCTCCTGGCCCCCCAGCTGGAACAACAGTGATCTCCCGGGACGGACCCCTCGCCAGGGGCTGCCGGAAAAACAAATGATGGTGCTGACCCGCTGGGATTCGAACCCATACATATATCCTTGTGTGAGAATGACTCCGTTAGACTACTCAGTCAGACTTCAGGCAGTGCCTGGCGAGGGGTCCGTCCCCGGAGATCACTTGTTGTTCCAGCTGGGAGGCCAAGAGCCCGCCGACATACATATTTTTTGATAAAGTTACACCAATAGACCAGCGTGGTCTAACCAGCGTGGTCTAATGGCGTAACTTTGTTGAAACACTCTTCTTGCCAACAGGTCGTGCTCAGTGGGATTTCTTTCGACTCCGTCGAGACTGGCATGTAATTCTCACAATAATGCGTCTGCCATTCTGGTTGCTTTGCTGCGTGTGTCCTACTGTTGCTATACTATGTAATGCCGTAATGCAGTGGAGAAGCTGTTAGCAAAAGAGCGAAACAGCCCTTTTCTACGGCAGCAGCTGTAGGGATATTGTGCCACCAAAGATCTCATGCTCGCTGTGGTTGCCGGTTCGGTTTCTGCACTCGTATCGAAAATCAGCCCCAACAGCACTCAAAACGCAGCAATAAACGCAGCAATAAACGCAAAAACAGCAGTAGCAGCAGTTTTGTCGGGGCTTCATCGCCATTCATCCTCGGCGTCTCAGTGGCATGTACGGCGGTGCCGGATACCTCTGTTCTTTCGGGACTTCGGGACTCACTATTCTCAGTCCGTGGCCGAAGTGTTAAGGGCGCACTGGGGATCGCAGTTTTCCTTTCCAAAAATCCAGGAAACGCCTTCATGTCTCAGTTTTCCTCCAGTACGAAACTTCAATCGCAAATTAATAGTCCGCGCACCGCGCTCGTGTACACTGTTAGTATCTGAGATTGTAGCCCTTGGCGATACACTGCAGACTAGCGGTCCGCGATTTTCCAAACGATCCTTCTATCGTCGAGATCGGTGAGCTACAAGCAGAATTTTTGCAGCTGTTGTGCGGTTCGATTTTGAAACGCTTCAAGCACGTTTGCTTCTGGCTAGACCTACATATACATCACCGCAGGCATGCAAATCGACTGTGGCGACGACAAGAACATGTGAGGGAAGAGCTGCGCTGAAGTTCGCGGCCCCACAGACTCACATAAGTGCTGATTCGCCGTTGCTGTATGCTTGAAGCGTTTCAAAATCGAACCGCACAGCAGCTGCAAAATTCTGCTTGTGGCTCATCGATCTCGATGATAGAAGGATCGTTTGGAAAATCGCGGACCGCCAGTCTGCAGTGTATCGCGAGGGCTACAATCTCAGATACTAACATTGTACACGAGCGGGGTGCGCGGACGATTTATTTGCGATTGAAGTTTCGTACTGGAGTTAGAATTAGGAAAACTGAGATATGGAGGCGTTTCCTGGATTATTGAAGAGGAAAACTGCGATATCCAGTGATTCAAGACATGAAAACCAAAGTGCATGATCTACACACCTCGTTGTAGCAACAAAATTGTTCGTATCTGTCTGTTGCATGTAACCAGGGCGAATTCTCGCATAATGATCAGGCGATTAGCAGTAGTCTATATACATGCACTGTACGCTGTAGCCCTCTTCGAGTGATGGTATGATACATGCGTAGCATAAATGTACATACAGTAACGTCAGATTTCAGGGCTCTCGCTCTAAACACCTGCAACAAGTCTACACTCTGTACATTGTAGCTGGCCGTCAGATGTTGCGCTCGGGAGCGGAGGCGAACCGTTGCCAGCAAGTGGACTATTCCAGATATTTCACCTGTCAGTGCTTGCCGCCTCGTGTTCCTTGCTTACCTGATCGGTCTTCGAACTCCCGTCGAGGGGACGTTGCGGTGGGAAATGGCGATATTCTGGTGTGAGGTTTGGTTACCCGCCTTGCGTTGTCCGGGTGTGCCCTTAGGTCAACCGCGCAGCAGGTTTTTGAGCTACGCAGCAGGATATGTAGCAGCAGCAGCGAGAAGTATGGTCTATGGCAGTGTTGTGCTGGAAAACCCACCCATGCCTGCTTGAGACGTGAGGTGAGTAAATGTGAGAGCCGAGACGACATGAGATGACCAAGTTGGGATGACTTGTGAAGGGGATACACAGAATGGCCTGCGTGGGAGGATGGTGTGCCAGTCCAATGCGGTGCTTGTTGCGCCGCATCTGGTGGGTATGATGGATCCCGACCTCCCGACACACGACTCGTGTCTACACTGTCGTGGCGTTGCCCTTGACTTATGGTGTGAGAGGTGAGCGCGTGTTCTGTGCTGTAAGATACCAAGAGAGAACCGGTAACTGCCGTGAAGTGAGGGAGTAAAGCATGGAGAAAAACGGAAGGCTGTTCCAGCCCGCAGGCAACAGCGGCAGCAACACCTCGACACTTCCGCCTGACCGAGTTCAGCTTGTCCAGCCAAGGCAAGAGCGCCATGTATTGCAAGGGTGGCAGTAGGAGTGGGTGGTTGTCGTGTGCATGGGAGTCGCTTGCAGGCGAGTGAGAAACATCATGGAATGAGAGATGGTCTGTGCCACGCTACTGCTGCTGCCGCACGTATGCATATGATGGATCCAAAACAGGGGTGTGTCCAACGTACGGTATCCGTCCCTACAGCATTACGCGAGTCGATCATGCACGCTGCTGTTTCGTCTTTTAGCGGGTTGTCGGGAGATATACTGCTCCATCATAGATGTGCTTGTACCCAAGCCGGAAGTTACAGCAGCCGCAAGTACCTACTGCCATCAGCGCAGCAAATATTCGGAAGCAAGTCGTCAGTGCAGCTGCTTGCGTGTATCCACCGGCTTCCATTCCCCGAGCTGCTATCAGAACAGTACGCAGTGTGGCGCGCATTTGGAAAGAATCGACAACGAACGTAATATGACAGCTACATTCTAACACGAACGGGCGAGAGAAGGCGGCCCGGGGGGAGTGGTAGCCCAGTGCTGTTGTATTCCAAGGCGGCACCTCAGCCAGTCGAGCCCCGCCTGGGTAGCTGTATGGAGGAGACCTCTTGTGGCTTTCGCGACCAAAGATTGGCCTCCCCCTGCAGCTCCATCCCAACCCCAACTGTCGGTGTGAACCCGCGGGACAGCGGCCTGAAAAACGTTTGTTATCATGTTGAGGATTTGCGCCGTTGCTTCGAACCCTTAACCGTGGTTTCGTTTGTGTTGTCGGGCCTTGCAGCACAGCGCCGGAGGTGGACTATGGCGACGCGCACACCGTAGACGAGAGGGGACGGAGGTGAGTTGATTCTTGTTGGTCCATTCTCGCCGCATCTGGCGTCGGACGACACGGGTTGGCGTCAGGTGTTCACCCCGAGCATGGAGGGAAGTGATACAACCAAGTACGTGCGGAAGTTTCGACCTACATAGCCTGAGGGCGGGCCGAGCTGGCGTAGCTCTGTGGTTTAATGTGTGACTTGACAAGCCCTCACGGATTAGCCATACTGTTTCACCTGTTTTTTCTGCTGCATCTAGCCCGTCCCTCGCCCTCTTGACAGCGAGCAATCGCTGAACGGGCAAGAGCAGTAGCGCAACCGGGGTGAGAAGTGGCCATGCGCATGTTTCCAGACCTACTATCCTGATCCATTCCATGCATCCATGCATTCAGAACTATCCACCATCGCAGTGCTGGGATGTACTCGTGGGGTACTCGTGGAAAACCTGCAATCCCATCTGCCGTGCCCCGTGGCACTGGACCCCGTCGTTAGTTTCGGTTGTTGCCTGCTGGATTTTTTGCGGCCCGCGGTGATGCAAAGGATGTGAACGGTACCAGATCCAATCCTCCCCCTGCCCTACAACGCTTGCACCCTATCCTACTCCTGTTTCACGCAATGTGCAGAGTGCTGCACGAGATGAAGCGCGAAGCGGAGTTCTGGGCCATGCGAGCTGGCGTGCAGGAACGAGTGTCCACTGCCGGGTGAGCTACCACCGGGAATGACTTGCGTGTGCTCGCGGTTTGCGAGAGAGAGAGAGAGAGAGAGAGAGAGAGAGAGAGAGAGAGAGAGAGAGAGAGAGAAGGAGAGAACCTGGTCGTGCCCTTGGCGTATACATGCATTGCAGATGTGTAAACCAAGTGAGACAGAACCACAGTCACTCCAGCTCCCGTCCTCTCTGCCTCTCTCTATCGTCTTGTTGTTTTTGGTTACCCCCCCAACCCCGATTTTTGACGATCTTGCTCGCAAGGGGGGGGGTGCGTACCACATTCGGGGATGTGCCTTGTCCGACAGCAACAACCTGCTCTCATCCCCTCCTTGGATCTGGACCTATTTAGGTTGTGCCTCTTTTTTGGCGTTGGTTTGATGCACCCGTCAAGCTCATGTGTCCATTGCGCACGTTCGTTAGGGCCGTTGAGACACGGCGCCAGGTGGTGGCGGTCAAAGCGACTGGGTTTGGTGACGGGGTGGTTTCTCGCCCTTGACCATGCTAGTCGTTCTGGTGCCGAAGGTTGTGTATTGTCGTGATAATAGTTGTTTGCCACCCCCCCGTTGGCAAGTGGTATGAAGCCGCAATCCTTCTCACGGCTAGAAAGACGGCGGCGATGCTTGTCTCGGCTACGTGATTTCTGAGACAACGCCAACTCCAGGGGCTCTTGATCTATAGCCTTGGTATCCTCGAATAGCTTGGCGTCCGGAATTCATTCCGACGGGCGAGGTGGGGCAAGCGGGACGTTTCTGGCGTAGGGTACCGTGGCGATCACGGTTGTAGCGCAGCGGGCACCAATATACAAAATCATTCTCTAGTTACCCCAAGACGTCTTCCGGTCAGACAGCACTGATGCGCTCTAGGCTGCACAAACACGCACTGCTGCACCTACCTGTTCTGACCACAATATGTAATTATACGAGAATGGTGGAAAAGGCCACGGGCACCTTGACGAGGCATAATAGCCACACACCCCCCGCCAACCTCCCCCCCCCGGTGTTGCTATCGGGGTTGGGTTTTCCCTTCATGCGACTCGCCGAATACCTCACGGCGCTTCGCGCTTGGTGATGTGAGAGCCTGGTCCGGTGAGAACCCGGCGTGCTCCGTCCCGGCTTTGTAGCGATGCGAGGTCAATGGTCTAACGACTACGGCATGCACGACTATGAGTACCCCCCCCCCCCCCCCCAACCTATATGTCGCTGCCTTATGTTCAAGTTTCCTGGGGTGCAGCACGCCGTCCACAGCGACTAAACCGGCACCTTTTAACGATGCTTCTCCGGGAATGATGCAAGAGTTCTTCGGCTCGACACCCTGACGTCGTTTCCGCCCTATCCTATCAAGCCGTCAAATGTCTACTTCCTGACCATGATCCAAGCAAAACGAAGGCTTGGAACGCAAGCGGCGTTTTGGCTGTGTGTGAACCTCAGCTATTTGGGGCGAAGAGAACACTACCGGAAGGAATATTTGTCGAAGCGTCCACAGTAGTATATTGACCACGTATATGATCCTCTCCGCACTGCGCTCCTATTTGCCTGCTCCTTCCGAAGCTCCAAGGATCGGGACTCCGAGAAAGCTTTGGCGCGGGCTCTGGACGAGCTGGGTTACCATGACCAGGTGAAAATGGGGGGGGGGGGGGACGTATGCATCCTGATGTCCTGTAAAGGAAAAACGTTGTACACTGGTAGTTTCTATTGCCGAATAGATGTTGCCTCTAAGGTTGCGCAGAAGTTATCACACAATTGGCATACCAATGCCACAATATACGAAGAAGTTTCACGCTAGACCAGCGCCTTTCTTTCTGCATGCACCTCAGCTGCGCTCGTACGCGAAAAGAACGCTCGTGCTGAATTGGTACCTCTCCAGGAGGGAGCATCGCGCCTGTGTTGACAAGGCCGGTCCGGAGGGACAGATGCACTACGGGCTTGCGCAGTACATTGCCCTGCGCTTAAACGGAGGGCGCGATAGTACAATGACTATGAGGGGGAGTGTCATTCGTTTTTCGCAGTGGCGCTTCTTTCTGCGGACGGGAACGATGGTTTCTTAACCCCTTGGACAAGAAAACAGTGCGCTTATGCTCTACCGAACAGTTTCGCAAACGTGCAAGCGTGGCGGCCTTGCCCTGGTACTGTTGTTGCCGTTCCCTTTGCTTCTCTTCCACCTTGTTGGGCAAGAAAGACGCGTTCGAACTGAACCGAAAACAACCTTTGTTGGTTCATTGCTTCCCTCTTTGTCGACACGCTGCTGCCGCACACCCGGTCGATGCGATTGGATCATCCTTGGATGGTGTTGGCGGGAGGAAGATTCGGAACGTTGCCCATGGGGCTCACGCGAGAGGGCTGCGGCGGCAGATCACTGGAATAGGCTCGCTGCCGGCCGAGCTTAGGTGTCTCTACCCCGAGGTGAGGACTCGTAGCGCCGCTCTGGAACACCACTGGACGAACGCTTGAATATCGGGCCAAATGATCGGGCGAGCGTCTTGTGTTTCTGATGTAGAGGGTGTTGTTTCGACCTCGGGGATCCATCCTAACCCCTACGAGAACGTGTTCATAGTCCCCCCGGTAAGTTCCTGTGGCGGCGGGCGCGATGTTCTCAAGCACCGCCGGGGTACATGCCTCCTAACAAGAAAAACAGCTGTGCCGATTGCGATAGAGAATAGTTCAAGCGTGTTCTTGTAAATTTCGATTATTATCGTCCCTCCGCGCGGTGTTTGTTATTTTGCCCGTCGTCCTCTCCAAGACTATCGTTACGCTTTATCCGATAAGACACGGAAGTGATCCTTGCTATGGTCTACATGTCCATGAATTGCATGGAACAAAACAATGACCATTTTCATCCACGGAGTTATCACCGACGTTCAACAAAGGGCTTGAAAATCCAATTTCAAGGGTTGTGTTGTTAGTTTTTTCCCCCACCGTCGTTGTTGCGTACCGTACGGCACAAAAAATTCTTCTCCATAATCATCACCATCACCCTTGTTTCATTGCCGTTCTTCCTCTCTTTCTATATTCTCCCTCTCGTCTACAACGCCTTAATAACCGTCGCACCAACTTGCTGACAATCTCCTAAAACCTCCTCGACGTCACGCGCCCATGCCGCCGCCGATTCGCGCGTGCGCCACGAAAAGCTATACCCCCCGTCGCCGCGGCTACCGTCGCGCCACTCCACGTCGGCTAGAACTACCGCCACCAACACCACGAACCCATCGCAAGCGGCCCCCGAGATCCGGCGGCAACGCCACCAACAGCAGGAGCAGCAGCAGGGAGAGGACGACTTGACCGACCCCGAACCCCTGGACCACGTGAGGAAGGCGTGCTCGAGATGGAGGGCCAACGTCGCCGACGAACTCAGAGCCCTGGCCGCGGAGAGGGGGGGAAGGTTTGCGAGGCCGAGAGCTGGCGGTAGTCCGGCGGCGGCGGGGGTCGGGGATGGCGAGGGCGGCCGGGGGGGTCCCGGGGCTGGGGGAGGGAGCGGTGGCGGTGAGAGTGGAGCGCTTGCGGTTTTGAGAGGCTTAAGACGAGGCTAGTAGTAGTTGTTTGCATGTTTCTTTTCAGTTTTTTTGTTCTTTTCTTTTTGTTCGGTTTTTGAAGCGGCAGATTGACTCCCACTGGATCGCAGTACTGTATTGTGGTGCCACCCGAGGTGTGTCCGTTGAATAGTTTCGTTCGGATAGGGTATCGACGGAGGTGTTGGAGTAAGGAGAGAAGGTCCCGAACTGTCCGTGTCGACCCCTCGGAAATTGACGAGAACGTTGCCGAGAGAGCACCCTGTCTTTCGCCTCTGCCCCTACGTTCCCGCCTGCATGTGAGCGCGTGTTGCTCTGCGCTGTCGGTAACCAAAATGATCGCAGAACGAGCAGCAACAACGTCGAGGCCCTCCACTCTTCACAACAACAAAAAACCATATCACCACCGCCCCCGTAAGTAACGCATTCCTCACCATCACTAACAGCACTGATGCTTTAATGCAGGCGGCGGAGCAGACAGCAACAACAGAGGCCGGAGAGACAGCGGCGCATCGAGCGCCGCCGCCGCTGCAAATGCGGGGACGGGCGGCTTCCTGTTCGACTCGGCCGACCTCCTCGACGCAGTGAGCGCCATCCGCTCCCCGAACCGTTCCGACTTTTTGCCCGTGGAGGAGGAATGGGGAATGGTGTATGTGAGAGGAAAACACGGTAGTTTTTACGCTTTTGGTATGCAAAGATACAACAGGTTTCGTTGCATTTTTTTGCTCTGAGGGACACTTATGCCATGTAGGCAAGAGGGAGAGGGAGAGAGAGAGCGAGGGAAAGGGAGAGAGGAAGAGGGGTATCACACGATACATGTGGTATACGTGATAGCTCTGTTCCGTTTTCCCGTACGGGGCGCGTGCACGGCCCGCGTCGCAATCATTCTCATCGTCCGCCCTGCCTGTGCTGCTGCGTGCGCGCGCCTGGCGAGTTTATGTTTTCGTTTCTTTTCGCGTTTCTTCCTGTGCCAAATCGGTACACTCAATGGTCGGTCCCTATTTTTTTTTTTGTCGTGAGATATGCCCACTCGGTGCTCTGCTGTGAGACGGTGCTCCGAAATCTTTGGGACTCTTTGTTCACTGCTGTCGATGCGTTGAGCCGGGTTGCACGTTTGCGTTTCGTGTGGACTCACGCGCAGTTGCAACTGCGGGTCAAGTCTTTGGAAGAGCTCCGGGAATCATACCGAGAGCTGTCGCCGGAGTTGCACCAGACCGGCCTGGATGACCGAGGGGGGTTCGGCGAGGATAGGTATGTTCATGTGGGAGGCTTGTCGCGGCTCACAAACCTCCCGTGTAGTTATTTGTTTTGTCTGGGGAGTTTCGATGGTTGCTTGAGATCGTAGATTCTGTTGTGTGTGTTCGTTCGGTTCTTTTCGAACTCGTCAATAAATTGAATGGACCCTTCATGCCGGTTGACAGTCAAGGAAGACTTAGAGGTGTTTCTTCTTCGAGGACGTGTACCCCAGCAACCTATGTCGAGATGGCGTGCTGTCCCATCGGAATTTCGAGCATCACTCGAGTCGAACGGCACGCAGCCTTGACTACAGCACGGGGCCCAGCAGGAGACCTGCGCGAACGAGACATTTGAGTTTGGTATGCATAGGACATTTACTTCGTCGTTTTTACTGCTCTGCTGTTGCTCGTGTTGTGGTTGGTGCTGCCTGAAAACACGGGACTGGCTTGCTAGGTTCACGGCGGAGAGACTGTCGCAAGGCCGAAAGATCCTCAAGGCCGGCTTTGCGCCGGAGGCGATGGAGTACGCCAGGAGAGGGGTTGCCGACTCGCTCCGACCGGCGGTGTGGAGGGCGATACTCGGGCTCCCAAAGGCAAGCAAACAAGCACCGAAGTGCTACATAGACATTACCCCTTCCACCACCATCTTTCTTGACTATATGACGGCGTCAACGTTGGGGGGCGTTCGGCCTGCGAAGGCGAACAAACGCGCCCACTGTTCAGCTATGGCCGCCTCCGACCCAACCCATCCCCGATTCCGTCGCAAGCAAGCTGTTTTTCAAGTCCAACACCTGCGCACGGCAACACCCACAAACAACCTTTGCGTGAAATTGGGCCAGGAGCAGTCATCGTGGCCTGCTCGAAACCCGAGCCTCACGGTAGCAGTATCGTGGCGCAATGGTTATAACGCAAACACTCACTTCTGTCTATTTCATTTCTCATGGCCATTCTTCTACTTTACCCTTGCTCCACTTTACGGCTGGACATTTGCTACTATAATAGTGGCTGTTCTTGTAACATGTTCCGACCCAACATCATGCCGTTAGTGCTGTGCTGAACTGCTGTTGCCATCCTCTCTCCTGATGCGACGTGCCACCGTCTGTCTATTGTGACCCCGATCAACCGCTCTGGATATGTCCCACTTTTCTGTCTTTTTTCTCGTTGCAACTGCTCATCTCGCTGCCCTGGCACCTCTGGCACCGCTGGTGCTGCCGCACCGCACCGTCGCAGGCGCTGACCCCGCAAGACTTGGAGTATTTCGCAGGCCTTATGTCGGAGGTGGACCGGACGGAGCTGGTGACCGACGAGCTGTACGGCCTGGACGTGCAGTTCATCAGCGACGACGACAAGTACTTCCCCTTCGAGGTATCTATCTACAACGGTTTGCACGCGATAGAGCTATCTATGTTGAGCGTTTAAATGTTGAGCTTGCAAACGATTGATTGGTCTGTAGAGTACATAGTGTACGACCAGTTTGGTTTTGTGTATGTTTCGGTGCTTTCGTGTGTTGGAAACGTTGAGAGTGAGCCAACCGACCTAGGTTTTGTTGTTTTGCGGACCATAGCTTGGTTTTCATCAACCGACGGCCGCGGGCACCTAAGACTTGGTACAGAGCCGACGTATTTGGTGCTGTGACTTCCGTGAGACTGGCAAAGGCATCCTCGTCCCTGCGCCACAACACCGAAAGGTTACCCTCCAGTTCCCACTCTCCGCCGCCCTCCCCGTGCTCATTTTCCTTCCCATCGTCCCGACTCGTTCCCCGTTATGCTTACGGTCACTTTCTGCCACGACGTGGAACGCATACCGTACCTCCAGGAAACCTTGCACGACGTCATCCTGGCGTTCTCAAGGGACCCTTGGGTCCTCCGGCACAGCGAAGCCACCCTTCACGACCTCGTCCCTATCGGGGAGGGGGCGGTGGGGGCTGACGACTGGGCATTTTTGAGCGGTGCGGGGGCTGGGGGCTATTGTCCCCCGTGCGGTGTGCAGGTGGGTTTTGTGCTTCTTGGTGCGTGTTTCGCGTTCGGCCTTTGGGGGCATGTTTCCCCGCCAGGCACTGTTGTGCATACCACAACATTTTGTTCATTTTCGAACACAGCAGTGATAAGAACATCGGGCTTGTTGTGTAATCTATTTTATACTTGTTCGGCGTTCGTTCGCGTCTCCTCATGAAACGAAAGAAAATCATGTACACACACCGAGACGGAAGTACTGGTGGAAACTTGTTTTGTGTTTTCGGGTGGAAACATATTTCATTGTTTTCGGCGGTTCCTCCGGATGTTCCGCAAGTTTTGGATAACTTGTAGTGGAAGGGGAGAAGAACGTAGAAGAGAGCGCTGCGCGTGCTTCCCAGAGGGCCGTGAATCACCAGACCAGAGCCCCGAGGGCAGCACCAGTTTCAATCTGCGACACCACATGAAAAAACGGCACAGCTGGTACATCTGGACCACTAGACGTTCATTTCCACATGAAGGAACACAAGTCCAACTCGAAGCTGTAAACGCGACGCCCACACAACGATAAGAACATGAGCTGCAACGTTCCGTGGGTTGGGGTTAGTTTGAAAGACTACGGTCTGGAGGAATGCCGTTCCATTCTTGCAGATGTCTATTCCTGGCAAGAAAACACGGACAAACCGTGACAAATAGAAAAAAAAAAGTGAAACTCCCCCGCCCCCCACTGTTATCTCCCCCGCCTGTCCCCCCCAAAGCCATTTCGGGGGCTCGTGAACTACGCGGCAGTACTGTGCTTCTTGTTCGAAGAGAGGGAGGCCGTGTATTTTACTCTCAGGACCATGTTCGCGAGGTTTTGGTGCAGGCTGAACGCCGTGCGCTCCGGCCCCGGCATGCTGCTCCGCCTGCTCAAGCTCTTCGAGGTGCGTGTGTAAAATGAATTATGTCTCTTTGTCTCGTCTCACGTTCACTACCTGAGAAGAACGAACGTATCTGTACTCTTCCTGTTTCTGTGTCGGTGGGACAACAATAATACAGCAGTATCAGCCAATTTCACGAAAGTCTGTTGCGCGAAAGTCAGGCCGAGGTGCTGAAAGTTCTACGAGAGCGACGGGTTGGCCTTGGCGGCGCACTGGTACACGAAGTCCATAGAAATGGCTGATGCTCGACCTTCGCGCAACAAAACGAACTTCACGCCGAGCCTGGCAGGTTTAACTAAAACTACGCGGACAACTCGGTGTTTGATCAATAGTACGCCGTATCCGGCGACCCGTTCATGCCTGAGATTATTTGGCAAAGCGCCGTGCTGTGTGTAGGGAATGTGGGTATATCTGCCGCTGCCTTACTGCCTGCTTAAGATGTTTTCCCGAGTGTAGTCAAATACAAACCAAGGATATATACGTGTGCGTGTGTTTAATCCGGAAATTGTTGTACGATGTTCCGCGAGCCATTCTAGTCGTTCAGCCGGCCTTCTTCTTTTGTTTTAAAACGGGACAACATTCCGGTCTCAGTGTTCTGACTTTTTGGCCACGATGAAGTTCGAGGGCAGGCAGGGTGTTGCGTTGTTCAATTTCTAAGCGTTTTTTTTCATGTCGGCGCTCGAAGTACACGCCTGCTGAGTAGTGATGCGTACAAACGAGGGTAATCAAGAGTGCAGCGTAGAAAATACGTAAGTTTGGCGAAGCGAGGCGGCAATTGGTCCACTTTCCCTGTCCGTATGCACCCATGAAAATGTTTTGTGTCGTCCGCTGATTATTCCCCATCGTCACAGAGTGGCCACATTGGTGTGCGTGCCTGCCCCTCGATCTTTCCCTCCTTCCGATGATGCGCCGGATGTCGTCGTTTCGCTCTTTCGGTCCAACATGTCCGTCTCTAACCTCGTGCCGTCCTCGGTGGCTGCGTGTGTCCAGTCTCTGGTGCAGCGGCACCACCCGCGGCTCGTGCGGAAGCTGCTGCAGCTGGGCTTGCAACCGCTGCAGCTGGCCATGCCCTGGATACAGTTCGGCTTCGTGACCTACCTGGAGGCAGACCAGGCAAGCTTATGCACCACAACGTGTAGCTCTTCGTGCTGTGACCTGTTTTTTGCGCCACCTAGCGCCCCCAATGATGAAGGAGTACGTTGATCTTACCTGTATTTCTGAAGGGTGTATTATTACGGCGAGCTTCTCCAGAAAACCGATCTCCGTTATTGGTTCGGACTTTGGACGACCAGGCCGGCTCCGTGAAACCTTGACCGCAATATGTACCCGGACCAGACAAGACACACTTGTTTCCGCGTCACACGACGTTTCCCGACAGTTTGAAGGGTGCTGAAACGTATCCACCGGAGGCGCCAATTGGTATTGTGGACGTATCGTAAGCTTTGTTTCGTTCCGTCATTCATAGGTTTCTTTCGTAAAAGGCGCGTGGATCACCTTTTCATTCGGGTATGAGAAGTAGAGACCAATGTTAAGGCTCTTTTGTGCACCCTCTACCCACTCCCCCCTGTCGCATGTCACCGTACGCGTGAAATACCCAACCAATGATACCGGTGGGTGGAACGATGCACACGGCGTGGTACAAGCTGTAGCGAACACCCCATGCTCCAGGTGTTGCCGTCGATTTTGCTACTCTTGGCGATTGTGCTTGGCTCACCACAGTGACGGCCCTGATCATTGAGGCGAGGTGTCGGGAGAGAAACGATCTCTCTCCCGACCGACGGCGGGGGAGGAAAATGAACGTGCGAAACAAGTATGCACCTACCTGCGTGCACCGACTGACACTGGCCTTGCGGTGGTTGGCTACATGAACGAACGCAGGTGCTGCTGCTGTGGGATAGACTGCTGGGGTACGACTCCCTCGATCTCTTGTCGGTTCTCGCCGCCTCGGTGTTGGTGTTTAGAGCAAAGCTGGTGCTGCAGGTGAGCACATGGTTTCGCTCACGCGGCAGGGGCGAACCCCGCTCCTTCTAGTGAGGTCCAAAATGTGGGGCCAGGGTGGTACTGCGGTTTCGGTAAAATTTCACTTGTGTAGACCTTTTCTCGTGTTTGACCGTTTCGAAACATAGTCGTTCGGACCCGTTGACAAAGGTGGGTGCTTATGGCTCGCTCACGTTGTCGTTCGGAGCTGTCTACAGGTAGCATGCGTGTGCTTTGAGTGGCGTGCATAGCCTCTATCTTCGCGTTTCCTGGGGAAAAATTGACTTCTCTCTCTGTCTCTTCCTCTCTCTCCATGAAATCCACGGGTGTGTGTTCCCATACCCAGCGATTGTGATTTTCATGTACTGTACATGGTAGGTATGTAGATAGTAATATGGGACGCCGGTTTGTAATGTTTAGCACGAACCTGACCGACTGACGTTCTCAAATACGACTGTGCTTAATCTACGCATTTAGGTTTCGGACGCTGCTGCGGTGATGGAGATATTCTCAGACGGGCGACAACTGGAAGTCGTTCCGCTTCTCCAGGCCTTCATGTTTCCCGCGTGGTGAATCAATGGAGTGAAATCAATAACCAAAACACACCACTGGAGTAGCGTGGAAGCTTGTATTTTCCCCTTTTCGCGCTGTCTCGTTTTCTGCTGTAGATGGTTCTACACTTAGCCGTTAGCGACGTTTGGGTCTTTCGGCAAGTACTGATTTTCTAGGCGCCAAGATGTCTCGTGGGCCCCCTGACTTGTTCGGAGGAGTGACCGCACTTATGAAACCTCTCAATTGCGAACGGACTTCCAGTTCGAAACACTTTTGTTTTCGTCTGGGGTGGCCTTGAGCTGAGCAAACCCATTTCTTTCCAGCAGGCCTGCTATCTTGGGCCGGTTGCGCTTGGCTCTGTGGGTAACATACCGCGCGTAGGTTTCGGTGTCTGAACCGGAACACAAGTGAGCTTGGTACAGCCGGTGGTGATCAATAACGGCGAGAACTGTTTGCGCACATTTGGCTTTCTATGGTATTGGCCTGGGCAGGAGGTGTCCGACCAACTCACAATAGTTTGTTCTCAAGCTCTTCAGTGCGTATATGAACGATCTGAAACGCCGTACCAGGTTTGTTGCATTTCGCTTGCACGTACTTCGAAGTACATAGTTTGAGGTGCCTCACATTCACAGCTCTGAGAGGGCCGTAGCAGCGGTGGAGCGGGCGAATGATCTTGCTACGGATTTCGGCTGGATTGTTGATGAGGTGTATCTTGTGAAAATTCGAGCCCCCACAAGTGTGAAGATATGCAACGGACGTGAGTAAACGCTGCGATTGGAACCCGCAATGCTCCTTGAACGTCCTGAAGTTGCGAAATGCCTCTTCTCCGAGTTTTGTCTTCGCGGCAGTCGGTGTGCCATGGATGGGCTCGTTTGAAGCCGTAAGCATGTCCCAGAGCTACCTGACACACGATCCTTGAAAAACCCAGTGGGCCGCATTGAGCCGGAAGAACCGCGAAATTGTTGTTCGTGTCCCTGCGTTGGACGTGTCACCACGTACCAGTGGACAAACGCCTTGCACCGTGTTGTCGTGGTTGTCCAGCCGATAATTGGCGCAATAACTACCGTGACAACCAGTGTGGGCACACCTTCGTCTTGGGATGAATATATGCATGGAGGGAAGCTGCAGCTGTCTGGTGATTGTTCCGAGGGGTGCGTGTTTCACATTTTCAGTCTTGGTAGAACACTCCATCACCAATATCGCCGGCATCGCCACCTTGTACAAAAAACCAAGCGTTGGACAAACTCCTCACGAACAGCTCAAAGCAACGCGTCCGGTGCTGTTTATCGGGCACAGCAAAGTACCAGGACGGACCTCGAGGAAAAGTCTCTTGCACGTCGCAAATCGAGCCCAGTGCATGCAAATGTGCTACTGGCGTAGCCCCCGCATGTCCCCTGCCCGGATTCATTTCCTTGAACCGATTACATACAACACGAGGAAACCGGGTTTGAAAGGTCTGAGCGAAGCCGTGTTAGGCAGCAGCAGCAGCGCTAGAAGCAGTAGTAACAGTGGCAGAAACACTCTCCGTCACCTTGCGGACCCGAAATAACCTTGCTTGTCCCACGATATTTCCGTCGGTAAAGGCATGGACGCAGGCGATCGGACAGGTAGCTGTAGCAAGGGAGGCGAAAGGAGGAATTGGATGGATGCCCGCCTCTTTTCTGCCAGCATCCACGGCGCTATTGCTGTCGTACTGCTAAGGCGGTAGAAAGAACGTGGGGAGCACTACTTCCTATTACCGCAGGGCCAATATCTGCCCACGTTAGTCGCGGATAGGTCCGCCTTTCGTGCACCTGTCTCCCTCTTGCCCGCCTTCTTCGGCAGCATCCACTCCAACTAATGCAACACTAGACAACAGCCTCCACTAGTGTTGTCTGCCACCTTTCAGTGGTCGGACGGCCTTGCGGGTTTATCCAGGTCAGGAACGTCGTCGGAACCTGGTGTTGAACAAACACCGACAGCAGTGTTTACTTGAAATGGTTGACAGACTTTCCTCGACTTATGGGAGTCTACGTGTTTTTCTACGAGATATGTTCGCTGCCGATTGCTCACGCGTTATAGACATACTCGGCAGCAACCAGCGTTCACGTGCTTCACACACGAATACAACGATCGTTTCTCTGGTGGGCACGGGTCTCCCCCGAAATATGGCACAGTTATAAGCAGCAAGCAGCAAGACGAAGGCCACAGCTAATGAACGCTATCTTGTCCATGCAAAATAACTCTTGATCCACGCACACGTGGAACACGTCCTATCACATCGACCGATCGAACGAATCACACCGCCCTCCCTCACTGCGTTGCGGAGTGCCACGATAGACCAAGATTGACGGAAAAAAAAAACGCGCTTGCCACCAGGTGACGCGTACCAGGAATTGTTCAACAGCGTCTGCGCGGTGCTATCTTGCTTGTCGACGGCCCACATCTCAGCGGTTGCTTCGGGGTCCACCGGGCTATACCAATCGGGATGCCGCATATTGGGGTTAAACCGGTAGTCCATGAAGACCTGGTGCGGGGAGCATGGATGGAGTTAGTGATGTTGAAGTTGACGCCCGTCATCGTGATATCTTGAGGGGGTGCGACGAAAGACAGGAATAGGTGGGTTTGTTGAATGGTCCTGTACCCAGCATTGCCCCCGCACTCACAGCTTCTTCCTCACTACCGCCTTCCGAACAAACATACCACCCACGCCGAAAGAGCGACATCAGTTGAACAAGTATCATGCATGATGGAAAACTACGGTTCGGAGAAGTGGGAGGGAGACCGCGAATTCTGCAACATACGAGCAACAGAGTCACGGAATATTTGTAGACGACTGAAAGGGTCGTGCGACGGGTCGTACGAAGCAGGACGTGGGGCACGACAAACAAAAAAATACTTCGGAAGGATTCTATTAGAAATGAATTGATGCACGAAAGTGTGACAAGATGCTGCTCTCGTTTGCGACAGACCACGTTATTACGCGGTGCATGGAAATTGAGGGTACCTCTTGGTCGTGAAGCCCTCCCCTGCAGGCGACGAGTACGACGGTTTCCACCATCGCGGACTGGTCGAGCTTGCCCCCAAACAACGCTTTGGGCGCGCGGTGATACCTGCCACGGAATGATTTCCAGGGTGAGCTGCTTACAATCGATTGTTCAGGTCGATGTCGATCAGCCAATGTGAGTGCTGGTGGATCCATAGCGTACATTGGATATTGTTACAACGGGGGTGTATACAAACTAGGCACGAAAGAGGAAAATCGAAACGCGGGTCCTCCTGAACGTCCGCCCGCAGTCCGGTTTGGCAACCAACCACGGCAACTTCAGCTTCGAAGAGACTGATTATCTCCGCGACCCCAAGAAGAATAAAACACCAAACCAAACAGCGGCAGACGCCGACGTTCTTGTGCACACGACGGCACCGCATACACCGTACGTGAATTTCTATGCAAACCAGGTGGCCACACTTGTCCAATATTTCTTGAACAAAGAGGGCTGGCTGAAATATGCCAAGAACGTTTCCCGACAGTCCCTCGCTGGAGATGTTGGGGTGGTCCTCATCTCCATGTTTGCGCGATTGTAAAAACGAGATAAAAAAACAAAACGTTAGACTCGTTTACAGGTCCAGATACGGGTGTGAAGTTCCAACTGTGCTCTTGCTCTTTCAAAACACAAATCTCCACCGAAAATGCACGCTTGTTCCTTTCGAACGAAAAACCTCACCGGTTCGGCACCAGCGGCCGCAACCGCTCCGGGAACCTGCCCCCCTTGGCGATCCCCACGTCGTCCTCGCTTAGTGCCGGGAAGTCGTACGCTACCTGCAGAACGTTGGCCGCCTGACCCTCCGGTGGGTGGTTCGCCGCGTGAGCGAACGTCAGCGGAGAGGACGGCAGCAACCCCGCCGTGCGTCCGTCCACAAGACACCCGTCGGCTCGTCCCATGAGGAAGTGGTCCTCGTCAGGGAGGAGAGAGGCTGCGTATTTCTGGCTCCGCAGGTGTTCAGGCAGGTGCACGAGGCCCTTCGGATGGGAGGTGCGGGAGGGGGAAGCAAACGGAGAGTGTTGGATCGAGGACGGGACCAGGAAACTTTTGCATTGAAGTGATAATTCACGTGGTGTTCGGGCGGGCAAAGGGGCAACTAACGACAATGCGGCAGGGAGCAGAGGCGTGTGCGTTCTCTGTCTTCGGGAGGAGGTATCTGATTCCACTGAGACGTGGTATCTTGTAAACATGGCTCACCGGATAGATCGCCACAACGGCGCCTTCCGGAGCAGAGCCCTCCACGAACAGCCCGAGTCCTGCTCCCGACAAGGTGGAATCCTTCACCACGGTATTGAAACCTAGCTCCGACCGTAGCATCTCCTTCAAATGTTTTCGCCTCCACCTCTTGACAGCTTTTCCCTCGGCCGCCTTCTCTGTTTTCTTCTCTTCGACGCCTGAGAGCGAAGTGCCTCGCAAGGCCGACGGCGTGTCGGTGGCGCTGCCCTCGGAGGACGGGGATTCTTGGTCCTTACCCGGAGCAACGCTGTTGCCGCCGTTGATGTCGAGAGTAGGGGGAGGGGTTGCGGTGTGTGCCGCGTGGACGAGAGTAAAGTATGTCACCACCTTCATCCAGGAGAGGGGGGGGGGCACGCAAGGAGTATGGGTTAGCCTGCATACGTATGTGTTTGCCTGCACACACGTTGCTCAAGAAGTGCCACACCCCGCCGAACGACTCCTGGACTTTGGTCAGGTCACAAGGGTCCACCGGGTATGCTTGAACCGCCGGGCGAAGAGTAGCACACATGCCATCGTGGCACGATCTTTGGTTGTTGCTGAACCCGGCTGTGCTATGTGATGTCCTTCGCACGGGAGAATTTCAAGAGCTTCCATCGCCAGAGAAGATGGAAAACAGCAACCCGGCCCACCAATCAGCGGTAAAGCGTCTGAAAGTACAGTTCCCACTGCATGAGGGTCTCGAGGAGACACATATGTCGGCGTTACCGTTGGTTTGACAATGGCAGCGGAGATTGGTTCAAGGCTGACCTGGTCGTTGATGGCCGTTTGCGCTCTCCGCTTCCGCTCCAGCGGATTAAGTGCTGCTATTTCCTTCTCTAGCTGGTCGAAAGAGCAGGACGATTCCTTATCCTGCTGCTGCTGAGCAGCATAAGCAGCCGTTAGCCCCGCTGCACGCGAAATGTCAACCTGATTCTGTATCTCCCTAGGGTTCAGCGGTGGTGGGCGAATCTTGGCCAACATCGCTCTAGCGATCAGCATGATCACGCGCTAGCAGGTAGTCCCCCTTGATTCCCGGCAAATGTGCAAAGCTGCGTAGGCAGGGCCTGGCGTGCAAAAACCCACGCAAGAGGTAAGAGGGCGCCGGGCGCAGCAGTGCAGCAGCGGTAATGCCACAGCACTGCAGCAGGGTCAAGGGTGGGGTACCAAAGGCAGCTGTAGCGTCCAAGCGTCGTAGCGTCGGTCGCGCTGGAGTTCGTTCGTGGTTCGCGAGGCGGTTTGGTTCTTGTCATCCCCGCCAACGGGCACGCGGGAGACCTAGCCTCCCTATTTTGCAGCAGAATGGCCCTGCAACGAAATGCTGCAGGATGGATGGAAAACGCCTCCAGAACCCACCCACCATAAACCCAGAACCAAGCAGCGAACCAAGACACACAGAAATACAGTCAAAACAGCGGAGGGCATCACAAGCGCGCTGACAGCAGTAGATACCCGAGGCACAGCCTCTCCCGGCACGCTCAGTCACAAGATTCCCAAGGATCAGTGTCTCCAGAAGAACCATCAGCGACATGGAGGCTGCAACCACCTGGCGAGGCACGGCGCGGGGTAGGGACATCACCCCAAGGCCTGCCCTCCTCTCCAAGGCGCTACTAGGCCGCAAAGCACGAAGACACGACACTGCCTACCGCTATCCCTCGTGAGTATTCGTGCTGCTGTGAGGGCCGTTATGTTTCCTTTACATAATTGTATTGCTGCTGTGTTGCTGCTTGCTGCCGGCTGTTCACCATTTCTTAGCGGTGCTGTGCTGTGTGAACCATCATACCATCCTTTCTATGTATAACAATACATGAACCAAGTCACCGACAAGCAGCCTGCCCCCTCAGAGATCAATCACCCGTTGCGTTTTTTTTCGTCCTGTCTTCCCACCCACGCAACCCCTCGTGTCACGCAACTTCGTGTGCCGCCGCCGGGGGTACGCTGCGTTTGCTACAGTAGTGCAGCAGCAGTTGCGTCTCTTTCCTTTGAAGGTGCATTACACCCCCGAGCACACCAACCGCCGAGCATTCCTGGCGTGCCCTCTCTCTGTGTACACGCACGCTCCCTTTTGTCCACCGACTGGGATATTTCCATGCGAATATCGGCTGTTTTTTTTGCCGCTGCTGTCTGTGTGTACCGTCCGTACTTTGATGAATGTCCGCTGCTGGGCGATACTGCCGGTCATGAACGTATTCGCTGCTTGGCTGCTGCCAGGCCATGCTGCAGGGTCATGTCAGCATTTTTTCTCAACCAGTGTACAATCCCGCGTACGCGGTGTACCTATGCCCTCGGTGCTCTTATCCTCCCGTTTACAGCTCGCAGTACACATCTACAACGCGTACACGGCCGAAATCCAGCCGTTGTTGATGCCCCGCGGCTTCGGGCCGACCCTCTACAATTCGCACCCGGTCGCGGGCTGCGGTTTCAGGGCCCGGCGTACAGCGGGGAGAGACGTGGAGCCGAGTTTCCAACTTCTGGAGGGAGTCGGCCCTTGCGTGCTTCTCGAGATCGTCAACATCTCGGGGCCACACCGACACCCGACACCCCCAGATGACCGCTCCCTCAACGAAAATGAGCCTTTCATAGCCCTCACAACTCCTCAGGTTCGCACGGGTCTGTAGAAGATGTAGTCGTGTTCGACCCCAGCTGAGGCCAGGTGCCGTTTTCGCACCTGTTTTTTTTTTTCCTGGCAGCCTTGGTCCTCGTTTGTGGCACTCCTATTCTGCAGCAATTTACCGTCGAAGAACACGTTCTACACATCGGTTCCCGTTATGCAGGCTTCGGGCATTGAAACCGGTACGCGTATTCACGCGTGTTGATACTCATCACGGGCCTGTTCGCTGCAGCTTTTTGGTGGGAGGAAACGAGGGGTAGGTTGCTGTAGCTCGACTGCAAGTGCGTGTGTTGGGGCTTTCCAGCAATCAGCAGAGAGTGTGCAATCCGGAGAGCGAACAGCAGTGCTCTTCTTTTTTATCCGTCATACTCTATACACGAGCATACCGCGGGATTTTGCTTGATAGAGAGAGAGGAGCGGCACCGGCCGCTGTTTTGAACACCGCTACTTATTCAGCACGCACGAAACACCAGGTACGGCAGGTACGGCAGTGCAGCAGCAGAAGAGCAGAAGATATGCATGGACCCCAGCACCAAGCAGCCTGCTCCTTAGGGATGAATCGCCCTTGTTATTTTTCAGTCTTGCCTTGCCACACACTCAACCCTTCGTGTGCCGCGGGGGATACGTTTCGTTACCTGCAGCAGCAGTGCAGCAGCAGTGCGTCTCTTGTTTTTAAGGTGCATTACGCACCAGAGCACACCAAGGCCGAGAATTTCCTTCGCCGTTTGAGCCGCACAGCAGCAGTATTGTTCCGGCCGCTGCATACCCTCTCTGTGTGTACACGCACGCTCCCGTTGACCATGTACTACCCTCGGTGTGGGCATACGCTGGCGTACCTCTAGGTTAACAACCGCGTGTTGGCTTACGCCGCCGGTGGTTGCAACGGAAAAGCACAAGTTAGATGAGACGCGGTTGATTTAACCAGAATATACCAGATCAAATCGCACTCATCATCCCCGCCGCCCCTTGTCCACGCCGTCCGTCCCGTACAGGAGAGAAGACTATCCTCTTCTTTCGTATTACGCTACGCTTCCTACCACGTGGCAGCGGCGGCGGGCTGAAGGTGCCTCGGGCAATAGAGAGGTGCCGGGGGGTGGAGGACAACAATGGCTCAATCCAGGGACTCCGGCGGGGTACGGGAGGTGATAGAGGGGTTGGGGGAGGTCGTCTCCCACCATCTACCATGATATCATGGGCACTGAATTGTATATGACATTGTTCACTTATTGATTGTGATCCTCCATGGCGCTAGCGCTCCACCGCCACGAAGAGGCTACCGAGAATGTCGGACTGCGAAGCGGGTGACTTTCTTTCTGGATGCGAATTTGTTGAATATATTCACTCTTGTTTTTGGTGTGGGGGGTAGGAGCTAAATAGACCAGAGTTGCTTGTGGTTTTCATTGTATCGATTCTATTATGATATCATGGACACTGAATTGTATATGACATTGTTCACTTATTGATTGTGATCATCCATGGCGCTAGCGCTCCACCACCACAAAGAGGCTACCGAGAATGTCGGGCTGCGGGGCGGGTGATTTTTTCTGGATGCCATTTTCGTGAATATATTCACTCTTTTTTTGGGGGGGGTAGAAGCTAGGCTAGAAATGGTTGTGGTTTTCATTTTATCGATTATGCATCTCGTCTCCGTTCTGTTGGGTGTGGGTACTTGCGCGTGTTTGAATTAGGATCGACCCCGGATCGAAGCTCTCCGGTTCAATTGGAGTAGGCACGACCGAATCAGACTGAGGGGCGATTCTTTGAGATGAAAACGACTGGAAACCGTGCGTGGCAGCTTGGGCGGGGACGGAAAGGGAGGGAGCTTCATGGTGTACTGTGAGTGAAAGTGAAGCTGATCTGTTTCATGGGACCTATGAAAGAACATGGAGGTGATCGTTGGGGAAAAATACAAAATGATATTCTACTCCTGAACCCGGCCAAACATCGGGTTGACACATGAAATTGCCCGTGCTCGCCTCAGCATAACACACAAGTGGGGAACACTTGGACCGTGGGTCCCCATCAACATAGGACCACAAGCAGGTCAGAAGAGTCCGAAGGCTAAACACCCGTGTTTGTGTTTGACATTCCGATCATTATTACTGACGTCGTTTCATTAGACGCTCATCGGGCTGTCGACCCCGGAATACAGAGAATACACACTCAGTCACTCCTGCACACACTCATGTCACAAAATTCACTCGACGGAACGTTTTCACTTACGCACTCATTTCATTGAGCTCTCTGATCTCACTCAATTCACTAAGCTTCATTTCACGCAGCTTGATTCGCTCACTCAGCCAAGCCTATTTTCCTCAACTCAATCTATTCACTAAACCCATACACGCTCAGGACTCGCTTACCGCAATAGCTCACTCAACTCACTTATCTCACTCGACAACGTACCCTACTGCACGCGCGAGTCGATCAAACTTGGCGACTGGCCATGATTTTGAATGCCCGATCGAGACATACTCAAGCCGTCGCCAGCCGTGAGCCATGGGTCGAGATCGGCCTTTGAGGCACTGTCGGGCAAGGGTGGAGGAATCGGGATAAGAGGGTGACGAGAAGGAATCTAGGCCGGAGAGACTAAAAGCTATAGCTTCAGAAGAAACCAATTTCAACTTCGGAAATCAACACACTTTGCGAACGGAGCACACCAAGTCGATACTTCGAGTGTTAACAGCCCAAGAAAAATAGCGCACGACGCTACATGTTCTCGCGATTCAACACTCGAAAGTATCTATGCGTTCCACCCCCGCCCCCTGGTCTTGGGGGCCGTCAATAGTGGTAGTCTCTCCGCCAGCAAGGTCGGGCCCATATCATCGTGTGCCTGCTTGTCCTTCTCAGACTCGCGCATTTGCTCACCTGCTCAAAACAACGAGTCATTCTGCAAATAGGGTCTCCCCCCATCCACCTATATGTATCCCTCCCCGGCCGGCCAGCCAATCATAGGCGGGGGATTTGGAAAAAATTATCGCTGGGGGCGTAACAATAATACCAAGTGAATTTTGACCAAAAGCCTGCTGTTCCACCACGTGTTCCGCCGCGTGGAACACTTTTTTCCCCGGCACTTTTTTTAAATGGGGGCCGAGACAGCAATCAGCACCAGGACACACACGACACGGTGATGATCAGGCCGAGCACGCCAGGAGTGTAACGAACATGGAAGACCATCCACCTATCCCTCTCGCCGCGACCAATGGCACTGCTCCTGGTGCTCGTGGCCGAAGACGGCTCCTCGGACCGCGAAAACCGAGGCAGAGAAAAGGGTACGCCGCCTTGTATGGCTTGAAAATATCGCAAATTAGTTCTCGCAATGGGTTGTTTTTAAGGTTGCGTTTAACCGAAGCTGCCGCAATACCGTCAACTCGACGAGGCGGGCCGTAACGACATCGTGCCAAGTCTCAGTTTGATCACACGAGGTCACCGCCGGGAGGGAACGGCCTGGGATTTCGTGAGCTATGAGAAACACAGTCTCAGGTCCTGTGCCAGGATTTCTGTCCCATCAATTCACATCACATCACATCACACCACCGCGAGAATTTTTGGTCGTTTTTGTTGGTCGCAGCAGAAACCCCAAACCCCACCGACGTCAGGGGACAATAGAGTCACCAACGTCACAATGTTTGGTTTCTGACGTTTGGACGGTGATCGAACCTCGGCGAAGCATCCAAGACAGATAGTTTTTCTCTCGCGTATCTCCGTAGCCTATGTCCAGAGCACGCGAGCGCATCAAGATGGATTTTGGTGTACACAACAGCACTCGATTCACAGCTGACGACGGAAAGGGATAGCTAAGAACCCCCCTCGCGAATAAGCACCCTGGAAGGACGGTGGAACAACAAACAAATATTCCAGTGTTCGCACGTTTACGTCCAACAAGGCCGGACGGTGAAATACCGCACGTCAAATCTGTCTGGGACCTGACGGCCTCTTCAGCAATGAGCGTAAAGAACAAAAAAAGGTGAGAGTACGAATCATTGAATTGCACGTGATGCTGCTCGATCGAGGAAATTGCATAAATGCTATGATTGGCGAATAGAATGAAATGATGGTCGAATCTGGTCATGGAAGTACCGATCTTCGTACCGGGTGTGGGGACCTCACATCTTCAATCCCGACTTCGTTTCGCCTTTTTTCGGAGCGATGGAATCATCGCGTCTTCTTCTGCCTATCGAACCGCGCTGTACCATGCACACACCGCGCTGAAACACAGCACCAGAGCACGCGCCACGACACACCGCTTCACGCTCGAGAGAGAGAGGGGACAAAAACAGCACTTTCGCCGCTGCAGCACAGCATACACAGACACACCACACGCTACCCGACTGACGTATTTTCATTGGTCAACCTGTTAGCGCGGTCGATGAAATATAAGAAAATACACACCGCAACCGTACCAGCCGCGGCTGAAGCCTTTTGAAGCCTGGCAGGTAGTCTAATGGGTTGATTTCGGCTTCAAAAAAACGCATTTGGCGCGGTTTCTCCGGAGCGGCAACCACCGGCGGTTCGGGCTCCACGACGGCGTGCCGAACAGCTCTGCGAGGTGCCAACGTAGGAGCAGGCTTGGCTGCGCCTATGTACAAACTTGTTTGCGTGTGAGCGACATAGAGCGTGACGTCGTACGCACTATGCGTATGCGTGCTTGGGTACGCCCACCGGTGCATGCGCCTGAGGTCACCGCGCATGGCTAGCTGCAGTCCGCGGAGCACGTTGGCGCCCTGGCCAATACCAAGGCCTGCACGAGCATGCCAATTGCATGGACTACGAACGTTCAACACGGTGGCAACGCAAGCGCAACAAGGCAATTTCTTTGCTCGCAGTTTGAAATCCGATCCGTCATTTCCCAACACAAGTCGGGTAGGCACAGGACACTTGCATTCCAGCTTCAATTCCTTCATTTCAGCCACATATTCGCGGCAAACAGATCCCGCGATGCCTACCTTGGAGGACTAGCAGCGAACCCCGCGAGCGCACGCACGGGTATCCACCAACGACGAACCACCAACCCCACCATGGTATGGCGTAAATCGTGCTAATACATCCGTGTCATAGCTATTCATACCACGAATCCAACGACCTGAGAAGCGGCGCTTAAAATGGAGAGCTCCGCGAGCACCAACAGAACAGACGTTATCCTTTGTAGGACTCTGGCAAAACTAGAGAGGCAAGATCCTCGCGGGCGAAGTCCTCCCGTTGTTGGAGCACGCTCACCACCTGGCGCACGCAGAGGGGAACCCGGTCGTGGGCAAAACAGCGGTAGCTTCCCACGCTTACCATTCAAGGGAAACAGTCGATTCACGGGTACGTGCTGTTCACTACCGTGGCGGCCAGGGCGGGAGTTGACGAACATGACATGTACGTGTAGGGAACTGGAATACATCGCTCGGGTTCGGTATGGCAGCCGCATTGGGAGGAGACGGACACGATCAAGTGTAGACTGTGCCAACTCAACAAGTGTCCGATGACCAGAACACACGTCTTCGCCGTGACCCACCGTCCCACCACTGATGGCCAACAACATTAGCTGCTCATAGTCTTCCTTTGGCGCTGACAATCATTCCGAGCGTGCATCCTTGCGAATGGAAACGAACATCAATCATTCTGAGCCTTCAAACCATCCCTTCGAAACGCCGTCGCGTCGCCCCTGTTGCCAGTAGAGCTACCAGAACCTTTCGGGCGCAGAAGCGGAGCAATGTACCTACTGTAGCCCGCTCCGCTCCATATCAAACAAAGTGCAAAGGCAAGATTATCCTTCGCCCTCAACGCAAATATACAACGCGCTAGGCTTGTCGAGTTCTGCGTGTATTCTGCCGGAAGACAACTCTTTACCTCATCTGCCGTAAGCTGCGCCTGAAGCGGAGACCCCGGCTCCCAGTAGTCCATTGCGTCTTGCGGGCGCTCCAGGTTCAACAGCAATGACATCTGAGGTACCGTTGCGCAGGGCAGGGACGGGGGGCGTACAAATACACAGTGGTCGATTGCGCCATTGTGGTGTATTTGATCATCGACCGCGCATCTCGCTCGGCACGCGATGAGACAGACGGGCGGGAGAGAGAGGCCTCCCTTGGGGCTGAGTGCATCGGCCAATCACCTAAATAGCCTGCGACCAAGCCCCTCTTGCTCGCACCGCCGACAGAGCCAATGACGAAAGCTCGAGTGCTCATTCACATAAATGACTAACCTTCGCACGCTATGTGGCTGCTTCCACAGCAGTGGTGGTTGGGCATCATGAAGTAGGGGGGTTCCCGAATAAAGCGATGGTGGGAAAGCTGAAAATGACCGCCTTAAATGGGACAGCCGCCATGTTCAAGGTGTACAACTTGATTTTTCCATCTATCGCAGCCGATTTCAAACGCCTAATATGGGGCGACCGCCTATAACAGGGCGACCGCGTTATTCGGGGACCCTCACTGTATTTCCTATTGGCGGCCGCCACCTCGCTGCAGAGGGCAACCACGCGATAGGTGTGTACTGGCTGGGGGGACCTGCGGCTGTGGATGGTTGGAACAGTGCCGGCGATGAAAAAAGTACGCACGCGAACGGCACAGCACGTTGGCGGCCGTAACAAGCCAGGTTCTTAGATCAGATCCCTTGACTCGCCTGAGCCAGTCTGGAGAACGGTTCTCGGGCCCCTCGCCCGGCCTGCTGGGTGAAGAAGCCCATCACGCATCGGAGGTCCTTGTCCAACTGAAGCGACAAAGGGCCACAGAGAGGCAAACCAAATCCGCGCGGCAAAATCGGGTGGGAAGGGGTCCTGGGTGGGAGTGGTTCGGTTTCTCCTACCGCCGATACCTCGCACGGGACGGCAGCAGCGGCCAGGGCACTTGACGAGCACAAGCAGAACAAATAAAAGGAGACTCTCCCGGCCCCAAGAGCATCCTCACATTTCACACTAAACGACCAACACCTTGTCGCAATCAAAGAAAGCCGATGTGGACACCGTTCCGATGGCCAAAGATCGGAATGGAAAAGGATGAAGTGAACTAAAACGGCAACTGCTTGGCACTGAAGCCGCAGCAGGCGGCAAGCCGTGTCAGGACCAGAATCTTTCCTTGAGGCCCCAACTCCTCTGCTCGTTAGTCCGAAGCGGCGAAAAATTCGACCGCGGTGCTCACAGCCAACACCACCCGCTGTCGCGCTCTATGCCACTCAATCTGCGTAGCACCCACCTGCAGTCCACCGAGCTGCGTGAACAGGCGCTTCTTGAGCGCGATCTCCATGCGCTTGGCGAGGTACCCGGCCACAAGGGTAAGGAGCTCCAGGAAGAGGGAGTCCGACAGCCCGCCCGGCGGTCGGTAAGGCTCCAGCAGAAGTCTTTAACCGAGGAAGAAACAAGAGAACAAGCGGTGCGTGACGGGTTCCGGTGAGTCGGAAGCGTGACGGGTTTGGACATGAAGCAGCAGGGGATGGGGGAGGGGGGGCAAACAAACATCCGTCTCGACCAGGTGGCCAGCACGGTTCTGGCTGGCGTCCACCACTGTCAGCGGAATACGAAGCCGCCACAAGTCTGGTAAAGACAGACGCCCGCGGAAAGATGACAACGGGGCCACCCTCCAACATTTCACCTCCCTCCTCCCCAATCTACCACCACCAACCCCCCCGCCCGGGGATACGCAGTCCAGCGGCCCCGCCACAGAAACGGCCACAACTGGCGGCGAAGGCGGCGGCGGCCTCACCGGAGGTACTCCACAAGGGCGTGCGCGTAGGGGTCCTCGGCCTCGTTGGCGGCGTACTGGTTCTCGCTCAGCTGGTAGGACACGGCCGACTTCTCTCCGAGGTGGGAGGAAACGACAGTTCGGAGAACCTGCCTCAGGCGATTCAGTACCTGGCGGGGGGGCGGGGGCGGGTGGACGGAGGGCGGGGCAGTGTGTGTTGTTTTCGGCTCAAAAATAAAAACATAAACGCAGAGAGAGAAGAGAGAGAACTGCTAGGAAGGCAATCAGCTCTCTCTCTCGGTAAAAAAAACAGGCTCTGCCAGAAAGGAAAATTCCTTAAAGTCACCGGAGAACTTCCTGCTAGAGGCTCCACATATCTCTGGCCGGCCTCACGAACGCCGTCACCACGTTGTGACGCCTGCAAATTCTTGTCGGACAGCAACCACGCCGGCAAATGCCAGTACTGTACATCACTGACGTACGACAAAACCAGCACCCAACCACCCCACACAGCAGACCAATTCATGCAGGCAGCTCCCACGACAACGCACCTCTTCCAGGCAGTCGCTGGCGGCTCTCGTGAAGAGCGCCCTCGTTGACCCCAGCCCCTGCAGGCACGACATGACCCTCTCCGCGTCGTGGCCGGCGCCGCCGCCCCCGCCCCCGGCACCCCCCCCAAACGCCGCGGACGCGTCCCGCTCCAGCATCTCCCTGAGCCGCACCGCGAAGGTCGAGCAGGCCTCCAGGGTGTTGACGTACACCAGGCACTCGTTGCTGTTCATGTTTCCCCCGATTCCCCCGCCGGCGCCGCCGGCGCCGCCGCTCACCCCCCCGCCCATCATGGCGGACGACGCGTCGGGCCTCCCGCCCCCCGCACCGCTCATGCCCGCACCCCCGGGAGTGCTTCCGAGCCCCCCCCCGCCGGCGGAAATGCCTCCGGAAACGCCGGGGACGGCACCCGCGCCGGTTCTGTGATTGTATCGGGAGGGGATCGGTTGGGAAGGTGTGGTGGTTCATGTTGCCATGGCGGAGAGTGTGTCCAGCATGTAACGCGCTCCGTGTCGATTCGTCATTCATTTGGCGGATAAGCGGAGACAACAGAAAGATGGGCTCCTCAGCGGACCTTCGAAATCATCCTGAAACAATCCTCGTACACGAAGCGCTGCGCCCGGTCGGCCACACAGAATTGACGGTTCAAAACACGCGGCCAGGCAGACACAAGGGTACGCCTATTGTTTCACAAGAAGTTGGTGTCGCCACTGCTGTACACACGCGCACCTCCGGATGTTGCTGATTGCTGCTGTTGCTGACGAGGTGAGGTCGCTCGCAAGCCCCGCTCCCATGCCTTCCCAGTTGTCCATCTGCAGCTGGTCCTGCGCGTCGCCGTCGCGACAGGAAAAGGTTTAGTGGTAACGAAAACTACGGCAAAAGGACGAGACGAAGACGACCACCAACCGGGGAAAAACCATGATTTTCAACTTTTGCCAGGTGCGCAAAGGTGCGGCATAACTACAAGCAGTACATGCCAAGTTAAAGCCGCAACGAGCAAAAAAAAAACGAGAGACGAACGAAAGCGGGTTGCCACCTGTTGCGGCAAGAATAAAAAAAGAAAAGGATCACGACGCCAAAAAAAAAAACAGCCACCGCCGAAGTGTTGCCGAGAAAAGGAGATGCAACAGTCCAAAACACCGCCCAAGCGAGCGCTCAACAACATCGAGGGAGGGTTGGCTCACCTTGAGAGATGCCAGGTCTGTGAAGTCGATCTGCCCCAGTTGCTTGATCGTCAAGTCCAACGTGCCCCCCCCGCCGGCGGGGAGGGTGGAGAGGGTCGACTTCACCTATGGAGATCACCCATCGGGAAACGACAAGCAAGAAGGTCAGGGGGACCGGGGACGGGGCGGAGGATACTCACTCAGTGATTGCTGCAGGTGACACGTGACGCCTACACACACGGTCGTCATTCCTAGAGCTGGTAAGCACCACAGAGAGAGTCACTGGAGTGGGGGGGTCTCCGCTGTTTCCGCTCCATTGTGGGGGGGGCAGCTTGGGGCTCCTCGTATCCCGTCCGTGGCAACAACTGCCGTTTTTCGGTTTTGATACGAAAAAAAGCGTGTTTTCCAAGAAGCAACGATTTCACGAACACAGCGACGAGCGCTCCCTTCACGTCATCAACACCAACTAAGGCAACTCGCCCGACAGCACTCACCTACCCACCTTAAACAAAACCTCGCCAACAAGAACCACCGCCAGCATCGCCAACAACAAGGCTTCCACCAACAACAACACCTCCACCTACCAAACCTTAACCACAACAACAACAACAACAACAACAACAACACCGCAACCAACCGAAACACTTCGACCAACACCACCGCCACCACAACCACCGCCGCCGTGCGTCACCTTTCGGACGAGCGCCTCCAGCAGGTCGACGCCGAGCGTGTTCCCGACGTGGTTCACCACTGCCGAGGCAGCCCCGGCGTGCCCCGTCGCCAGGGCCCGCTTGGCGCAGCGCTGCGCCACGAAGAACGCGTCCTCCGCGCAGGAGGAAGCCGCCGCGCCCGGGGCCACCTCGTCCACCGCGATCGCCTTCGACACCGATGCCTCCAAGAGCTGCAAATATATATTTTTAAACATGCGGAGAGGGGGGGCTATCCTCACATATTTTATGTACACCCCAAACGCCCGTCCACATGCATCAAATGCCTTTTGTCGTAAACTATTTTTTTACTGTGGACCCTCTAACGTCACATCGTTTACACCCCAAACGCCCGTCCGTATTCATCAAAAGCTCTCTTGCCAATAATCGCGATGTGGGACCTCCGTGAGTAGGCGGCGAGCGGAGAGGGTAAGAGCCGCAGATGTATCCATCCCGGTCGTTTTTTAACTCGACGCCGAAGTTAGCCGCCCGAGTCACCTCACCTGCCCCTCTATCTGGGAGTAGTACACCGCCACCTCCGCCCCCGCCTCCTGGAGCCGCGTCCTCGCCGGCATGACGGGCTCCAAGATGGGAGCCGGCAGGACCGATGGTCGTTCCGCCGCCGCCGCCCCGCCGCCGCCGCCAGCTGTCTTGCTCTCGCCATCTTCCCCATTGGTAGGCGCTCTGGTGGCGTCGAATTCTTCCTGCGAAGGGTGGGCGCTTTCCACCTTTTCGAGGTTGTAGGACAAGTAAGAATCGGGAAAAGAACACGCAGTTGCCGGTGGGCAGGTGGGGCGGGTTCGTCCGGCGGTGTGTGCTGTCAGGAGGCGCGATCGAACCGACCAGAGCACTGAATACGGCCCCACCAGGGACGTAGTGGGCGGCGGTTCTCCGCATCACGCGCGCATTCGACGACCATGACAAGCACCAACAGCGAGCGCCCGTGCTTGAAGCCTCGTTCTTCCCCCATCCCTATTCTCGTCCAACATCCGAAAACCCTGTCGGAACCATCGAACGCAAATAGCGGTACCACCGTGCCACGGTACATACAGTGTCACGCCACAACATACCTCCATCACCAAAAACTTGACGAAACGGTCGTAACTCTCCGTGTGCTGGGTCAGCACGGCCAGCTCCTCCAGCAGCGCATCCGCCTTTCCCAGCACCTCCGCGGCGGCGGCGGCCGCAGCGCTGCCACCCCCGCCACCCCCACCACCTTCCGTCCCGCCCGCGGCTCCCCCGCCGCCCGCCGCGCCGGCAACGCCCCACCCTTCCACCCCGTCCGCCGCCCACGACGCCACCGACTGCTCCCGGAGATGCTTCTCGAGAACGGTCGCCGCCCGATCCCCGCATTCCCTGGTCACGACGCGCACGAGGGCGACGTCCCCGAGACACGGCGCCAGGCCCGCCGCCGCCACCGGTACTTGCCTACGCCATACGTTTTGGGAAACAGTCAGAGAGGGACGGGGGGGGGGGGCGAGCTTACTATACAGAGGGGCGCGCTGTTGAATTAAAAGTGGACCAGATAACACCGCCAAGAACAGAAGCAGCACACGTCCAAGTGTACGGTGCGAGGATGGGTGGGTGGGTGGGAGAGGGAGACGGGGCGACGGTAGCACAAGGTTTGTAATTGAACGGCTATGAATATTTGTGTGCTGCTAGCCCTGGTCTAGGCGGCTAGTGGTGCCAACGAAAGGTCCTAGGCCCTCCCTTCCCTTCGATGTGACACGACTCTTGCTGGCGCCAGCAAAGCTATGTATTTAGTAGAGCCGTGTTGACGCAGACCCCTCGCAACTTATTTCCTGGAAGCCTGAGCACCACGCCGAGCCGTCTTTGCATTCTCTCATTTCACCCGGACGGGAAAGAGGCACCTCTACTGGACATGCATTCCCCGGGCAGGCATTGTCGTGAAAACACAACGAAAGCCCTCTGTGTGAGTCGCGTACTCGCGGCGCCGTAGGTGGCCACTGGGCGCAAGGGGACAAGCAGCGCGCAAAGGATCCGGACACAACCAAGCGCGCCGTGCGAGCCGTGGACCGCACACTGGTGGAAATGTTCCTCCATCGTCACAATCAAGGCAGAGGCTAACGCCGAGGCAGGCGTGGAGCGACCGACGAGAACATCACCCCCGACGCGACATTTACCACAAACCAACTACTTACGCCACAAAAAAAAACACGATACACAACGAGGCGGAGAGACAACACAAACCGAAGATCGACCGCTGCGTGTGTACCTCCGCAAAAACGCCGCCGAGGTGTTGTAGATCGCAGGAAGGCCTTGCGTGGCGGGCAACGACCCGTCGCCGGACCCTGCCTCCAGTTCCGCCTCCAGAGCTCGCCGTGCGAAGCCCAGGTACAGCTCTTGGCCTCGCGTGGCCAGGCCGAGCGGTGCCAGCAGGGGACAGGCCGCGGCTATCCCCGGCTCGTCCATGTCCAGCACGGCAGTCTCGAAGCGTTCCAGCACCGCCGACGAGAGCCTGTAACGTTAAGCGCCGACAAAAACCACAAAGGCAGCCGACAACCAAGAAACGATCCCATCGAACACAACACATTGAAAAAGTTGAATACGGAAGAAGTCGATCGGAAAACTGGGGAGGGTTGAAAGACTGACGGGCGGCAGTCGCTTGAAACAAAGTGGTCTATCGTGATCGATACCGATCAGCGCTCGTTCAAGAGTCCTCGCAAGCGACACCAACAGATCGATGAACTTCCAAGATGAAACACTCCAAAAACACTCCACATGCTGTTATCTTGCATACGACGACACGACAAACGGGGAGCACAACGCAGCCACCGCAAAAGCACACAACATCCTCTTCTCTGTCATCAATACACGCACACACGAATGAAAAACCATGCAGACCACACCGGCAAAAAATGACACGGCCATCATGCTATCGAGGTGGTACGCCGTACTGGAGAGTGTTAAAAAACTCGTCCCTCCAACATATATTCTTCAACAGCCCATTCACCAAAACGGCCACAGAGACCACGACGACACCATGACTTCCAGTACGCGCGGCACGGCATTACGGACCGCCACGCCACGCGGGTGGGGAGGACACGACAAAGTCTGGCCACTGATGAAGCTCTCACCCCCTGACGGCCTCGTCCATGTCCACCATCTCGCCGCTGTCAGCCAGCGCCCCCGCATCGATCTCCCGGAATCTGCGAACGTACGTGGCCGCCTCCGCAAGGTCGCCGGCTTGGACGGCCGCGCGCACTCCCTGCGCGCATGAACACGCGTGCGCCAGGGCGGGCGGGGTGGTTTAGCCCAGGGAAGACTGTGTCGTGAGACATGCGATGTGTGTGCAACGGATTCTCATTGTCATGGTCTGCTGGGCGATGAATAGACATAGGAGACTCATAAGGAGCAAGAACACAAAAAAACTTGGAAGGCACAAGTAGGCGTACGGGGAATGGCCGTGAGCTAGACTAGTTTGTGCGGAATGGTTGTTGGGTCACTGACCGCCTACCCCGATCGAGACGGGACGCAGCAAGGGTCGCTATATCCGGTTGAATTTCCGCCAGGGGGGTGGGGGAATAGGAGCTCGCATGAGAGCGGGGTCTCAAGAGGAGGCCCGGCGTGGGAAAATATGAAGCCTGCTTAGTTCCTTTGTTGACCGATCGCCGGACCATGCGAGACAGGGCCATCCTATTCTTGAGACCAATGTCCGACCGCCACGCCCCACCCCCCCCCGTCAATAACCGGGTCACCTCTGCGCATCCCCTGAGGTTGATGACGTCTTCCACGAGCGCCAAGGCGCGCTGTACTCGCATCTGGATGTCGTCCAGCCGCCTCACGGATCGGCTCACGCGCTCCGCCATCCCGTGTCCATCCTCTATTTGCGCCTGAATGCCGAGAGAATGCGAAGCAACAACACTGACGTTATCATCACTATCGTCATTTCCGATTTCATAAGGTTATCACGCTCGTCAAAGTAACAGCTACATCCGACAGCAGTTGTGGGTCGATTTGAATCTTCGGCCCTGCTGTTGTTCTCCAGCCACTTGTAGTGTTGCCTCAATCCATCGCCTGCACGCACCATCAAACCTGCTACGCATCTCAACGGCAAAGCCAATCTCCCCACCTCCCCTCAATGCGCCCCCTCTGCATCCCCCCTTGAACACGGGTAGGTGTTCAACCAGCACATGCAAAAATGGTGCTAACACTTAAGACCCCACCTAAACTACACATGCCGCCTACTGCTGTGCATCAGTCTCTCTTCTCCCTTACCAGCAAAGCGCCGGCCTTTTCCTGCAAGCCCGGAAAGTCGGGAACGCTCCCGGAGAGCTCCTCAAGACACTGCGCCAGGCCCCCCTCCCCGTCCGCCGCCGCCCCGCCCGCGGCAACAACAACAACCGTTCCGTTATCTACATCTTGAGGAGTCTTGGCGTCTGCACCCCCCCCCACTTCCGTCGGCGCTGCTGCTGCTGCTGCTGCGCCAGCTTTCGGAGGATGGTGACCGTTCGACAGTGCCACCGCCGGAGGAAGTTCTTCGGGCGCGCCCGGGCCCGTGGCCGCGGCCTTCGCCTGCAACGGGGACGCGAGTGCGCGCGTGTGTTGTTGTGAATAGCATCGACCGCGCTAACCGGCTGACCAATGAAAAGACGTCAGTCTCAGTGCGGTTGACAACACAAAATGCTTCTGAAGGCCACGATCTGGGGGGGTGTTCGTGTGGAGGCTTTGGTGCTTTCCTTCTGGTCTGCTAACGCGTTTTCGACCAGCCGAGAATTGAGAACCAGGTCTAGTTCGTATGGGCCGGACAAGGCCAAGGCATTTCGATCGCGCATCGCTGTTGTCGTGGTAAAAAGGGAGTACTTCTATGTCGCAGCCATCATGTCGGCGGCACGACACAGCGAACATGTATCGGCTTGCCTGTGTGCATGAGTTCTAGTAGGGTGTTGGCCACTCAGAGCGGCCGCAAGTTGGACGAGCGCCAGTCGTGCGGGGTAGGGGGGTGAGCACCATGATCTCGAGCGGGGCGGAGAGAGGACAACCAATAGCGGGGCACCTCACCTCCAGCTGCCGAAATCATCTCGAATACACAGCAGCGTGCTTGTATTCGTATCGCTCACGGCTCGATGCATTTCACGGTCGGCAGACTAGGTCATACAGGTTCAGAACGCCTGTTTCACAACAGCGATAGTTGGACGCTTCGTACTGCTGTAAGGGTTCTAGGCGCGGGGTGGCGTTGACGCCAAATACCTTGTGTCACAGCTGTTGTTCAGACTCCTGAAGCTGCCTTGTGAAGTTTGCTACAGGAATTGGCGCCATTGCAAGGCATGCGCCAACTCCGTCGAAAAATGGTTGCAATGCAAAGGTAACCGCCACACTCGCAAGCACTACCATAAGTCAATTGGTCTGCGACGATATCTGGCATTGCAATGCACAGGAATGCGGGGGGCATCAAAGGTTTTCGTTCCTTCCCCCCCTTCCACGGCGGTGGAATAAACCACGACGGCCAGCGTGTTTCGTGTGCGCTGTACACACGTCGATATGGGGCTGTGCAGCAGCGTCCATGGCGCAACTCATCGATGCACGTGGGAATGCCGCACACTCGCGAAATGAGCGGCTTCGCTGCTTTCACGAGCAACGGGTTTTCTCCTCTCTGTGACTTGGACTACATCCATGCCCATCGTACAATGTATGGACAAAGGCTGAAGCTACGTGGACTACGGATGCTTTCGGAAACGGACTAAAAGCTGATGCTACGGACGAAGCGGGGTACCGGGCGTGGTCCTGCAAATTTGAACCCAGAAACAGCCTGGCCATCTGTGAAGTCGTGACATACGATACGGCAAGCAACGAGCATCTCGTGGGGCGGCGCCATGCGTCTGGACGAAACGAGATAGGTACCTGAAGCTGTTCTTGTTGGGAGGTGGAGAGAGACGGAACCCGACGTGCGGGGGGATTCCTTCGTCTGTTCTGGGCGTACTGCTGTAAGCATTAGGGGCGGCACAGCTGGAGAGGCAAACACGTGAATTGCCAAACAGGGGCTTGCTTGCACCCTTCTCACTTAAACCCATACAATCACATGCCCGTAGCTTGTTGCACAACTGCTAAACCTGCGCCTTTCCTGCTGCTGCGTGCTGCTGGGCGGAACAACAACAACAACCAGGCTCCTGTCGAACAATCCACAAGAGACCTCGTATATACATACCTGCAGGAGCTGATTCACTTCCCCATCAAGCCTTTCCTCCTGCTCCGAGATATTCCTGAGCTCTTCCTCAAGCCGGAGCCTTGACGCTCTAGCTGACATTTGTCGACCGCGCAGCGTGCGAAGTGCGACACAACGTGTGCGGTGCCGAGCGTGCGGCGGCAAGAGCCGACCGGGGGCTCAAGGGACAAGAATGGAGGCCCCCCCACGCCCGTTCCTTTTTGTTTTCATCAGCGGGGACAAGAGAGAGAGCGTTGCAGCGACCACGCGCGTCTGTCGAAGTTCTTGGAAACATCTGCTGCCACAGCCACCACCAGCAGCAGCTGACCACATCCGAACAGAGACCATGCGAAGGAGCGGGGGCCGCGAGAGAAAAACCATGAGAGCGGCCTTTTTGGTCGTCCTGCTCTTTAGAGCAGCGGGAGCGCTGGTTGTGGGGAAGCTGGGGTCGGTGCTACTAGCACGAGCAGCCAACGCACAAGGCCGCAACTCGGTCCGTTCAAGCAGGCCAACAGCAGCACCGACAGCAGCAGCAAGAGCGCGACCGCCGCCACGATGGGGTTGCTCACGACGGCCAACGGGACCGGCCGCCCTCGCGCAAGACTTGTGGCGAGGGAGCTCCTTGTTGAGCTCGACCGTGGCGTCTTGGCCCTCTGTTGAAGGCACCGCCGACGGCAGCCGAAACGGGGGACCAAGCGGCGACAAGGACAGAGCAGGGGGAGCAAAAGGCAGCGGCCGTGGTTGGACTTTGAAGGAGCAGGAAGGGCCGGCCTGGACGGAGATAGTCTGGGACGAGGTGAGAAATTTGTTGCCCGTAGGGGGGGACCTCGGTTCACGGGAGAAAACTGCTGTGACGTGTGTGTAGTCGTTGACGGCAAGGCAGTGTGTTTGTACCGTACGTTTGAAACCGCATGAACGTGTATGTACATACATACATACGCTGACACAAGAAGCCGGGAGCCAACATCATACAACTTGTGTAGCCAGCTCTCCCTGCTTTGTACTACACAGCAGCTGGAGTGGTCTATCCATGATTCTTTTGCCGCCTCGAGCCAATTGTTCAGGGTGCAGCGGTAGTATTCACGAGGCAAATGGCAGCAGCCGTCTCAACGTCAACAGCCGTCTTTGCCAACTTGAACTGCCCGCGGAGGGCAAGCATCCAAAGTTGCCCCCGGAAACGAGCAGCCTGCGGCCGTGTGTGCTGTGGTGTCGCACGCGGAGACCGGCGGAGAATCACAGTCGGAAATGCTAGTATACTTGGCCCAATTCGTTCAGACTTTCAGGCCCGAGGGTAGTGCAGGGATGAGCCTGTCGCTGAATGCAAGCTCGTGCTGAACTCCTAATATGGAGGACCTGCCTGGCCACTATGCATGTACTATGTACTGCTGTACCATACGAATACCATCCATGCCCGCTCTGTTATGTATGCATGCATGTGCCATGATAGGCGATAGGCAGCACTACAACTACCATGGTTGATTGCGGCAATTCAGAAAGAGTAATTATTTTGAAAAACATGCACGCATTGTCTTGTCCACATACTTCTCACCGTGCCGTAGCGTATGAAACTCCATTGCACCACAGGGTGTTGACTTCCCCTTCCCAAGGGAAACAAGGCGTGGTGATGAAGTAGTATGTTGTGTCCAGCAGTCACGCACGCCGGTACCCATGCCAGGTAGTTGCCCGACAGGACGACCCTCGGCATCAGCATCACGTTCAAAGTATGCATCTCCCAACCCGTATGTTGAACGAGGCCAAACGTCGGCCGCAACGCAGCCACCCTCTCTTTTTCTCCAACAGAACAAGTGGCTCGAAAAAAACACAACTGGAACGGCCACTCTCTCCTCCATTTTCAATGCTCCCACCTCAGCCTCAGCCTGGCCTCTCTCCTCCATCTTCAACGCTTCCGCCTTACCTCCTCCCTCACAAAACACATCCACCACCGCCAACTGCAAAACGCTAACACAGAGCAAGGAGCGGTTCGTGGAGGCGGACTCGTTGCGGGACAGGAGCAACTCGCAGAGGGTTAGGGGCGCCGTAGGGGGGCTGCAGCTGCTCTTGCGGCACTGGTTCATCCCCGAAGACGTGACGCCGGACTACTACCACTTCACCTTCTGGAGGATGTTCCAGAGGTTCGTCGCTGGGACGATCAACGTTTTCGGCACGCAGGTGAGTGGGTGGGCGTGGGGGGTTGGTATTGTGAGAATCGCGAGCGGTGTTTTTTTCGTCACGGCTGGATTTACTGCCTGCCCAAGAGGCGGTGGGGCGATATTGGCACATTTAGGCAGGTGATTAGGAGAAAGCTGTTCTGAAGCTCGCATACAAGGCTTTTGCCATCGTCTTTGGCGGTTGTTGGCCATGAAACGCGTCTCGTGATGTTTGCATACGTATGCGCCACAGCTTTTGGGGAGTGGGCTTGTCGCGTTGCCGTGGCGGCGCGCCTTGGTGCTTGTCCGGACGACCCATGGAGGACAAAGAAGGAGAGACACCCTTGTCGATTCTCTTTTTCGGGCGGCGATTCTCTCCCCCCTGCCCCACACAGACGCTGCTGGTGGTTGCGGGAACACACTACCAGTAGAGCGCCACTGCTGTCTGCCGTAGCTGCACCCCCCCCCCCCCCCACCCCTCCCCCTGGCATTTTCTCGTGGTCAATATATTTGGTTCTTGTCCTTGGTTTGGTGCTCTCAACCTCCGTTTCCTTGTCGTATTTGGGGGCAGGCGCTGTTGCTCGCGCTGGGTATCAAGGCTAAGAGGTTGGGCGCGGCAGCTGCGATGAGCTGGGTGCTCAAGGATGCTCTTGGCAAGTTCGGGCGTATTCTGTGGGCGTCAAAAATGGGGCGGCGGTTTGACTCGGACGCAAAGCGATGGCGCTTTCGCAGCAGGTAAGTTCAGTTTTCTCTCCTTGCTTCGATTCGTTTTTCTAGCTTCAAGAGTGTACCCAGAACTCGGGTCGCTCATCCCTCGTGGGTGCTATTATACACAACAGCCAAGAAATTGAAGTCGCGAAATGTGTTTACCCCTGCGACCGCGGGACCAGGAGATCAGACTACTTGTCCAGGCAAATACTGTATTGGCGTGAAAGAAGTATGGGCGGGGTGTAGTGTGTGGTGGGCGACGGCGGAAGGCGTGGATGAGCGGGGTAGGCAAGTGGGGATATGCTGTTTTGTTTGCTGGGCTTTTGTTGAGAAGGCCTTGTCTGTTCCGTTGCCTATGAATCGAGCCATGCACACCTCCGACTTTCAACCTCGTGTTTTTTGCTTGATGGCCATGTTTTGCGATGCATGGAGCAAACAACGACCGGGAAGTTTTCTCGCTCAACCTTTTCCACTCGCGTGCTTGTTGCCCCCCCCCCCCCACTATTTCCTTCTCTCCACAAACGTAACGTGAAAGCCTCCTCTACGCGGCGGGGAACGGCCTCGAGATCGTCACGTACGTGTTTCCGGCGAGCTTTCTCGTCTTGGCCGCGATGGCGAACTCGTTCAAGCAGATGAGCATGCTCACGTCGAGCGCCACGCGCAACACCATCTACCGCAGCTTTGCCCGCGGGGAGAACATCGGGGACATCACCGCGAAGGGTGAGGAGAGAGCGAGGACGAGGATGCTGTGCCGCCGCGTCGCTCACGGGGACGTGTTCAGCCGCGATAGTAGAGATGCATGGTACCCTTGGCGTTCGCGTGCCGCTCGGATATCCTGGGTGGCTTTCGCGGGGCGGTTGGCGGCCTCTTGTGTCTTTTGCCCATTTGCCGAGCATCTCGAAACCGACACACACGAGTGGTCTTGCCTTGTGTGTTTTTGGCGCTCTCGTCGTCGTGTGTAGTTTGGTTTGGCGTACTCGCTCCCTTTGTTTCGATCTGTCTCGTTTTGGTGAATGTTTTTCTCTCTCTTCTCTGTGGGCTTGTTTGCTTTCACCCACTTTTTGCCCTTGTTGTATTGCACCGTCTCATTCCTCCTCGCGACCCTCCTAACCCCAGCCTGCCCTCCCGCCGCTGCTATGCCGAACGCAAAAAAACACGAAGGGGAGGCGCAGATCGCCGTCGTCGACGTGCTCGGCATGCTCTCGGGGATCGGGCTATGCACGCTGGTGGGCACGTCGAGGCAGACCATCGTGGCCGCCTACGTGATCCTGAGCCTGGTCGACATCTCCGCGATCTACAACGAGATCCGCGCGGTCTGCTTCAGCGTGCTTAACCACGAGCGGACCCACCTCCTGGTCCGGGACTTCGTCGCCTCGGGGAGCGACCCGTCCGCCATGGCGCAGACGCCCGTCGTACCTCGCTCTCCCTACTCTTCCTCGGCCCTGGAGCCCCTCGAGAGCCTCCTCCAGACGATCGCCGTCGGAGATACCGCGGCGGCGGCGGCGGCGCCGGGTTTGGGGGGGAGCGGTGGCGCTCCTGGTGGTGGTGGTGGTGGTGGTGGTGGTGGTGGTGGTGGTGGTCCCGCTGGGGACTTGGAAACGGAACCGCTGCTGCAGCGACGGTCCGGGCGGGAGAAGGGGGAAGTAGAAGTAGAAGCAACGGGGACGGGGGCTGCTGCAGTAGCAACAGCACCACCGGCAGACCCACAGCCTGCTGCTGCTGCTGCTGCTGCTGCTGCTGCTGCTGTGGATGCGGGCAACAACGGACAGGCGGCCAAGGCGGCACCGCTGACAATCGAGGAGAAAGAGGAGGCGGGGAAGGGCCTGCTTTCGTCCCCGTCCACCGTCTCGAGGCGGGAGAACATTTTCTTGGCTTCGAGATTGACCACAAATGCTTTCAAGACGTGGTCGCAGGTGTGTTGAAAGTTTCTTCCGCTTGCGTCGATCGCGTCGACTGACTGACCAGCTGGATAAAAAAAACGCGCCAACACGCTGTCTAGGGTGTGTTCGTTTTCGGGGTTGTGGAAGTGCGCGAATGCGGGGCGGGAGGTGCGCAAAGGGTGCGTGGGGATTGGTAGGCACGGCATGCGGCCTCTGTGTAGGGTGGGTAGCTTTTTCCGGGCGTTCCGTTGATGTCGCCCTTGTGTTTCGAGGCGGGAATTCCCCCTACGCGTCCCCCTACCCGCAGTTGCTATTCCTGTCAAGCTGATGGAAAATTTTAACTTCAACGGCTTCTATTGCTCTGTTCGTCCGTTCTTTGGTGGCGTGCGCGTTCTGGTGGGTGTCACGACTGCGAGAAGGCGGGCGTGAGCATGGATGGCGTTACTGATCTCCTCCGAATCTTCGGGAACGAGCGTTACATGTTGGCGTACACGGAGAAGAAGAGGAGGAGGCAAGCGAAAAGGATCATCAGAGCCAGAGCGGGAGATGGCGGCGGCGGCGACAGGGCGGCGCCGAGAGGAATAGTGAGCGTGATTCTCCACAGAGACGCGACAGGGGCCGACACGGTTAAGTCTCTTCTCGCGCTCGAGTACCTCCAGGACGAGCTGAAGCAGGCGGGCTTCGAGGTCGTGGGGGCACCGCCGGCCGCAAGAAGCGGTGGCAGAGCAATGCCGCCCGCCGCCAAGACGAGACCCGTCAACGGTGACGGCTCGCCGGCGGTCGCGGAGCCGGCGGCGGCGGCGGTCACAAGGGGAGTTCCGCCGCCGCCGCCAGGCGGCGCTGAGCAGGGGGAGGCGGCGTCGGGGGCACCAACCCCGAGAAGTAGTGGCGGGGCGGCTCCTGTGTTGAGCGCAGCAGGGGCGGGGCGGGCGGAATCTGAGCGACCCCAGCCGTCCTCCGCGGAGCTGCGCCGCTGCCTGGAGGCCGCGCGACGAAGAGCGGAGGAGGGCGCGCCCGGGTTTTTCGCGGCGCTGGAGACGTTGGGGTGGAGCACGGAGAAGTTCATGTTCGGAAACATCAAGTCGAGGGTGGAGTGGAGATCCTGAGAGAGCCCGTTTGGTTGGTCTCGAGTTGGTGTGTGCGGGTCTGTCGTAGAGCTAATTTTTATTCATTGATGGTCGAAATTGTTGAGTTTTTATTTCGCGTTGTTGTGCGGGGTTGGTTTTCCAACTCCTTCATCCCCGTCTCCTGGATCCCCTCCCCCCCCCCAAGGCGCGAATGTTTTGAGTGCTATCATACATGACGTGCTAGAAGCGGGCGAGGACGCGGATCCTGGGCTGTTGTAGATCGCGGGGCGTGGTTTAGGAGTTATTAGGCAAGAGGTAGCCTGTGGACCGACTTTTGTGTGGTGCGTGTGAGAGCGCGTGAACAAACTTAGATGGCGTTGCAGTTGTGGCGGATGTTGTCCGCCAGGGAACAACTGCGCCCGTTTCGGATCGTTGCAGCAGGCATAGGTACAGGTTTGTGTGTTTTTCATGTTTTTGTGTTATGCTAGAAGTTTCGTGTGTGTGTTCATGTTTCGCGACTTTTTCCTGCAGTTAAAACGACTATTTAGACAATGGTGCTCTTTAGGTGGAAGACGTCGCAGCGCTTGTTGCGGAGTACCAACCACCTAGCATTTTGTCACGAAACAGCGGCTGAGTGGTTCGGTGGGAACCTTCTGACGAACGTGACGACGTGGGTTAGAAGCTTGGCGCAGTCACACGAAGTGGGATTTTTGTCTCACGGTATTTCCCAAGCAATGCGGTAAAGCGAATACTGCGCGTGGTATGGAACAAAGTCGACTTCACGGCAGACGAGCGAGAGGAACGGCTGGATTCTTTTCGCCACAAAAATCCAGGCAAGCATCCAGGAAGGACTGAAAACAAACATCCTTCCGTGTCCACTTCCTACTGTGTGGCCTCGGCGAAATAGCGTGTTCAGAAATATTCCCGGAAGGTCTAGACTAATGGACTACCGTCCAGAAATGGGATGACACACCCATCTACCGTATTGTGGTGCTAAAGCCAGTTGCGCCTGCGGTCGCGAAATCTGCGCGCAGCTTGCACACCCTGCGCGCAAAGCCCGACGGCGAGCCTGCGGTGCACTCCAAGAACCGACTCGTCAAGCGCATTCTCTTTGCTGTAGCATGATCTGTTGCTGTCGCCCTGTCACCGTCTGAGGTTACGGTGTCTGTTGTTCACTACCGATAGATATCGAAGGAAAAATTGCTCAGTCTTTTCGGGTTTTCGTTTCGTGGGAGGTGGGGGGGGGGGGGCGTTAGTTTGTCGGGCAGCCCCGAGGGCATGCGTGTTGCATCTACATACCAAACGCCACGTCACGTCCGCTTGTTGTTTTGCTTCAGCCAGAACAACACAAGATACTTTACTTTCTACTTTATGTCGTCCCAAGCAGACCCGAAATTGACCACAGATCGCGTACACGCGCGTGAACCACGCCGACGTCTTCACACCCACGTGAATGATGTACAGTTTTGAAGCACACCCTCTACCCTTTGACCCTTCGCACATGCGACGGCTATACACGAACTCATGGACCTTCCTTCACGTTCCCGGTGCCCCCATGGCACCATAATAGAGCGGGAAGTCGCTGGCGACAGCACACCCACAGATGATGCTACCTTCTTGACTGTGGTAGTAATCCGAAGGTCGTACCAAATCGCTTCGAAAATATCCTCCGGAAGTCCGGACACCAAGTAAAAGACGAGCACATGCACCTTAAAAACTGGACAAAAAAATGGTTAAAACCACACCCACCTATCCGACGCTCAATCAACCGTCGGACCATCGATCGCCAATCAACAGCCGGTGGTACAGATCGAGAAAGCAAGCACCGCCATCAAGCAAAGGTTGAAATGCCCTACAAGCGAAAGACAATAATGGCCTCACACAGCTCTTCGCTTACCCCTTGCCACAGTTCCCGAATGATCCGCTCCGTTCTGCCCTCCCCCACCACCCCTTTCTCCGGGGGTGCCCCCTTCCCCACTCCCCCTGATTGATCGCTTCCCCGCCCTCACTCCCCCTCTCCCTGCCTCCACCTGCTCTCTTCCCCCACGAACCGCGTACAAGTAGCTACATCGCGGTGAAGAGCCTTGGGGGAGCGAGCCCCCTCCCGCCGCCGCCGCCGCCGCCGCCGGTTCTGCCGCCCGTGCTACAGCTGTCGTTGAACGGCCCCGATCGTCGACCGGAGGTGCGCGAGAACCTTTGCTTGCGGCTGCCGCGTCCGAGGATAACCGCGCCGCACCCTCCTCGCTGCCATTGAAGCTGGCATTGCCAGAGCCGCCGAACTCGGCAGCCCCGGTTCCTGAGCCAGCGGCGGCCGGGCCAGAAAACGTCGCAGTGGCCAAACCGCGGCTTGGTGACGAGAGGTCGACGTTCGGCGCCATCCCTCCCCAAGCTGTCTCCCGCCCCGGACCGCCGAGACGCGGTCGTGGCGGGTCGTGGAGAGCCCCAGAGGAGGCTCCGGTGCTGCGGCCATCAGCCTCGCCGTCCTCCTCGCTCGCATTGCTAGCCAGGGCGGCTGCGACGACGCTCGCGAGCGCGGCGCCGCTCCTGGAGTACCTCGCGGCGCCCACCCCTCCTCCCCTCGCCGTGGGGTCCCCGACTTCTGCCGCGCCTCCCGCCCCGAAACGCTCGCCGCCGAGGTCGCTGCCGCGGAAATGGGCGGGGGGTTCCTCCGGCATCGGGATTGGTCCTCTCTCGTCCGTGTACTGGTAGTGTTGGTCATGTTGGGGATGTTGGTCATGTTGGTGGTGATGCTGTTCTTGTTCGTGGTCCTCCGGATGAAGTACGACGGACGGCAGCCCCGACAGCTCTGCCTCGCCCGATGTGTGGGGCTTCGACAGCGGCGGGACAAGGTGCCGGTTCAAAAGGGGGGGGGGGGGGTTACCGGAGGTTTGATGCCTGCGTTCAACATTGGTGTGTGAGGAGGAGGAGGGGGTAAGTCAAAAATACAATACTGCGCTCATCGACCCGACAGACCAATCGATGGACTACGCATTGACCTGAGAAACGTGTTTACCCCTAAACGCACGAAGGAACACTCAAGCACGTATCCGGTTAAACCACGTCCGCCAAGCGTCCCATGGAACCGAACCAACCACTTTTTCCAACCAACAACCACCCCAATCAAAATGTGAAGTAAGCCTTGGCGGGTGAAGATCGACCAATTTTCGAAGCTTCACCCAGAACCGAAAATTATTGTGAACGCTCCCTCACCAACTGTCCAAGCACCGCCAGAGCCTTTTCCTCTAGCCGCCGCCCCCCTTCCGACAGGAGAAGCCGCAACAAAGCCCGGCTCTCAACTCGGAGGTGGTTGTGGCGGTGCTTGATCATGCCCATCTCGGCCTCCAGGTGCTGCACGCCGCGCGCGTCGGGAAATCCCCCAAAAAAACAGCCGAGCGGACATCGTTCATGAGCGAGTGTGGCTGTTGCCAAAAATCGTGTGCATATGCTGCGTGCCAAGGCGCAACGTAGACAACCGCATCCGGTGCTCTCGGACTCTTCCAACAAACTTGGTTTGGCAGTCGAACGGAAAATATCTCTATCCGATTCTTGCCGACCCTCGACGCATACACGAATCGGGCAAGCGTTGACACATAACATACATTTTCTGCCGAAAAAACATGGCTCGCGGAACCTGGCACCGAGCAAAGCTGGAAACTCGACCAAGCGTACCGGACAACTTGCACCCCAGTCTAATTAGTGTAATTGAGCTCAAGTGAGGTGAGGACTTGGTGGATCATGGCTGGTGGTGACCTCAGATCGGGCTTCTGCGACTGAGGAAGCGAGGCCGCAGTTTGGGGCTGGTAAACGAAACCGCGGGCGGTGACAATACATACAGCAGCAGGGAGGAACAAAAGAACAACACAGCAGTCGTGGGCCCTCTGTAAGGCGGGTATGCGCCAGACCGATTCACGCGCCCTATACCGGGCACCCGCACTATTCAGTGCATTTTTATAGTCTAACCTTCATAAATCTTCCATCTGTGGCAGCCAATTTCACCCGCTCTATAGCGGACACCAGACTTGGACCTTACGTAGCCTCACCGTCACTCTGTTACACATGGCCCGAAGCTCGACGGCGATGCGGTCCACGCTTCCCTTCGTTTCCTGGGCCGCCACCTGGGCGAAAGAAAATAAATGACACACAACACGTTCGCTCTTGTATCGGGGCCGGGAATCGGCGCGCCCATTCGGCAGTGAATGATTCCCTCTCCTGAACCCTCGAGAGCAACGCGAAAACAATTGTTTCCACGGGCAAGCCAAAGCACTCACGCTGGGGCTATCGTGGTGTCTGATGCCAGCTGAGGGGCTGGCACTGTTGTGATTGCTATTGCTGCTGCTGTTGCTGTTGCTGTTGCTGTTGCTGTTGCTGTTGCTGTTGCTGTTGCTGTTGCTGTTGTTGTTGTTGTTGCTGCCGCTGTTGCTAGCGCTTGTGCTGTGAGCTTTCCGGCGGATCAGGCCCAGGAGGTGTCGCTGTCCTTTCCTGAAGTTTTGGTGCTGGAACTCGCACGACTCCTCGTCGCCGTCATCGTCGTGCCGCGTCTTATGAAAGCCGTAGATGTTGAGCTGCGCAGACGCACGACGGACAGGTCGATCTCAGAGGTAGCCAAGCACAACGCCAATCGGCTCCATCACAGATCGAGCAAAAGAAGTTGCCCCGGAAGTCGACCTAGCCAATGCCCGGCTACCCACCCGTCTCTCCTGCAGCTCTGCTGTTCACCCAGCGCTGTTCACCAAGCTCTAGGTACAACTGGACAATATATTCACGCGCAACCTGAGAGCTGAGAGTGGGACAGTCTTCACCAGGGGCAACTCAACATCTTGGCAGCAATTAGCAGGCAAGCACGAGATCAAACATTAATGTTTTTCGCTTATAGATGGAGCGCCCTATCTTGTCGACGCATCCTAAGGCTCTGCTGGGAGCATGATCAGCAGGAGCTGGAGCAGAAACTGCGACGACCAACCATTCAGGTCTTCGTTCGCCGAGATCTACGAAACGTTCAGCGCAACCAAAGCCAGCGCCACCCCAAGAAAACAGCCCGGGGTAGACTAGGACAAACAGGTTAGTGCGCAAACAATCCAAACACGACCCGGTACTGCTGAAACCCTCGTATGAAACCCTCGTCCCTCGTTTTTGTTCCGATTCAAGGCAAACCAGTGTACAGCGCAGCCTACAGCAGCCCCTAAAATGACGCCAGGCCGCCTAAAAGAACACGAGGCCGCTGCGAACAAGAAAAGGTCTTGGCCAAGGGTTGGATGGAGCCAGCGAGCACCTCTTCTTTGCAATGCTACCATGGGCTAGCTAAGCTGGCTCAGAGGCTGCGATCCAGCCACCCACCTGGCGGACGAAGGACTGGTAGTTATTGTGCTTGTAGTACTTCGGGAGCACGGCCTTCGCGAACTGGGCTGGGTGATTGACCACGATGCCGTCGCCATCCTGCCGTCGAGTCGAAAATAACCGCGGCGGCGGTGAAGAGCACGAAACAAAAAACGCGAAACACGCGCGCACCTGATGTGTCATGCACTCGTGAACGCGCACGGACGGCACGCCTGTAGGTCGCAGCAACTACTCGAACACGCCGTACACGCACATGGACCGTGATGCCCGACACGATTGTATGTGCACGAGGTGGACCCTACACATGGGCACGGACATCACGCAAAACACTCCTTTCGCGAAAACACGCGTGCTATCACAAACGTAGCATTTCACCTGAAAAAAACAATAAAAACGCACCTGGTTCCAAGTGATGTGCTTCGACAGGTGTGGCTCGTTGAGAATGTTCCACAGCTTGTTCAAGAAAGACGCCGGCGCTCCGGCCTCCCCGCCGCGCTTACCCCCCTTCGTGCCGCCTCCGCCGCCACCGCCGCCTGCTCTCCCACCTGCCGCTGGTGCCGGTGCCGGTGTCGGTGCTGCCGCCGCCCCCACTGCGGTTGCCGCCCCTCCACCTCCAATGTGTTTAACAAGGTTCCGGTCTCCCTGGGGCGGGGACAGGAACATGATTGCTACATGTGGATGCATGGTGGCGAACAACGGTCACACACAGTGCCAACAAAAGGACACAACATTGTCTGCAGAAAACAGGCTAGGTTAAAAAAGGGAGTTCTATTAGTGTCGCTCTGCCCTCCGTGTGAAATGTATGCGCTTGTCAGCGTCAAGAAAGGAACGACGCGGCCGAAACGAGACACAAGATCGTTGTTGAAGGGTGAAACTTTGGCCGCGAGGAGGAGAGACATAAAAAAAGAAAGACGACCACAAGAGCGTTGTCGTGTGTTTATGTACTCTTGTACCAACGTCGAGTGGCGGTATTGGAAAAGGCGTAGGGGTAGGCAATCAGGCCCGTGAGGCCGTCAAACTACACGTGTTGGTGCACTGGGAAGGATCTCAGCTTAGGAAATGTCAAACTACACGTATCTACTGACACTACAGCAGTAGTAGAAAGAGGGACGACGGCACAGCAGCAGGGCTCAACGCGGTCTATCGACGCAAAACAGATCTTCTTCTGGAGAGCTTCGCATACAGACGATTCGAAGGTCGACAGAGTAAGGAAACACAATCCGGTGATGACTCGGCTGTGGTTTAACACTGATGTGAGAAAATCACTTCTGTGTGGGGGGCGGGGTGTTGTCTACTGCTGCTGTACCGCCGAAGATTGGCTACTGGTACACTACTGCTGTAGAGTACAGAGCGCACGCACTATATACACCCACTCAGCAGCAGTGCCTGTGCCGGCAATACTGAAGGGCTGCTGTCAACAGTGCCAGCTTGGGCAATACTCTCTCGTGCTGTCGATAGTGTCGAATGGTCGATCGTGTGCCTCAACGGCGGCGGCAGCTGCAGTCCGAACGAAGATGAAGTTACGGGCCACAAATTCCAGTTCAAGAAAAATTGCTCCGCTTCAGAGATGCTACTATGGCACCAGCACACACGCTGTGGCTTCGAGCAACAGCTGCGACGGGGAAAAACTTGGTGGGCAGTATGATCTGAAAATGAGGTCGGGCGTGAACTTGTGTGGCAAGGTTTTCTCTTCACCAGGTAACAAGCTGCACCCCACAATTACATACCGATGCAGCGATGGATCCTCTCGTTCCTTCTAGAAGTAGAAGGTCGATCACGTGCTCTAACGGTGTTTCCGCTCTACACAGCAGTATCTAACCCATCATGAATGACAGCGGGCGATCAAATCGAGCTCCCGTACCGTAAACATAACTTAGCCGATGAATTTTCTGTCAATCTCAGCTAAGCGTTAGGCTCACTCGTCACGTATTCGCCACCAGCTCACCAGCTATTTCGGGCTGGGCATGTCGGGGGATTGCGTGAGTGACGCAGAGACGATCGGTGTGTCATTATCCGATTATCCGTTCTGCGTTCTATTTGGCCGCGTGGTGGTTTACTCTATGATTCGTGTGTTTGTATGGGCACAAGCCGCAGCAATGATGATGAACCGGTGACGCTCTCTCGCTGACTGCTACTCCACAAACGTCCCGCACACAAGCAGTGGCTCTCTGTCTCTCACCTCCGCCTGCTTCTTGTCGCCCGAAGAGCCACCACCACGGCTAGTTGATGTTTGCCGCGGCGGCTTGTTCATATTATTGAATCCGTGTTCTGGCGCAGCGGACGCCGCTGCGCGAGATATTTGCGTGGTGCTTCTCCTACAGCTACGCCTACCTCGCGTATGGTTCTCCGGCAACGTTCCGTAGATGGCGCGCGAGAGAGCCTGCGGAGATCATGTGCATTGAGGGAATTACGGCACGTGCAGCAGGCATTCGAAGGTGCGGCGAGAGGACGGGCAATGAAAAAAAAAAGGTCGCAGGGGGGGGGGGGGGGGGGGGTTTAATTTCCCCCCCCCCCCCAAGGGGTTTCCCCCGGGGTAACCCTAAAGGGAAATCCGGAAATCCAAAAGGCACCGGGGCCAGGGGGGGGGTTTGCCTCCGGGAATCGGGGAAAGGGGCTGGAAAACTGGGAACAATTTGTTTTTTTTTTTTTCCCCCCAAAAAAAAACAAGGCCTGAAATTTTTTTTTAAAATTTTTGGCTTGGGAAAAAGGGGGTTTTTCCAGCCAAAAAAAACTTTTCCCCATATGGAGACCCCTTGGGGGGGCTTGGGGTAAAAAAAAAACCCGGGCTCTTTTTTAAAAGTACCCCAAATCCCCCAG